TGCAGCCCCAGGCGAAAATGACTTTCTTAAATTTACGAAGTAAAATGAGAAGCCCGAAAATCGACTTGCATTTTACAGTAATAAATTTTAGACGTACGTGCATTATTTTAAACATGTCTTTGCAATTTTAAATCAAAGTCGTACATATATGTTGCTTCATGTTGAATAGGGTCATTATTCAAGAAAACGGTGCATTAACTAAGAAATTTGAACCTAATTCACTTCGAAATTGTTAATTATCTATACACATTTTTTGTAGTATTGTATGACTTTAGGAACGGTGTCGTAACTATCAACTATAAGTACTAACAGAAAAGTTTATTCAGATGAGATTATTTTTTTGTTGAACGTTGAACGTAGGAGAGAGGATTTGAGATTTGCAATACAGAGGTTATAACTAAGTATAGACGATAAGCGCATTATTATTGTAGTCAATATTGAAACTAATTATTGCCAGGTACTTGTCACTAATTTTGGTGAAAATAAATACGGCTAATGGGATTTTTAGAGATCAAAACAATCACTCCGTGATAATTATATGTTTGGACCGGCGAAGTTAGCTTTTAGGGAACATTTGTGTTTTTGCTATTGTTTCTGTATTGCTGTTGTTTCTGATCTGATCTTATGAAGAAGACATACTCCTGGTACCGAATACATATATTGCAATTGTATATTTACAAATACAAAGAACAGTTCCAAGTCATGACTGATAAGTCACATAAAATCAAAGTTTCACTGCAAGCCCGAGTTCGTTAATTACTTGTCCATCGTTATCCTTTTTTTTTTCTCCCAACGAATGGTCGCTTTTATGCTTGTTTTGGTATCCTTAGGGCATGACGCGTTATCGTCATCGTACCTTACAGGACGTCTAATTGTTACGTATTTTATGACTGAGAGATTGCTTCTAATTTTAAGATTAGTATGACTTTAAGTCTAAACACGTAACTTAACCAAAAGCAGCAAAATTACCCAATATCCTATACTATGCACCTACTTTAGCTGCGGAGCAGTGGCCAAGCTTGGGCGTGCAGTGAAAAACAATACACAAAATGCAACAAAATTCATAAAAACATAAGAAAGTTGAAATTATGATTATGAGACAGAATGTGTGTGTGTTATACAGTGTATGGAAAGAAAAAGATTTGGCGTTGGTTTAATTTTATAATTTAGGTGACAGATTACTACCAATGCTTAGCTTTAATACACTTCGTTTCACATTAATAAATTTTGAAGCGCTGAAAAAAATAAATAAATACGCGTGTTGCGTTGATGAGCCTTTCCGGCTATAATTGTGATGAGCCTCTTTGGGCGTTTAAAAATAAAAAATGATGAGAATTTCACTTGCGTTTATGCAAATGCATCCCGAAGCGCTGATTCGAAATACGATCGTATTTGTAATCATATTTTGAAAAAAATGTTAAAGTCAACGTAAAGTATATTTAAAGAAAACGAATGCTAATATCTGCCAAAATCGAATAAATTAAATATTTTTGAGTAAACCTCGTTGGGTTTAATACCAAATATAGAACGCCTTAAAGATTAGAAAGAAGGAAACGTGAAATACCTGTGAAGAAGAAGAATGTCTGTCCATTTTGTAAACGAAATTGAAATATTTATAGTACAATATAAAATGCTACAATCGCGCGGTTTCTTGAAGTTGGTTCGCGGGCGTTTCTTTATGAAGTTCTTTCGTTTCATATCTTTCTCATTTGTTTTTTGTAGTCAAGAGTTCCGACTAGTTTTTGATTTTACGGTTTTTTTCTGGTGTAAAGCAGTTCATATAGTATGAATGTTTTACACACATATTTTTATAACAGTCCATAGTTCATATAATGTGAATCTCATACACATTTTAAACCTAACAGTCTTTTTCTTTTTGTCAGAGTCTTTGGTATTTCGCTTGTAATTCCTTGATTTTTCATACTGTCTGAATCTTGGTTTGGTGGTTGTTTTTCATTTTCCTTGATCTTTTTATCCTCGGCTTGCTTGTGGAGTTGATGTCTTTTGGGGTTCACCTTTAGTTCTAACGGTTTCTTTTCAGACTCCATCTCAGAAAGGCGCTGGTTGGTCTGTCGGGTCACCATTTTTAGGGAACATTTGTGTTTTTGCTATTGTTTCTGTATTGCTGTTGTTTCTGATCTGATCTTATGAAGAAGACATACTCCTGGTACCGAATACATATATTGCAATTGTATATTTACAAATACAAAGAACAGTTCCAAGTCATGACTGATAAGTCACATAAAATCAAAGTTTCACTGCAAGCCCGAGTTCGTTAATTACTTGTCCATCGTTATCCTTTTTTTTTTCTCCCAACGAATGGTCGCTTTTATGCTGGTTTTGGTATCCTTAGGGCATGACGCGTTATCGTCATCGTACCTTACAGGACGTCTAATTGTTACGTATTTTATGACTGAGAGATTGCTTCTAATTTTAAGATTAGTATGACTTTAAGTCTAAACACGTAACTTAACCAAAAGCAGCAAAATTACCCAATATCCTATAAGCTCATTTTGGTAGCCGTATTCGGTATACGCACTATCACTTTATAGTTCCACCACTGGATTTTCTGGTAATATATCAATATAATAATATCAATAACCGAATCGAAAACAGGTCGGTAATTTAGCTGGATAGTGATAATGGGATAGTACCTATGTACTATGCAGGGATGGCGAACCTTTTTCAATGAATGGGTCAAAAACTATATTTTTATCGTTGAACAGAAGAGAGTGGGTCACAGATATTTAACCCATGTCTGTATCTGTATTGGAAACTTCTGAAACAAATTTCATAAGCTGGTATTGGTGTGGTTTTGTCTTTACTTTACTTTTTATATCACTCGATTTTATGAAATTAGAGTACGAAAACACGCATATGAATTACCAAAAATGTTTAGGATGATACGGCAAATTATTTTACGGTTCCAAAGAGTTTGGATGAAATCCTAATCTGATTTAGTTATATTGTTCGATCAGGTTTCAACCACATTAAAGCACTTTTACACTGCCCCATTGTTATTTCAGATTTCTAAGTTTTTATTTCAAGTCTGAAAGATTTTGTTTTCTCAATGGCATTGTAGGCGAGAAACAATAAATTTCAGAGTAGCATCTAGTTTTCGTATAACCCAGGGGTCGGGAACCCATGGCTCGCGAGCCATATATGCCTCTTTTGGTGACTGCATATGGCTCCCAGAAAAATCTAAAATCTAACTTTCTGAGGCTAAGCTTACTATTATTACGAGATTTGAAACTCTTTTATAGCCAAATATGGCAGAAAATTTGTCAAAACGTTTTGAGAATGCGAGCCAAGCGCATGTAAGAGAATTACCAGACAGGCATTGTGACAAAACTAGGGTATTCTGTAACATATATTGTGACATCACAAATTGATAAAGTCGTATTTTTCATATTTAGATCTAACTAGCAAAGCTGGTTTTCAAATACTACGGAAAATGCCTAAACAAAAGAAGGGTGAGGACTGATGACATAAGTATCGTAGATTTCAACTTGTGCTGTATATATGAGCAGCCGTTTTTAAAGTCTTGTAGCAACAACATGCAGCATCAAAAGTCATATTAACATATATTGACATTGTATGTGTTGACTTTTGAGTAAATATTTCAGGCCTGATTAAGTGAAGAAATTCTATATGGCTCGCATGAAAATCCAATTGTAAATATGTACCTTTTATGGCTCTCTTGACCAAAAAGGTTCCCGGCCCCTAGTATAACCCCTAAAACAGTCTGCAGATGCACTTCCGAAGGAGACAAGGCGTTACGAGAAATAAACATACCAATTGCATTGTTATGTCATAAACGATGTCTGGGCCGATAGCTGAATAACGGTCGGTACACAGCGGTGCAGACATGCGTTCAAGATTGGGGGTTTTGAAAATTACCACACCGGCCCAGAAATTAACAATTTGAATATGAGCGATGGCAGCCCTGACTGCCCAACTGACGGTACATTATATATATTAGTTTAGTTATTGTTAGATTAATTTAAGACCGGTTTTATCAATTTTTATCACTGATATCACATTTTATTTTATTCGTGCCTTGGCGGGTCACGAATAAAACGCGGTGGGTCACTTTGTGACCCGCGGGTCAGTGGTTCGCCATCCCTGTACTATAGCATACTCAACTATTTTCACCAAAGATCCGTTTACGAAACTTCAAAATTACTGGGGTCCGGACATTACAGAAAATCTGTTTCATTAAATAAACGAAACTTCAATTGCAATATTAAATACAAGAGCAATAGATGGCTCGCAAACATGGACACAAATGTCGCACATCGGTACCAGTACGACAAACTGTGTAGCTGTGTAATGTGATAGTATCAAAATCATCTAAAATTATAAAACGATGCTTATGCTGCCAAAATAAACAAGCAGACGCGGTCCAAATTTTATGGTCGAAAGGTCCGGATTCGAACCGCGGTCCGCCAGTTGAGTAGCCCTGTCCTATAGTGTTACTCAATCTATGGGTCGCGACCCAAGACTGGGTCGCCTGTGAATTTACTTGGGTCGCTTGTTATTTCAACAATAACTTAAAAGTTACTAATGTTATTTTCTACCATATTTTATTGTTTTTTTATTATTCGGTAATGGTTTTATTCAGCAACTTTTGTGACACAAAAAGTTTTGTTTTTATAACCACACCACCTAGCATTCAAAAATCAAATGAAAGCCCATTTAAACGTACATGCGAAATATAAAACATTTATGTGGTGCTCAATATTACCTGAGTTCAGGTTGTGCGCCATCTTGGTGCGCATACTTCAGGAGGTCCAAAAGTTTTTGGTTTTTCATAACCACACCACTTAGCATTCGAAAATTAAATGAAAGCCCATTTAAACGTACATGCAAAATATAGAACATTCATGTGATTCTGAAGTAGAAAGAGTTTTTATAATAAAGAAAACAAAATTTATAAGAAAATGTTCAATTAGTAGAGTACCAAGGTTATACCTTCGTGATTGAAATTTCTTTTTCAGGTTAAATATGTCTGATGAAAATGGATTAGTAACACATATTCGAAACATAGTCTTTTTCCTGATTGTGTTTGGAGCTTTTTTGTTTATAAGATATGAAGATTTGTCTGAGAAAATTTATGCAAATTCTGGAACATTTTTGAGCAAGCGATGGAATAATTCGCCCAACTTTTTACGACATGTTTTGCCAAACAGTGAAGATAAAAAATGTTCGGTACAATGGGGGAATGATCTAATAAACTCAACTTTATACGAATTGAAACATTTCGAAAAGGTTTCTATATCTAATAAAAATGAGAAATATTATCCGATGCCACTGTATCCGGATCCGGTTTTTAAAATGAATCCGGATAAATTCATTCTACCATTACTTCAAAATGGGCCCAACAATCAACTGATGGGGTTCAGAGAAGCGATATTTGTTGGTTTAAAGCTGAATCGTACTATCGTAATACCTAAGTTCATCAAACACCACTCTGACAAGTAAGATTTTCCGCTTTTTTCACATATTTTCATCCACCTTCTTTGCATTCTACGCATAAAACTGCTTTTTTTTTAGTCAAAGCACACTTCCGTACGTATCACCAGTCCATCGTATCCAGGTCGCTGATTTATGCAAATTCATCTCTTGTATTTCGTTCGACGCCTTCAGGGAAGCTTGTGATTATAAGATTGATGCTGTATTTCACATCAGGTACAAAATGTATTCCAGTTTGAATAACTTTATACAAGAACACCACAAAAATGAAAAAGTCAAGTCAAAACCAAAACTGTGAAAACCTATTATAGAGCACAATGAGCTAATTCATGTCTCCGAATGTGATTTATAGAGTAAAATTCATATACAGTCAGCTATATACATATGCGGTCATCTGAATGTAAATATACACATGCTCAAATATTTTTACTGGCTCCAAAACCCGTTTTTAAACATTCCAATGTTGTTGTGGGTGTTTCAATAAAGTATGTAAGACACAGAATTTAAACATTCCCCCTGTTCAAAAGCAGGGATATGTTTAAAATCTAATAACGAATCCTTGAATCTATCCATTTTCACACAGAAACTGATGTTCCTAAGTAAACCGAATCGTTAAATCTGCTTAATCATTACGCTATATCCAATTGGCATTAATTAATTATTTGAACTCATCAGACATTTTCATGAATGTTTAGGAAATTTTCAGTTAGGAGTATAAGAAGGCACGAAAAGTTTATGGACATGAAAGTGCGTGAGATCAACAAAAATAAGGAAAGTAACGATGGTCCGAAATATAAATTCATACCACCAACTCCAATTCCAGATGGTAGAGAATCACGAAATTTCCATGACAGGGATATTATTGGTCTTTTTGATTCGATGGTGAGTATAAAATAAATTTTATACTAAATTTTACCGAACTAAAAACAACAACTGTTTTAAAATTATTCCATTTACTATAAATTATTTTTATTTCATTGTAGATATAAAATGAATGAAACTTTACCAATCTTCAAGAGTTCTTTACATCTCATCCGGATTTTAATAATTATAGGTGCTCTGAACATAATATATTTTTAAACACATCAATCCTAGGATGCCTTCTAGCTATTTTTGAGGTGCAAAGCATTTCATTAAGAATTAACACAACAATTACACGTTTCGAATTAGCAATAACCGTGTCATTATGCCTAATACTCATTTTTCAGGAAAGATGTGTAATTTATCCTCGTCCCTTGTATAACCTTCATTTGCCACCGCTTGGGAAAAACGAGTATGGTAAAAATCTTGAATTGGTAAAGAACGCCGAAGGTGGGTTGACTACAGGGTGGTCCAAGGTTGTCGGCTCCCCGGGCCACAAAATTATTTTTGCATCATTCGTGGGCCACAATAGTGCCAAGAATAGGTAAACAGTGCAATATAAAACAAACACTTTTATTGTGCAATCACATAGTTATTAGGCATAGCCATTCTAGGCTAATAGAATCCGCACTTGGTTTTTAGTTTTCTTTGATGCCTATATTGTTAGCATATATTCCTGACCAAAATGTTAGAAAGCCAAGTTAGGAAGCCATTAATTTAAACTGCCAAGCACATCATTCAACTTTGCTAGTTTCCCCAGCTAGCCATAAAACTATTAAATTCAGTGACATTAATGATGACAATATGTCAAAAGATTTTTTTTTTTGTATTGTTTTATGACGAAACAACACGTAATGCGATTTTTTAATTACTCTCCGAATGTGACGCGGGCCACAGATAATGAAGCAGCGGGCCACATATGGCCCGCGGGCCTGGGTTTGGACCACCCTGTTCCAGTACATCAGTTTTCAACCAATGGTCCACGGTCTACTGCTAAGCCACAGAAACGTTTTCAGGTGGAACCCAACCCTATTAAAAATTGCTAGAGTTATTGATTGATAAATTAATTTTTGCTGTACTGAGTGGTAAGTTACATTTAAATTATTAAAGCGGAAATGTCTATCTTTACGGAACGAATTTTTTGTTTTTCTTGTAAATTCCCCCTTTCATGAAAAAGTTAACGGGCCACAGACCTTTCTTGCAACAAAAATTGGCCACGAAAAGAAAAGGTTGAAATCCTTAATAGTTCATTTGCAGTAACAAAAAAAAAGCAATGAAAATGTTTTCCAAATGAGTGATTAGAATTTGTTTCAAACCGACTGAAAAATAAATTCAAAACAATTTAGATTTGCGAAGACTTTCGGAAAAACGTTTATTTCTCACCATAGCTCATGTAGCTAAAAACCCAAAATATATTACCAAGCTTGCTGAAGATTTCTGGCGAAGTACTATGAAGGGAAGACCTTATATCAGTTTGCATTGGCGGTATCAAAGAGAAGAATTTATGCTGAGGTATGAGGAAGTAGTTAAATTTAGTCAATATCATTCTGGTAGCGCTGAAACAACTAGGATTTTGAATTTTTTTATGAGTAAACCATTGTTTGGCCATAAACATTGATAATTTGATAATGAACTCGCGACAAACTTAGCTTGCGATAACTCAATTTACATTTTTTTGTAAAAGAACCGCCAGATTATCACAAATGCAAAATAGAAGTCATAATTTTCTATGGTCATTAGCGCTAGGAATATACAATTATGCGCGCATATCGATATATTCAGCCGCTCGTAAATACTAAATATGTACAGTAGCCGACATCTGTTCAGTCATAATGCCCCGCGGCAGATGATAACCTGAAGAATATGATAATGACAATAACGAAATCAAAATTATCTCGCGAATAAACTATTAGATGGCCATTCGAAATAAACTGGAAACTAACTACTTAAAATAGAGAGTAATTTTTTCGTTCAGAATTCACCTGTCTATAGGCTGCTGGTTGAACACTAGACCTAGAAATTGAGCAGCTGTAAATCCACATTGATCATGGGATCAGTTGAAATAGTAATAGATCATGTGGAAAATATAAATAGTGACGTCAGTTTTTTAAATCAACAAAATTTTATAGCTGGACTAAAATATAAAATTAATAGCCTTCTGATAAAACTTCCATCTTCAACTGCCACGTATTTGAGATTTATTTCTACCGAGGAAAGAAACTCTTAACAATAATAGCAACAAGCATACCATATTAGTTGCATGCGGAGTAAATCAATTTATTTAAAACCGATCAAATCAAAACGAAAAAAACAAGAATTTAACAAAATAATCAATATGTTTACACTTCATTTTAATAACATCAATTCAGCAAAACCACACACTGCTTCTTTTTCAATGGCGTGTTGTAAACCTAGGTCTATGTCAGCGGTTCCCAAACTTTTTGTTCGTACGCAACCAAATTATCAGGGAGAAAACTCACGGCGTACTAGAACGATAAAAGAAACCCAATTTTGTGCTTGTTAATATGTACTTTATGCCTTTCAAAATTTGTAAACATGTAACCCTAATGAAGGAAGGCAAAAGGTCAACTCGTCATCCCATCTCATCTCCTGATTTTCCTCGGAAATACTAAAAAAAAACTCATTTTCGCTCAACTCGGTTCAGCAAATGAATAAACTCCAACTTGCAAAATTGCAGAAAGTAGTTTCTACCTGTATAGTTACGTAACAGTTTTGTAACAATAGAAGCAGACACTACGTAGCAGAAAGTGAACGATATATAGAAGGTAAAATGAGAAGGTCAAATCAAAAAACAATAAAACATTTAGAATAAATACAATGTGTAAAATAATTATTCATATATTGATTATGTTTAAAACAATTCTTTTGATTTCCGAGTGCACCGTGGCGCCGCCTTTAGGAACCGCTGGTCTAAGCAATCCAAATATTCCACCCATTTCATATATCCAGGTGCAACAAGCCTATAACGAACATTGTGAAGAAAAACATATGTTACAATGCAATGGCGATAACTGCTAATGACATTGCTATTTCCATCGAGCAAAGAGTTATCTGGATACGAAAAGCTAAATTGTTCAACATTCGAGACATCTACATTGCTTCTCCACCTAGTGAAAGAAACCTAATTGCCGAAGTTGCCAAAATTTTGTACGAAGAACATGTGAGTAAAGCACGGATTTTCGACATTAGGCCTAATATCAGTATTGATATATTGTGCAGGTACAAGTTATGAGATCCAGACAATTTTATGATACCGTCACATGTCCACATACAATCTTTCTTACACTGGGCGGGCCGTTATTTCTGTTTCAATTTAAAAACCATAGGCCATTTGAACCCTTTATTTTCAGGGATGGCTGACGTTTACTTCTCTCAGTTTAACGGATTATCTTAATGATGCGTTCAAGCCTTGTCCGGTGCTACAAGGTCATTACAATGATATTTTGTCCACGACTGAGATGGAAATATGTTCCCTTTCTGTTGCGTTTTTGGGGTGAGTGATATTGATGATCTTCTGGTGATTAGGATTGACAAACCATGTAATGCTTTCGTTTCAAGTTATCAATTAGTAAAATAGGATCAATGGTTGGCAGTCCGACTAAGGTCGTCGCCTGAACTATTCTCTGAGCGCCGGATTTTAATTATGAAGTTTAAAAATTCGTGTTTTTAGTTTCTGTTTAACCTGCTAAATTAATCGATATATAAAAATCTTTTACTATGCAATGAGTGAATGCATGAAAATTATTTGGTTCTATTTTCGAAAAAGTTGCAAAACAATTCATCAATTTTGATATTTGACTCTTCATTGCGTTAGTTTCAAACTTAGGTATCGGATCTTAGTATCGCTATGCAGAATGTTGTCTGAATATTTGATGATCGCTGGAAAATTGATCGAGGTATCTCAAATACTATTTGTAGTAATAGTCTACCAATTGACGTACATTCAATTTTATTTCTGAGAATTAAAACTGTTAAAAATTTCTTTTTGAAACTATGACATGTTATAATTGAACAAAAAAAAATTGTTTTGCATAGAACTTTCATTTTTAATATTTGATAATACGATGTACATGTGAAAGTGTTTCTTACTTTATGATTATTAGCTTCCTTCATTTTTTTCACACAATATTGAACGGCCAACATCTTCCTTCCATTCAATAATATTTGTTTTATTGGCAGATCACAAAGATCATCGTGGTCAGATGTAGTACACACCGATCGAAAGGCGCCCAAACATGATCACATTTCGGTACAATTTGACGGTGATATTTTCAAAATGGCACTCAAAATTATAGAAGAGAGGAACGAAACAGAAAAAAAGAAGGAGCAAGACGAAACTGACTCTAATCATTTTGTTATCGAAGCGCAACCATAACTTGCAATCTGTTTTGATATAACTGTTATGTGAGTTTATCAAAATATCGTGATTGTATATGCTCTCTTCAAATGCTATCCACATCTTGTGAACACAATTTCCATATTTTTTTAACCTGAAAATCGGATATTAGGTTAGATTTTACAAAAAATCGAAGTCTCAGAACTCCGAGTGCAAACTCGTGCATATAAATTGTTTCCAGTTAATTCCTATAATATTATATAAATTATTCCAGTCTTCCATTATCCACAGTCTCAAATCTCGTTTGCTTTTGTTATTGATCCATATATAATGTCAACGTTTAATTAACAAATATGGTCAGTGTTGAATATATATTGTAACATTCCGGAATGTTTGTCAAATCGAAGTGTCGTCTCGCATGGTTTTTTATTCCAAACAACTTGCTATTATGAATAATATTCGCTATTTTAATAACATTATCTTAACGCAGTAATAAAACTATGTCATTCATTTTAACGCTGTTTGAAGTCAAATTTGTAACATTGGCCCTCCTCAAGAATGTATTCCAGTGAATCATGGGAGCATACATATTACATAGATTTATTTTTGAATCCACGTGCCTTCTCGATAGAGTTTAATGTTTAAACTTTATGTTAGATTTACGATAGTCAATGCACAATAGTCTTTTCAGCCCACATGGAAAACAGGAACATTATCAAGTATATTGTATTTATTTTTTCAGGGGCGGCCAACCTATTTTCGACCGCGACCGACTAAAATCCTCGAATAACTCGCGATCGCCTGATCGGTAATAAGGTCATACAACACAAAAACGAATGAGTACTGAGTATGCAAATAACTACACACACGCATACGAAAAAAATTGTACCGCTGCTAATAAGCTCGGCTCTGTGGGCGCATTCTTTGCGTAATCGCCACAAAAAGTTCCATTTAATTTGGCAATTTGGCTATGTAATTGTACCTGGAGTAAAGGTTTCATCATTTATTTAAGATGTATTCGAATCATATATACGATTCTGACCTGAGGCCTGCCTAATTTTCATTCGTAAGTGTCGAAAATTCTTCAAAAACCTTGCCAAGTATCCATAGTACTGTACTGTAATCGTCATGTATTAAAACACAAATCAGGCGCTGCATGAAACTGGTTTAAGATAATTTTTTGGGGTATGTTATTAAATTTACTCAACATCGGACGCGATCGACTACTCAAGACGTCTTGATCGACCAGTCGACAGCGATTGACGTGTTGGCCACCCCTGGTATACTCATTGAAACATTTATATTTCATTTCTATTTTTATTAGATCTATGAAGAAATTCCTGTTCAAGTCGCATTATATATTAAAGTGGGGGGATGGAGAGAGAGAGCTCTTTGCTATCAGCCGGGATCTATTTTAACTAATGGGATGAGGATCATGATTGATTAATTGCAATGCCATGGTTGGTTTGTGACGCAATAATGACACAACGCCGAGTTAGCCTACTTCAATTGACACAAATGAAGTTGAGTCGTATGTTTGATATTCGATCTGCTTTTAACAGTGAGGAATAGTAATAGTTTTAATAGTAATTCTGTGAGCCTAAAAATACTATGTTATTTATATTCAAACTGATCTGTTCAAATTATCGCTTTGTTGACAAAGCTTTAAACTTATCAATATCTATCTATAATTTTATATCCATGCTAACTATGTACTCTCCATTATCTGCATCTGCACTGTGTAACAAAAGCAACTTAAAACGTGTTGAACTTTAATGCACTACGATCACAGCACTGATAAAAACGGTTAGTAGTGCGAATAAGATAAAAGGAACAGATTAGCACAATACAATTGAGAAATTGTCAACATAATAGCAAAAACAAAATGTGTCTGTGTATTGTATTAGGATCTTTGAAATTACCGCGTTACCGGTAGCGTTACATCGACTCGTTAACTGAATGAAGTCCGCAAATTAATTGAGGATGTAATTGTATCTGTATATACATAATACACTCATGTATTATAAGTTCATTTTGGTGTTCTCGGCATTACATTTATGGTGACAATAGAAATCATGTATTTGATGGTGCATGGTGAACTTGTACCTATAATAATAGATAATATGAGAAAGAAAAATTATTAATATCACAATCTTGTTCGTGAAAATGCAATGGTGAAACCATGGAATAATCTCAACAATTTGTGATAACAAAATAGTGGTATTGGTCGGTGCAAAATTGTGAGACGGCTTTATTCTTTAGGACACAAATTTGTGTCAATGATAAAACACAAAATAAGACTAAACAAAAATATATTTGAAGGACTATAAACCCAAAGTTTCTGAAGCATTATCTTTTTATCTTCTGTCATTATGGGGCTGTTTTTTTTAATATATATTCTAGTTTTAAATTTGATGGGTGGAATAGTATGATACTAGCAGATAATTGATGGTGGAAATCTAGGTAGTATGCCCCAATTTTAGCATTTTAACCTTGAAATATTTTTTGAAACTAAGTAGCTTATGTTCAAAATGGGTTTAAAAATATATATAGGCGTGTGCTTCAGGTATCCTGACACACATATTGTTAGGTGCCATATTGATATATATGATGTTTTGTGAGGGATATCAGATTCGTAACTCGTAAGAGTTTAGAACACTCATTAATTTAAGATCTGATAATTACAAAAAATACGATTCTCCTGAAACCTTGAAATGTAACATAAACTAATTTGGTTCAATGGCTTAGAATATTTTTCAAGAACTTAGTTATTATCATATTAAAATTCATCATTGTTTATTATTGGGAAAACATATTTCTTCCCATGCTCAAATTAGGACACGTTGACCTTCAAGACAATGCTTTTGTACCGATCGTTCATGAACTTGTAGTGAAATGAAATTATTGATGAACTATGTAATCTCAAACCTGGAACACTTACACATAATGATTTACACACAAAACTGAAATAGACGAAATGACTATAATGGTACACGTTTTATGCATAGTGTTGCTACAGTGAAATAAACTCGTAGTATTATCTAGCAGTCGACTTAGCGTGGTCACGGTTAGAAAATTACATTTTGGCGACTTGACAAAAATTACTACAAAACACTAGCAGTAAAATACTAAAAGTGCAATCTAAAATAGAAAACGGGTGTACTAAAAACATTTGCATATAGTGGATTGAACCACATAAAACTAAGTGTCGACTAAAATATTATTTTAGAAAGAAAAAACTGCAGTGCACAGAGTACTGTGATCTGCAGCAAGAACGTCTCCGGTCGGTTAGCACTTCCAGTTGTTGTTGATATCGGATCTGAATCTGGAAACAATAAAATGTGATAGATTCTTACATTTGCTTTATTGGACACGAAATGAACCTATAGATCGTTTTGGTGTTATGTTGTTGTTGATGTTGTTAGAATTCTCTTTCTTGTTCTTGTTTTAACAAAAAATCGTTTTTCTCATTGACCAATTTCTTTAAAATTTTCAACGAGAAAGATTGTTCTTGTCGCTAGAAAGTTATTACTTTTATTTATTTCAAAAATTTCTGTGGGATCCATAAGATTCGTTTTTTTAGTGCGATGACGTCATCAAAATTTAAAATCGCGCACCTTAAGGCGGTTCTGCGTTCGCGATTATCGCTAACTGAAATATACTGTAAACGATTAAATACTACTTCGTCTTGGTTTTCGTGCCTTACATTAGTAGTATTTACTACCTTATTACTTGGTTTTGGCTTCCGTGTCCATATATTTGAACATTGCTCTCTTGTTATGCTTACAATATGTTACAAGCAATCAGTTTAAAGAAGGTACATCGATGAATCGCATTACGTTGTTCGTAAACGTGGCGCGATGACCTAGTGATGGTTAAAGCGCTGGACTTGGTTACATTGACACAAACGGTTAAAATTTAGAATTCAAACCCCATACCAACCAACTCACTCAGGGTGTAGTAAATGGGTCAGGCAATGACGGAGCGGAAAGATTCGGTTCGTGCCTTGTTGGGATTGAAAGATAAAAAAAATAAGCGAGCATACTTCTATGCGTTTCCAATCAAGGTGTGCATTTTGTAGAATAGATTACCAAGCACTACTGCACTAAGTAACGTATTGTTACAAGTTTACATGTCTAGAAACCGGTGATTATAAAGACCATTTTATTATTGTTTCAATACTGTGCATGTCCGTAAAATTTTGCGCGGAAAACTTGATTACTGTTGACATTGGGGTGAAAGTATGACATTTCGGAGGAAAATATTCGAGTAAATATTTTTACCTTTTTCAGATTTCTCCGTTGTGGTTGTCGTTGTAATGATTTTTGGAGAAGTTTGTACTGTGGATAATTGAACTGGCGTAGTAGTAATTTCTGAAAAATAATACAATTGGAGTTAAAATTATGGAGCCGACATACATGTACTGCGAGTGCTAGTATACTGAAAGCGATTGGTGTTCGCAACAAAATGTTCGAACTTTCTAAAGAGATAAATCAATAATATTTGATGATAAGAATCTGAGTTTGCGTTTTCACAAATTAGGGTTTTTAAAGTAAAGCTAATTCGTTCTGCAAACGGCTAAATGCATTCATAACTCAACTTAGATCGTAACGTTCAAAACTAGGGTTACAAAAACGAAACGACATGTTTTCAAACCTTGTTCACAGTATGGTCCTTCATAACCAGCTGTACAATTACATGTGAAAGATCCCAAACCGTCTATACAAATTCCTCCATTTTGACAAGGACTCAGAATGCAGTCGTCAATGTCTAAACCAAAACAGTTAGTGGTAAGTTTGTGGTATCAAGTTATTTTGTGTCAAAATTGATTTAACTCTCTGAGCTGAACACTTACTTTGGTCGCAATTCATTCCTGTATATCCAAATCCACAACTACATGTGTACGAGTTGATACCATCGCTACAATTACCGCCATTTTTGCATGGATTTAGAGAACAATCATCAAAGTCTGGGGGAAACAAATATGCTCAAAATATGATAATATCGTTTTTGACCATATATACAATATCTTACCTTCATCACACAATGCTCCGATAAAACCGGGAACACAACTGCACGAAAATGAGTTCACTTGATCTGTACAGATTCCACCATTGAGGCACGGATTCGGGGAACAGTCGTTAATGTCTTAATAATAAAAATCTAACGTTATATAATGATCAAATAATATACGGCACTACTGAGGGGCGTCTATTTATTCTGGCAACGATTACAAATAAGATAATTCTCGTTAAAAGGGGAAGCATTATAAGAACCTACAAACTTATCATTTTCAATAGAAAAACGAGGCTGATAGCAGAATTTTAGTTTGCGAAATGTTGTACGATCTATTTATTGCTTAACGGAATGTATAGAATTTGAATTTCTATGCACATTGTCTTTCATGCAAACAAACCTTGCTCGCAATTCGTTCCGTTGTAACCAGTCATACAGGTGCAAGTGTAAGAGTTAATGCCATCCGTACAACTTCCTCCATTCTGGCAAGGATTCGGATAACAGTCATTAATATCTAAATCGAATACACACGTATAGATTTGATAAGGTACATGCTTCATGTAATTTCACTTCAATTATTTTAGGATGAAACTGTTCTATGTTTAGGTTGAACAGTGGATAGATGAAAGAAATAAAAACTAACTGGGAGAAGAAGGAATAATAAAATTTCCGATGGATTAGAAAGTTTTCCATCTGTTGTAGATCATTAAAATAAAACCTTGCATTTACCTTGTTCGCAGCATGATCCATTGAAACCTGGTAAGCAACCGCACGAGAACGAACCAACTTGATCGGTACAAATTCCACCATTTTGACACGGATTTGGATTGCAATCGTCAATATCTTAAGAAATTTGATTGATATTTTGTAAAATACTCAGAAATACGAATTATTCATAATTTTTTTGTATTAACGTAATATACGATTTACGTTTTTTGTGAAACGGTTATTTCTACTTCTCTCTATTTTATTTTATATATCACATAATGAACAAACTCAATAAAGATGTATGTTGCATGGTACTGGTCTCGCAACATCAATACAATTGTCACCAAGCAATTTTCGAATAAATACGTAGCACTATGATTCTTTCTAGATTTCTACATACTTAAATTATAAACATACAATATATATTGTACCTTCATCACATGTTGATCCGTTGAAACCTGGTTTGCAACCACAGGAAAATGAATTCACTTTATCGGTGCAAATTCCACCATTCTGACACGGATTCGGTGAGCAATCATCAATATCTGATAAGTTATCATCAATGTGAAAAAAAAAAAAAAGTATACTGTTCAGGAAAGGTATTAATAGCGTTGGTATTTCAAAAATACTAATATAAAATTCAACTAACCATTTTCGCATAACGTTCCGTCGTAACCAGACATACAATCACATGAATACGAGTTAACTCCATCTGTGCATGTTCCGCCATTTTTGCAGGGATTTGGTAAACAATCGTTAACATCTGTGAAGAAATATCTTATGAGAATAGCATTCATTATCGTATTATAGCATGATAGAAAATATAGAGGCCCATTATCACTGCAAAAATGCACGAAATGCCACTACACGAAATTATATATATATAGTATTTATCTTCTTTTTGTTCTAAAAACATCTTTAGCTGTTGTACGGATTTATAAGTAAAATATATACTAATATATTAAAATGACTAGATATACAATTATTTTGCAAATTACAAAAAAGAACAAATGTTTAACTTATCGTGCGATTGAATTATACAGATTGTCGGTATCATAAAGTGGAAACTTATAAATCAATTAGGCCTATCTTTTTTACTCCTTATTAAATCATTGAAGCATGATAGAAATATATTTTACTCAGTCGGGCTGCGATCTACTTGGATTTTAAATTTCTCTGCTATTCAACAAGTTTATACCGTTATTCATGTTGGAATATTGTATACAAATATATTTTTACACAATATTTTACCTTGGTCGCACAGTGATCCATTGAATCCAGGCTTGCAACTACACGAAAACGAATTTACCTCATCGATGCAAATTCCACCATTTTGGCAGGGATTCGGTGAACAGTCATCAATATCTATAAGCAAATAAGATATCGCAAAATTTAAGACAAATTTAGGAACGTAAAGCTCTTCCTATACAACTTCATTGCGGTTAAGAACAGACTTGACCAAACTCACCAATTTCGCATGATTCGCCTGCGTAGCCAGGCATGCAGTCACATGAATACGAGTTGACTCCATCTTTGCAAGTTCCACCATTCAAGCAAGGATTTGGTGAACAATCATTCACATCTGTTAATATGGTGTTTGATTGGTCACGACTATTTAAAGACTTTGAAACTGACTGAATTGTGAAGTAGGGCACAGTTCCATAATTGATTCATACAAAACACTTATTCTCCTGGTGTTAAAATCGTTTTTTAATATCCCAATTCTCAGTAATATAGTTCAGTGACATTTCTAACGGTTTTATTGCAATCACTACATTAATAAAAAGTTCACCTCCATCGCAAAGCGCTCCAATAAAACCTGGAAGACAGGAACATGAAAATGAATTGACTTCATCTGAGCAATTTCCCCCATTCTGACATGGATTTGGAGAACAATCATCAATGTCTGAATAATTTATAAGTCGTGATGAAATAAAATCTACTCCAAAATAAAAATATATGCATGGAATATTAAAGAATACAAAAAAGTGAGAACCTCAAAATTGTGTTGAATAAAATTTACTGCAACTTGAGACAATGAATGTTGCCAAGCACTTGTAATTGAATCAATAAGAATAAAGTTATACACGATGAGGATTATTTTGTCACTTGAGCTCCATGTTTTGTCACTAATATCCTTATCAGCCAATTTGCTGCTTTCATTGAATGTTTTCAAAATAATTATACCATTTTGGCATGTTGTTCCATTGTATCCTGGAAGACAGCTGCAAGTAAACGAATTCACACCATCCTTACATACTCCGCCATTTTGACAGGGATTATTCGGATAACAATCGTCAATATCTTTCAAAACAATAAAGAAATAAAAACAATAATGAATGGACAATTGTATCTGATAATTGCATTATCAATTTGATATAACAGTGCTGACTGTGCTACGTTGTATTTCGAATTGTTCACATATTTATTTATTCATGTCATGTCTCAGGTAGTAAATATATCTAGTGATAACTTACCAGAACCATATTAAATACGAAGAACTAGAAATCCATTCCAAATATTTTACAGACAGCAAACATTCTGTTCTATGTTGGAAATGCAATCATCAACTTACCTTCTTCGCAATACAACCCACTATATCCAGAAACACAGCCACAAGTGAATGAGCCTACTTGGTCAGTGCAGACTCCATTATTTTGACAGGGATTCGGCGAACAATCATCAATATCTGTTATAGAAAAAGATAAATAAGAACACAAAATGGACTGAATGTATGTATAGTTGTTGTAAGTGAAACCAGGCTCGAACCTGAATATTTAAGCCAAACTCTACCCAGGTTTTGTTATTTTTATTATTTACTTTTGTCCCTAATGTATGCTCAAATCCTGAGTTGGTCTTTTAATGCGTTAATAGTTTTCGTGATTGACAGAAAAGATGACTATTCCTAGAAATTGATGATCTGATCGTGTTTTGTGAATTTTGTTTTGTTTTACTTTGTTTTATTTTATTCCACATGCCTCTGTCGACCACTCATGATTTTTTATCACTATTGACAAAATGATAAAATGGATGAGATAGCAATGAAGATGGTATATAATGATGATTGTAAAATGGCATGGCTATATGATCATAGCGTATAGCTGTATAAAGTACCAAGAATGATATTTATAACTATAAATGTTAATGGTTCAATTCATTCTACCTTCGTCGCAAGTTGTTCCATTGAATCCAGCCACACATGAACAAGTAAATGAATTAACTCCATCGGTACAGGTCGCACCGTTTTTACACGGATTTGGAACGCAATCATCAATATCTAAAATCAAATGGTGATTATTATCAGTGGTAATACATATAACAAACAAAATTCAAAATTAAACGCGATATGTCGATATTGCAAATTTTTTCTTCAAGCGGTAGAGATTTTTCTATTTCCGTACATTTCAGAGATCATATTTTGGTCGGTAGTATACTTTGTTTTTTAAAATGAACAATGGTTTATCCACATCTAGATTAAATTATTGCCAAGTAGCTAAGAAATTAGTAAAACTATTTGCTGTAAATACGCTAGCCAGTTTTACCTTTGTCGCACATAGTTCCATTATATCCCTCTTCACAATTGCATGTAAAGCCACCTACATGGTCGTTACACGTCGCCCCATTTTGGCAAGGATTAGGAGAACAGTCATCTATATCTAAATGTCAAAATTTAAAAATAAAATTGTAATCTCACTAATCAAACTCCCAACGCTACTGCATATAGACAAAGTTATTATCTCTATGAAAAGATAACTTTCGTCTTCGTTCGAAAATTGTCTTTCAGTATACCCTAGGCTTGATATGCTATACGATTGCATTATTGCCGCTTTTATTGAAGTCTCTATGCGATTCTTAGTTATTTTAATTTATTACATGAAATATGATTTAATACCGAACTAATAATCATCGTTTGCGATGTGATGATAAGTACAACAAATTAAGGATCCAGAAATAAATCGATTACTGATCGCAGAAGCATAGCTTGGCTTGAAATGTGAGATCGACTAATGAATCTTTCTTGATCTCTTTCTAATCTACTCCTAATTATATATATATATATGTTTTTAATCAAACTATTAGAGAGCTGCGATCGAAATACCTTGTTCGCAGGTTTCTCCAGAATATCCTTCTAAGCATGAGCACGTAAACGAATCAACACCATCTGTACAATTTGCTCCATTCTTACAAGGATTTGGTGAACAGTCGTTTATATCTAAACACAATTTGCAAGTTTGTTAAAATTGAAAAGATTTCTACGACTTTTGCTTTTCAATGTCAAATCAATTCGGCCTATAGTCTACCCAATTTATTAGAACTTTGTCGATTCGATATAACATTTGAATCCTATTTTTTGATGTGCGATTTCGCGACTCTGTGTCCAATGCGTTAACCGCTTGCTTGGTGAGTAAGGTAATATATTATAATTAAGACCCAATCCGTTGCTTTAACGATGAAAGGCTATATATGTTTATCAAACTTACAAATAAGCACTGTCTGGTCAGTGAAAAATGAGATATAAACGATATTGAAAGAATGGACTAAAAGTTATAGTTCGAAATTCTACTGTCATGTAGATGGTTTACTGTTTGTTACTGTATTTCTTATATTGATGATATTTACCCTGGCTGCACAAAACGCCGGTATAACCGGCACTGCAGTTGCATGAAAATGAACCTATTTGATCATTACACAATCCGCCGTTCTTGCAAGGGTTTGTGGCGCAGTCGTCAACATCTGAATAAAATTTCAATAGATCACATTTAACCTTTTAAATTGATCTTCAGGTTACTTTTTTGATCATAAAATAAATTTAGATTTCGAGTTTACATATGCAATTGAGAAGTTTATAACTGAACAAAATGGATGTTTGTTTGTACTTCGACGTGGATATACCTTTTTACTAACGTTTAGCACTCGTCCGAATGCAATTTTCGATTATATCAAATGAGATGATCTATATATATATTACAAATCCTAGACATTCAGTCTTTACTGCTACTGCTCAACTGTGAACGTTTCTAATGGTACAAAATTAGTACATAGAAATAAAAACATTACTGAACTTTTTTTAATCTACACTATTTTGTACATTATATATAAATACATCTTGAATTACTATATGTCTACGACCTGTTGTACACAAAGTCCCGTTGTAGCCATCAATACAACTGCATGTAAATGAATTAATTCCGTCAGTGCAGGTACCGCCGTTCTGACAAGGATTTGGTGAACAATCGTTAATGTCTAAAAATAGAACAACAAATTTTTAGTTTGGGCAATAGGTGTTGCATACAAATTAGATAAATCGTAGAGATTTATACGGTTACATATTGTAATTCTTTACGAACAAACACACTTCCATGTAAATATTTAATTAATTATATATATGTGGCATATATATACGGTTAGTTATCTTGTGGTGGGTACGACTAGATTTTATATAAAACAATGTCTTAAGATTGAGAGATAGAAATGTTTCTTCATTCAGTTCAAACTCAAACTAGCATACCCAAAATCTGCTAAGCGCATGAGAGGTATTTTTAAAGCTTTAACCCAGGCAATAGTTAATAATTCATACTTTCATCACATAAAGTGCCAGTGTACCCAGTTGAACAATCACAAATAAAGTTGTTCACTCCATCTTCACATGACGCTCCATTTTGGCACGGGTTTGGGGTGCAGTCATCGATGTCTAAAACACATTTTAGAACATCATGTTAAAGTTGATATAAGAGATTTTATATTGCGTTTGAGACTGCTGTAAGATTGGAGCTTAATTTTGACGTAAAAGCTATGCATTAATGAATATAAAAAGTAGATGGCATAATATAGAGCGCCAAAGTTGATACATAACATACAGGAATGACAATACGTACAACTGGCTGAAAATAAAATTTAAAAAAACTTTCATGTTCTTATAAGAAAGGAGATAAAGAAATGTGATGGTAGAAAATGATAAACCCAAATATATAAGTCCGTTAGGAACATAGAAAAAAATATATATATTTAGAAAATTAATTATTACCGTTTTCGCAATTTGCCCCATCAAATCCGAGCGCGCAATCGCATGTGTAAGAATTAATTTCATCTGTGCAAGAACCTCCATTCTGACATGGGTTCGGTGAACAATCATCAATATCTGAAAAAACGTAATTAGATTGTAATAAAAATATCATACATGATTCCACTGAAATAGTTCCATTACATTTGAACCCACGTACATTTGAACCCATGACAATTGCACCTGTATGCTATTGCACCTATGGAATTTTTTTTGTTTTTCGGATAGTTGAACTCATACTAACCCTAACCCATGGGTTTTAGCACCCGCATATAGATTGAACCCGTGGATATAAACATGGGTTCAAATGTACAAAAAACAGTATGGAATTGCCAATTTTATACGTATTTTTTTTTCAGTTTGAACCATGAGAAATGTGAATGCAGGCTATATTAAATTACCAAAAACTATTATTTATTGCTCTGTTTGTATTTTTGTAACATTTTCTCTGGCCGAGGTCGCTTTTCTTGTCATAGTTGAAATATACTTGAAATATAATGAGGAACTCTGATGCCATGGTCAGACGAAATGCTACAGAAATAAATTTGTATACATTTTTGTTGTATTTGTGTGCAGCAAGACTCTTGAATCAAAAAGAATGGCCATATTTTGTTCTTGTCATATCTATATCATCCTTGCATTGCACGCATGTGGATCTACTTGCACAAAAACTTAGAGAACGGGAAGGGTAGCTGTCTCGCGTAACCCCAGCTAATAATTACTTGTTTTGTACTACCTTCTTCGCAATTCACTCCCGAATATCCAGCGACACATGTGCAGGTGAACGTATTCACTCCATCGAAGCATTCTCCGCCATTTTGACATGGATTAGGATCGCAGTCGTTGATATCTGAATAAATTACTTTGAATCATTCTCCATATGTATATGGTGCTAGTTTACTCCTATTTTGGCATATATAAGCTAATCAATGAGTAATTAAAAACAATATTGTGCATTACTTTCTTCACATGTTTCCCCCGTGTAACCTTCAATACATTCACAACTGAATGAGTCAACGCCGTCAACACAATTTCCATCATTCTGACAGGGATTCGGAGAGCAATCGTCTATATCTTAAAACATAAAAGAATAAATAATGTGGATGTATATGAGATAGATCCGAGAGCACTATAATACTTGTTGCAAAACTAAATATAGAATCAGTTAGTGCTTCTTTCATGAATGTTAAAATGTTATTTTTCTCGTACCTTCTTGACAGGTGCCTCCAGAATATCCAGCTTGACAAGTGCAAGTGAAGCTATTGATTCCATCTTGACAAGTTCCTTCATTTGCACACGGATTTGGAGAACAGTCATCAATATCTATGCCGAAATAAGCATAAAAAAGTGAATTAATCAGAAAATAAATGTATCTAGATTGCTTTGTTGTATTATATTGCTGTGAGTATAGAATCGTAGCACACTGATCTAAAGTTTGATATTCAAGTCCACTATTCAGTGTTTATGAAGACAATATTTCTCAAAAGCGAATATTTTTGAAAATACCGTTTTGGGGAAAGAGATGCATAGTATAGTATAGTGCACTGCATTGGTGTACTTATACCAAGTTTGTGAGTAACTTTGTTGAGAATTTGTGCAGTTGTCTTTTTACTAAATGTATCATTCTTTAATTAAAAACATTCATACAAATTGAAGAAATGAAAAAGGATATGTCAAGAATGATTGAAACTGTGGATATACATGCTACTAATAGATAAGTATCAATATGCTTAATCGGTGGGTCTTGTAAGTTGGAATTTTTCCTTGTGTGATAAAGATGTTAAAACGCACCATCAATGATAGCAGTTAAGTGGTACAGATATTCGTTCAATTTTAAGCAAAATTGAAACTTTGATATTATTCACCAATTAATAATGTGAGCTTACTCTGATCGCAGTTGATGCCTGAATATCCAGCAAGGCAGGAACAATTATAGGAATCGACTCCATCCAAGCAAGTAGCGCCATTTTGACAAGGGTTGGGTAAACAGTCATCAATATCTAGAAAATCAATATGATTTCTATTCATACAATTTACATAAACAATGAGTTATGATTTGTTTACTGTCATCATTGGTATTTGGTATTATGGCTATAACTAAGAAAAATTATTAGTCGCGTAGATGGATGTCAAGAATTACCTGTTTCGCAAGATGGGCCAGAATATCCGGATACACAAGAACATGTATAACTATTGATTCCGTCGGTGCACGTTCCGTCATTCTTACAAGGGTTTGGCACACAATCGTCGATATCTAAATCCAATGTAATTTATTTGTTCTTTCTTTTAATGCTGTTTGTACATTTCATTTTCCACTAAATGTTGAGTTTACTCGATACTATAAACTTATATTCTTCATGTGTGTTTGTGTTAGGGAACGTTGGCAAATATAAACCTAATGAAATACCTCACGTTTATCTCAACAGAGTTAACATTGAAGAAAAAATTGACTGCGGAGAACTGCAAAAAATTTTTATTCAAAAAATAACATATATATCATACTTTGAGCACAGTCAACTCCGGAATATCCGACATCACATGAACAGTTATAGCTATCAATTCCATCAGAGCAAGAACCACCATTCTGGCAAGGATTTGGTGAGCAATCATCAATATCTAAATAGGATTCATATTGATGACCGATTAAAGATGCATTGCAGAACCCTTTCAGAATACGCATCACGTATTCAATAACAGATAAATAAACTTCAACACAATGAATACCAAAATGTGCCCGGGTTAGATTTTGGCAATAAAAGTCTTTTAATATTAATCTTAGTGCTGGAAGTCCTATAAAAAGAATCGTTCGTTTGAAAAATTTAAAAATTATTAGAATCCATATTTCACAGCCCGAATAATATACCTGTTTCACACGTTGAGCCCGTATAACCAGATGCACAAGAACATGTATAATCATTGACTCCATCAGTGCACGAACCACCATTTTGACAAGGGTTTGGAAAGCAATCATCAATATCTGAAAACCAAATTCACAGAAAGTTATCAATTGAAGTAAATTTAATAAGGTTACTTGGCTTGGGCAGCAATCATCAATATCTAACTGAAGAATCGTCATTCTGTCGCATTTAACTTTTACAGATTTAAAAACTAGATATCTTAATATTTTACCACGGACGTGTATATGCTTTAGTTGGTTCTAACCTTTTCATGCCACTGAAATATCTATGCGAGTTTTAAAAAAGAAAAAGTGAAACGGCGGAAGATGTTAAGGTTCGGGTGTTCGCAGATACCTCTCTTTTGTTACGGAGGTGGAAAGGTATGTCATAGTAATGGTTAATGAATCGCATCATTCGAATAAGACTGCGATGGAAGTATCGTCTGTCATGTACTAAACTATCAGCTTGTACTGGCCAATGTACACATAAACCGTATGATTAATGGGAAGAAATTATGCTGAGACCGATTGAAGCCATCATACCTGTTTCACACGCTAAGCCCGTATAACCAGATGCACAAGAACATGTATAATCATTGACTTTGTCAGTGCACGAACCACCATTTTGACAAGGATTCGGAGTGCAATCATCAATATCTGAAAACCAAATTAACACTTTTTTTGCATAAAAATGAGCAACTAAAGTAAATTTAATAAGGTAATAGGTATAGCCAGCAATCATCAATATCTGAAGAATCGTCACTCCGTCACATTTATCATAGATATAAAATTTACGATATATCTCAATATTTTACCAAATTCAGTGTCACGGACGTACATACGTTATTTGGCACTTACATTTCAATGCTACGGGAATATCTATGTGTAATTTAAAAAAGAAAAGGTGCAACAGCAGAAGATGTTCAAGTTCAGGTGTTCGCCTAATCCTCTCTCTTGGTACGGAGGTAGAAAGGCATGTCTTAGAAATGGTTAATGAATCGCATCATTCGAATAATACTGCGGTGGAAGTAACGTCTGTCCTGTACTAAACTATCAGCTTGTATTGGCCAATGTACAAATAAACCGTATGATTAATGGAGAAATTATGCTGAGACCGATTGAAGCCATCATACCTGTTTCACACGTTGAACCCGTATAACCAGATGCACAAGAACATGTATAATCATTGACTCCATCGGTGCACGAACCACCATTTAGACAAGGGTTCGGAGTGCAATCATCAATATCTGAAAGCCAAATTCACACAAAAGTTAGCAATTAAGTAAATTTAATAAAGTAATATGTTTGGGCAGAAATTATCAATATCTAAAGCAGGGGTCGGCAACCTTTTGTCGCTCGCGGGCCAATATTAAGGTTGCAAGTCATTGGCGGGCCTCACATATTTTTAGAAAGTTGAAAAACCGAACGGATGGTACTTTTTATAATAAAAATAAAGCAGTGATACATCTCTCGAATAGAATATAGATTTATTTTTTCATTGCATCTCATAAAATGCCATTTGAATATTTTCAGCGCCACTGAACCCCTTGCACTTAGCATCAACTTTTCTGCGTTTTGTTGCCATTTGCCTAATTATAATTAAATTATATGCTCATTAAACGAGTAATTGTGAAATATATATTTGTTAGGCTATAATGTAATTTAGTCTAAAAAATATATTCGTCAAAACAAATGTTTTGTTACTATCATCTATTGAAGCGTCGCGGGCCGGATCCGGCCCGCGGGCCGTAGGTTGCCGATCCCTGATCTAAAGAATCGTCACTCCGACGCATTTAGTACAGATTTAAAATTTAAGAGATATCTCAATATTTTACCACGGACGTATATATACGGTATTTGGCACGAACCTTTGAATGCCACAGGAGTATCTATGTGTATTTTAAAAAAGAAAAAGTGAAACGGCAGAAGAAGTTCAAGTTCAGGTGTTTGCCTATTCTTGCTCCTATGTTACAGAAGTGGAAAGGCATGTCTTAGGAATGATTAATGAATCGCCTCATTTGAATAATACTGCGATAGGAGTAGCCTCTGCCATGTTCTAAACTATCAGCTTGTACTGGCCAATGTACATATTACCTGTATAATTAATAAGAAGAAATTATGCTGAGACCGTTTGAAGTCATCCTACCTGTTTCACACGTTAAGCCCGTATAACCAGATGCACAAGAACATGTATAATCATTGACTCCGTCAGCGCATGAACCACCATTTTGACAAGGATTCGGAGTGCAATCATCAATATCTGAAAACCAAATTCACATTTTTTCGCAATAAAAATAGCAATTACAGTAAATTTAATAAGGTAATAAGTTTGGCCAGCAATCATCAATATCTAACAAATCGTCACTCCGTCACATTTATTATAAATATAAATTTAAGATATATCTCAATATTTTACCGCATTCAGTGTCACGGACGTACATACGTTATTTGGCACCTACTTTCCAATGCTACGGGAATATCAATGTGTAGTTTAAAAATAAAAAGGTGAAACAGCAGAAGATGTTCAAGTTCAGGTATTCGCCTATTCCTCTCTTTGGTACGGAGGTGGAAATGCATGTCTTAGTAATGGTTAATGAATCGCATCATTTGAATAATACTGCGATGGAAGTATTGTCCGTCATGTACTAAACTATCAGCTTGTACTGGCCAATGTACAAATAAACCGTATGATTAATGGGGGAATAATGCTCAGACCAATTGAAGCCACCATACCTGTTTCACACGTTAAGCCCGTATAACCAGATACACAAGAACATGTATAATCATTGACTCCGTCAGCGCACGAACCACCATTTTGACAAGGATTCGGAGTGCAATCATCAATATCTGAAAACCAAATTCACATTTTTGCGCACTAAAAATAGCAATTACAGTAAATTTATTAAGGTAATATGTTTGGGCAGCAATTATCAATATCTAAAACATCGCCACTCCGTCGCATTTATTACTGATTGAAATTCAAGGTATCGCAATATTTTAACAGCATTATTTAAGATGATTAAGCTGTTGTTGAATGCGGTTGGAACACATCAAAATTATTGTTCTCATTTTCATATGCACGTGTTGTTGAAACACACAGATATATTTTTTAATAGGGCTACGACTGGTGTTAATTTTAAAGATTGTATCAGACTCTCGAAATCATAATAGCGTATCGATTGCAGAATATATTCTATGTAAACAAGATCTAATATTAGAATTACGACACATCTCTGTTAAAATATTCTTTAAAAATGTTTAAAAAATATCCACATAAAGTGAAAGATAAACTGCAGTTGGCGTACGATAAATATTAAATAAATAGATCTTACTTTCATTACAATTGTTTCCAGTGTATCCGGCAACACATGTGCAAGTATACATGTTGACTCCATCCACACATGAACCTCCATTCTGACAAGGATTCAGTAAACAATCGTCAATATCTGAATATAAAGACTTGAATTATTGCAATGAAAAACTTATATACACGCTAAAGTTGATGTACCTTTTACGTAAAACTTTTTTAAAAAAAAATGCTATAAAGACATATGGAAAAAAAAGTTGCCACAGAGAATTACCTGAAAATTAGAAAGCTTATGAAATTATAACCACAAAATAGGTTATAAAATGGGTTTGAAACATAGGAAAGTATTCAGTGTTCGGTCACAAGATATGGAATGACTCGTGTATGTACAGTGGATCTTACATGCTGCCAATTCAAAACCCAAAGCATACCTGTTTCACATGTTAAGCCTGTATAACCAGATGCACAAGAACATGTATAATCATTGATTCCATCAGTGCATGAACCTCCATTCTGACAAGGGTTCGGAGTGCAATCATCAATGTCTGAAACCAAATGCTTACTCAATTAGACGATAATAATGACAATCGATTTCAGTTATAGCGGAAACAAGTTTGTTTATACATTTGACATATATCATCAATATGTAGGCTTTTCTTACGTCTAATTCGTACTTCTTCAATATAAACAGGCGAATTGAAGCATTTAATAACACACCAGCAAGTTTTCGAATTGATATGGCAGTTTGGTTGACATGAAGTTGGAACTTCAAAGTGAAATAACATGAATTGCCTTAATTTTCATGCATCGTTAGAACTTAATAATATTTACTTGTTTCACAAGTTGTTCCAGTATATCCTGTCCCACATGTGCAAGAATACATATTTACTCCATCTTCACAGATTCCTGCATTTTGGCACGGGTTTGGGCTGCATTCGTCGATATCTATATAGTGTAATGAATGTATGAATCCATTTTTATTTACAAATCTTTTTTCGTTTTTTGAAGTTCATATCACAGTAATATGCTCTTCATAAACAAACAGTGGCAACGTTATCCTTCACCTGTATCTACAACCATTTATCCATTCTCTACCGAGCTAACGAGAATCAAAAACTGACCAAAGTTGGGTAAAACGTTAGGAGTAGACTGCCCGAATTTCACACAATAGCTTGTGCAATTTCAAGTTATAATAGGTAGATTTATTAATATTTTATTTGTGATAAAACCTTGGCAAATAATAAATACTTTCTAATACCTGTTTCACATGATGGTCCGGTGTAACCCGGTACACAATCACATGTATAACTATTAACTTGATCATGACATGTCCCACCATTCTGGCAGGGGTTTGACGCGCAGTCATTAATATCTAAAAATAATAAACAGGCAAGAGATAACGATTCTGCTGAGCCACAATAGTAAAAATTATCTGAAGAATGTAAATCAGGATGATAAAACTTCAGTCTACTTTCGTAATAGAAACGCAGTTTCAGTTAACGTTATGATAGTCGCTAAATATTTTCAGTATCGCCCGGTAAAAGACAATATATTATTAGAGTCATTGATAAACAACCAATAGCAACAATAATATAAACAATATGTTTATTTACCTCGTTTACAAAAAATGTTCAATGCCAATGTTCGGCAATATTCAAAAATAATACGCAAAATTTGTGTAGTGTAGAAACTCTGTATTGTGTACTCGGTGTAGAGTATTTATATTGAACGCAGTAATTTGACCATTGAAACGTTTGCGAATATTATGAATATATATAGGCTATTTAATATTCTTTATACATGCGTAAAAAATTTGAAACATTTTTACTATAAAATTTTAATGAACATACCGCAGTCATCATCACCCAATGACACATGGCTAATCGCAAGTAGGGTGAAGACCAAAATCTGTGAAATAAAAATGCATGTTTATGTATTTTTCCTTGTTTTATTTTCAACCCACCAGCGCCAACAGAAAAAAAAAACATTCGACAATTTGTCAAAACGATTCAAATTGTGTCTAAAAATATAAACAAATGTGCAGAAAGTACACAATATTGCAGATCTATTTGATGAAATTGATGTGAAAAAGTAAACAAGGACAATTGCTTCGAAATTAACGATGTTTTGAACGATGAATGCGAATTGCATGATGTAAACTTTATAAAAAAAATCATAAAACTTTGTTTCTCAAATCCTGGCTATGTTGACACAACTTACAATCGAATTATGTCTAATGTCGGTGAGGGGATCTGATTACAATACACAGAAAAATATTTCAATTCAATAAATAGATGATTATATTGTGTAAATAAATCCGTATAAAATTTTTTTATTTTACTATATACCTTTAAAATATATTCACAGAATTTTGTATTACTACTGATTATATATGGCGTTTCAAACAGCAATAAAACAATGCAATAACCTTACCACGATTCCGGTTTTTAGATCCATCGCGTCCGTAGTATTATATCGGAATAACGTCGAGACAAAATGTGATTTCCTTTTTATTATCATCATCAATTTTTAGATTTTTTCACTCAGCTATATATTTAAAACTCGGGTCTTTAACCGAAATAAACTTTTTCTTACTTGATAGCCTTATATAAAACATTTTAGTTTTATCATGAAATATTATTTACAATGTGTTTTTGGTTAGGAAAAAATAGACATGTTTTTCACACTCATAAATCAAAAACTCATTAGATGAGATATTTTGGATTATTTGTATTTATACTTTTACAGATGCGTCAATTACACGTAATTTTAATTGGAAATTGCCACACCTAGTTATATTAAGGTTAGGTTGCAAGTTTTACTTAAGGTGAGGATTAAGAAAATTAAACAGAGACACCGTGATAACTTTCATAACACTTAGGTACATTGATGGCAAAAAGATGACGTTGTTAATTTTAGATGCAAGATTACTTGCACGCTGCCTAGAATTACTCGTTTTTTTTTCAACGAAACGATGGTGAATTTGCATTCTTCAATCAAGTTTTAATCACGTGCCAAACATGTAAAATACTATACCAATAGTCATTTCAAAATTTTTGAATCGAGGCAATTCATGTGGAATATATATACAGCTATATGGAAAACGTCCAAAAATGTTTTTATTTCAAGTCTGTATGAAATTTACAACTTTTACTTTTTTATGGCAAAAGTGGGTTCTCTGTTTTTTACTCGTGGTAAGAAAGTCTAATTTAAGATTTTGATATATTGATTACTGAGTCAAAAGTATAATATATATGGACCTATATCGCAGAGTTTTAATTTGATATATCTTCTGATTAATTATTCTTTCAGGTAATATTATAGTCGTTAGAGAGTTTTCGTGCAAATAAAAAGGAAGCAATATAAGTTACTCTCAGGCTATTTTAAATATTGGTGACGTCAATATACAAATTAAAGATATTTATCTTATACCTAATTCACTATGAAAAAGTTTACCAAATCTTGTGCATCTCATAGTAATTCTACTAACCAGGTCAATATCGTTATTGTATCTTCATATGCACAGAAAATGGTTAGATTTGTATAATAAATATTAAATGTGTATGTATTTGTATTATACGTAAGATTTTTATTATGTAATCAAGTTAGATATTGAAGTCTTATCTATTTTATATCTTGTCTAATAGCACAAAATGGATGTCGTATATTGGACATCCATATATTGCCGAAAATATTTGCATGTTACGTATCACCTACTTTTTCTATTTAATTAGTGATAAAAACAGACATTCAAGTTCAATTAAATCGTTTTCAATTTCAAATACAAAAAAGAAGTTTCGACAAACAAGGCGTGATTTAGAATAAGTAGTCGATACCAATACTACTTTCAACATTTGATAGGTTATGAGAGTATTTATTTTTATTTATTATTTTTGTGACCGATGAAAAAATATTAACGACACCTATATATTTACATCTCTGTATGAGAGTGGAAGAAAAATTATTTTATTTCATTTCATCTCAATGTACAACAAGAAAAAAGCTTTCATTATATGAAATTTTCAGAATCTTGTACATCTGTTAATTTTATAAACACTTACTCACAAACAAAATTAATTTCAAGATTTGTTGAAATATTGTATATATTTATATATGAATCACACACACAAATTTAATTTCAGATAGTTGTTGATTAATTGTGCTTTTTAGAATATGTAGTTCATAACTTTCGCCAAGTCGGGATGAAATTGATATATATATATGAATTTTTTATTATTTAATCACCCAATGACGTCAATACCATTTATCTCAAACCACTGCCCACCTCCATAAATAACGTTGGGCTACTAATATGTCCAGTTGTACCAAACTATGTTTAAATCGTGTAAACGTTGTGTTGACTGTGAGGTTCAAGAACAGTTATATACCGGTGGTCGAGTTTTAAAATATTTATTGACTTTCAATCCTACGTTCGGTGGCGGGATATTTAACAAAATAAAACATTTGCATTGTATCTATGACGATCTAAGGACATCTAGTTGAAGGATACCACATCATAATTGTTTCTCTGTGTCATGCAAACACACCATTGTAAAATCTTGTAAATATACTTTCAGGTATATAAGCCTAATTAAAGCAACAAAGTATGTGTTTTGAAAATAGTAAGATATTATTTTCTTTGCTATGCACAAGTTACAGCAATAATTTTATTAATTGTAGTAAGGCTTTACTGTTTATGCTTCTTTGTTATCGACCTTTCTTCGTATCGACGAATTTGTGACGTGTTTCCGGCTCCCGTCCGAGATTTGAGAATATTGTGTTTTTCATGTTTTTGTGTTGCTTACTAATTAGGATTCCAACCGTATAACTGGTATTAAGTTTATATTTCAATATATTTGTGTGGATTCAATTCGATCGTGCAACTTTCCAATATACGAACATTTGGCAGAGCAATTTTTGTGTGCTATTGACCTCCAAGGGGTCAGATAGGGGAATTACTCCGCTAACGTATAATAAATAATACGGGAGTAAGGAAACGCAGATAGGGATACCCCTATAATTCCAATAATAACATAGATCCAGTTTTGAAAAATACTACGGTTCCAGCCAGAGCAAATTGGGGGGCAAACGCTTACTAAGCTTTTATTTATTGCAAGTGCACAATAACTACATTGAATATAATGAATATGAGAGCATGATCAAACAGTTTCAGCAATGTTGACAAGTAGCCTATATATATTTTATACGGAAATTAGAGCTAGCGCAAAAACTCAAAATTGTTTTCATTATCAACACATTGTGAAAATAAAAATAGAAATATATATATATATTCGTTTCTTTCCGAGTAGCTATGGCGTGCTAAGTAATCAAAACTACTTTTAGGTTATAATTTGGATATCAATGTGTAGCTATAGCTTAATCACATCTAAAATCACGTACACTACGTGAGAGTATCTACATATAGATGTACGTATCCTGAGATATACAAAATAATGTCAGGTTGTCGAATGAATAATTTCTTTTTTTGATAAATGATGATCTCCAAGAAGAAGTGTAAGAATAAGTGGACTTTTTATTAGGCCGCAAGACGAGGCCATTTATTTTTCAGTTTTGTAGCGCACATAAGGTAACTCCCTGAAAATGATTTTAAAATGTTCCTTAGAAATTTAGTAACAAATATTGCCACTTCCAAAAGCTGCACGTTTTACGGAAAAGACGCTTTCACTACTATATATTTGAAAGTTTCATTTCAATAATTAACCAGATGGAAATTTTTTTAATCTGTAAAATATAAAATGAGAAGAATAATGTATGTGCTTCTCTTTCATTGATTATACAATAATGTATGCTCCTATCGGAACTAGTGAATTAGCATTAACAATTGATATGTGGTAAAAAAATTGTTCAACTGCCCTTTCTTTCATAATTGTATCCATAAATGCAAGTCTAACGGTATCAGGGCCTTTGTATATTATTAGGGGAATTCACGACCATTATCTATGACAATAATTCAGGTATTTGCTTTTACGTCCAGCGCGTTGATTTTATCGACATGTTTATTTTTGAAAGACAACGGGAGCATATATTGCAACTGTAGTAGGAGAAAGGTTTCGTTAATCATGTTCAGACAAGCATATAACGGTATAAACCTATTGAATTTTTCCGTCATTTTGCAAGAGACGAGCAAAAAACATTCATGATTGTGTAGGGCGACAATGGTTCACGATTCCACAGTAGCACAATAGATCGAAAAAAATCCCAAGTCAGACGATATATGATATTTATGACCTCGAAGCTACAATAGCCGCGGTTCGCTATGAACGGGCACAAAGGTAAATATTATTTTTATTTACATAGCTATGGCGCAACGTTGTATAAACTCCTGAACTCCCATGCTCAATTAAGCTCTTCTTTTTATAAACGTAAGCTGTATATTATGTATTTATGATATTGGACTACACAGATTTGCAGTCAGTCTTTGAATGCATAATATTCCTTTATCAATAGGTCATCACCAGAGATTACTGGTACTGCTTTAAATTTGCTATAGTTTATTGAAAGACTAGAACAGTGCATAATGGAATAATGATATGGACTTATGATATGGTTGTAAATCAGTAGCCGGTTTCCAAGAGTCTCCTTCAGAGTGTAAATGCCTTTAAAGAAGATTAGATACAAGTCGCAAGTTAATGAAACCATACTGCTTTATACTTGTTTCCTTGGATAAGCTGTTTGAGATGAATAGATAATTAGTATCATAATACTGTAATACGATATCATTGTCATAATAACTCATATCTTAAATTTTATTGGGGAGTTTTCAAGTCACTATCGCATTATAACGCACTTTAACCATATCTTGCTAGATGGACTAAGACTCTAACCATGAAAAGAAGTTTGAAATCAGAGAAGAGTGAAACTGCTCATAGTGAAATAAGAAAGACAACAGCTGAAATGGGAAATACTAGATCACTCAATTGGGTTGATATAGATTTTCCTCCTGAAACTGTGAGTATATTTTTGTTATTTGTGTATTTTGATAATATTTGACTTACCTTAATTCATTTGGTGACAATTACAACAATGAAATGTTTGTTAATATTTATGCATGACACTCATTTTGAGTGTTATTGTTGTATAGTACTATAGTAACACAAATCTGTAATTACATTACTTGCATTGCTAATATCAATTAGCTATGTAATACTTGTCTAATATACATGGGTGACCCATTATTATAGTATTTTGATGAGTTCATTTGTCCTGTATTGCTTCTTCTGTAAGGCAGTAAGGTAAAATTCTGGTAAATTCAGTTTCAAATCTCATAGAGGATGATTACTGTATTTTGTGTATGAGCATAGCCAAATTCTTGATGGTTAGTGATAGTCTTCTTCAGCACATAATTCATTCATCTAGACTGAGACCATGAGTGGATTAACTATTTCTGATTTCCTGTCTTTTCAGCAATATAAAACTATTCTGGAAACCATCAAAGAAAAGAACAAAGAATCGGATGAATTGCATTTATTCAAAGATACTGAGTTTCCTACCAATCAGTCATCATTATTTCATATCCCTGACACCGTTAAATATGATTGTATAACTTCTTGGAAGCGACCCCACGTTAGTCTTATATTCTGATTTTATAAATAGTAGATGGAGTACGATTCTTTTCATAGATCTTGAATTTTTTTTGTGTATAATGTATTTGGTATGATTTGAGCTAAAAGATAACAAAGTGAATTGAGCAAATATTTCATTGCACTGTTTGTTTGCCACAGTCAGTAACTCCCATATATTGTCATATTGTGTATTAAAAATATCATTTTCTTGTGGAATTACCTACTATCGTAGCTTTAAGTTTACTCTAATCTTTTCGAATCGTTCGAATAGATACAATGAATATTTAAACAAATTTATACTATTATGCCTAAAAATATCATTTGTCTATAAATTACTCAGGAATTATCAGCTGATCCAGAATTTGAAAACACATATCATGTTCAAAAAATAAATGTTGGACCTTTTACCTCATGGTACACTTGGACAGGTGCAATAGCGGCTTTATCAACAAGCCCAGCATGTTTGGTTAAAACGGTCAGTATTTTCTCTTTTCCAAATTTTAGTTGAGGTTTCAAGACCTTGATTTGCTTATTAAGTATAGGTATATTTTGACCGCATAATCAGCATAATAGATGATAAAATAATTGATAAAAACAAAATAATCATAACTGATTATGAAATCGGGAGAGCAAACAAAACCTTAAGTAAGTTTTAAAATGTACAGATTTTAGTTGAAAGATGTTGTTAAAAGAAGTGGTACATGTTCACTCACCCAAAAGTAATAAATTAATTAGAGCATGCACTCACACACACAATCACAGATACATGATGAGATCAGGAGATGAAAAAAACTCTTTCTTGTATGAAAAAACTTCTAGAATTTCTTCCCTATACTCTTTTAAGATAATATACTTTGGCACTATTTCGGTACTTACAAATAATGAAATATGTCAATGCCGTTTCACTTACACCTCATTTGTTTTTCTTGACCAGATAAAGCCACGTAAACAAACTTTAAATGGTGAAGAGTACGTTGGTATGTTTATATTCCATTTTTGGGAATTAGGATCTTGGACCGATGTAATTATTGATGATTATCTTCCTATGATTGGAAATGATCTTGCTTTTTCAAGAGTTGATAAGAAAGATCCTTACTGGTTACCTTTAATGCAAAAGGCATATGCTAAGTATGTTTATTTTAGTAAAAACTGTGAGTAGTAAATAATAATGCTCTAACTATTCATTAATCAGATTGAAATTGAATAGCTTCATCATATTTGAATATTTTTACTACCAAAATCTTATAATCTATAATAATTGCATAATCGAGTTTTATGTACTTATCGATAATGCAGACACTGTGGTACATATCAAGCGGCAGGTGGTCTCTTATCCGAGTTTTTCGAAGATTTTACTGGCGGTTTGGCTATCACCTACAGATTGAATTCGGAAACAGGAAACGAAGTGTTCACAGCTCTCCAGAAGTGAGATTTTTATTATTATTTAAAAATTATAAGGAAATGATTTGTGTTGTGTGTGGTATTAGGGATCCAATCTCTTTGTTCCTTGTTAATATAAGTTTTGTAATTTGGAGGGAGTTTAAATATGTAATTCCTTTTGATTTGTGTTACCAATTATTACTTATCAATCTTTAGATCGGTAAGTATGTTGATAGGTATTTGTCTGTTTGTCTGTCTGTTTGTTTGTTAGATGCACGCAATATCTCACGAAAGCGTGGTTGATTCTGCTCCAAATTTTGCATGTGCATTCATCATATCTCGGACCAGAAGCCTATTGATTTTGGATAAATTATGTCGTATAATTGGCGAGTTATCAATTAATTAGTGATGGGACACGCGGTGTCACTATAGAGTCATGAATCGAAACCGCAGTTTCGATCGATAAGTCCTCGGTCTCCGACCGATATTCTCGTTTTATTGTCTGTCATGTTTATTATATAGTTCAACTAAATGTATACTTGTCATATCACATTAATATTGATGTAGTATAGAAATCCAAATGCTTATTTAAAAACTTTTGACTCGATGCAGAAATCCACTCGGACAGAGGTCAATTCAATAGTAATTATTGTACATGAAAATTCATAGATATATGTGATAAGAGCATCTGATGGAAGCCTCTAGTAGAGTCACTTGACAAGAATTAGGAATTTTTAGATATAATATCTATTATAATATAACAATTAATTGATTATAATAATTATTGAATTATCTACATTATAGAGCCTTTTAGACCAATATGATCAAAACAGTAAAATGATGAGAGCAAACATAAACATCATGTTCATAAGCAGATCTCATTTAATTTTGACTTTTCACATTGTAAAATTAACTTATTTTGTACATACGGTTCGAAGATATATTTAACATTCAGGTTCCAAAATATTCTTTCTAGATATGTAAAATATGCTTTTTGATCAACATGGGGTAGGGGCAAAGTTAAAACTTGAGACAAAAGAGATAATGTATAGAATAAGAGACTTCTTATTTCCATTATTGCTTTATATTTGCTTTTCTTTTGTATTTTACATGTGTCAATTCTCTTTGGATAGAAATTAATCACATTGCGAACCAAGGCCTCTTGTCTGGTTATTAGTCCATGTCAGGTATGGGATTAGTTAATTAGTTAACGGTTACGTCAACCACCTCACAGTGGCATGGAGTCCAGCAATCTCTTGCGAGATTCGAAACGAGGCAATCAGATGTGCCGCAATGGTGTATTCCTAATTTGCTTAGCACAATGTGCCACATCCTCAGCCTTTGATTTATGGTACTTTAATTTAATTCACAATTTTTAATTTTCCTATCTTTATATTCACAGAGCTAAAAACAATTCTAGTTTTGTTTGTTGTACTAAAGAATTTCCAAGTGTGGAGATTGATTCCATGGATTATATAGAACAACATGGTTTTAATGTCATAAAAGCAATCGAGGTTTGTGTTTAGAAAACAGTGGTTTGAAACTTTCCTTTACAGTTAGTCATCAGCAGGATTTTATCATTGTACATCATAAAGATGGACTTTAAGCTAACATGGGTTTGCCATATTTATCCCAAGGCAGAGAGGGAAGGCAAATAATATGGCTTAATCATGGGTCAAATGGCTTGACTTATGATTAAGCCAAGATCCCTTGACTGGTGACCAGTTCATGTCTTGTGTGAGAATATTTAACCACTTGCCGTACTTGTTTCCAATACAAGGACTTGCTGGTGAGGGAAAGCCATAACTGATTGGTTATTTGAGACACCTTATAATTAGTAGCTAATACCTGGTTAACTAATCCTATACCCGACATGGAGGCCAGTGAGCTTTTCATACAAAATTATCCATCATAAGATTCCTACCTGAAAACTCACACAGGAGGGTATTCAGAAGTGCGATTTGTGAAGTTTAATTCAAATCATGTATCATGGTTATAAAAAATGTTACATGTGTTATTTTGGATGTAGGAATTTATAGTTAATAAAAAAATTTCTCATGGTTCACTTACCGTAAATTTCAGTTAAATTCTGACAGTATTTTTATTCCCAATTTGCTATTGGTATCAAATATTTTAGTAAGAACAAATTGACGTATCAAGTGTTTCTTCTGTGTACTAATTTTTAGGCTCTCATTACCTCTGTACTGTTGTATGGTCATCGTGACCTTGGAGTTTATTTCGGCACAACATGCTTCCTGCTATAATATAAAGTTTTCAATAAAAATACTGCCCTTTTTATAGATTGAGAATGAAGGATCAACATTGAGATTGATTGAAGTTATGACACCCCATCAGAAGAAACCTGATTGGACTGGTGATTGGAGTGTTGAGTGAGTTTGCCCTTGTTTAAATAGTTTGTAATTTCATAATGCCTCCACTATAATTTTTATACAAACAGTTACTTATGATGTAGGGGCCACTAGATTTGGGATGATTGTAATATAACAGTATCTTGCTATAGCATATCAATTATCCTGGTTCCTTGTGCAGTGATGGGAAAGATTTAAACCAAGATTTATCCAAATATTCAATTTTTTTATTTGATTTTTTTTTATCTTAGGCAGTTTGAGCTGTAACTGTGAACTATATGAATAGAAAAACAGTGGAATCACTGTTTATTCGCAAATTTTCTGGGTTTCAAAATCAGAACATTTTTGAATATAGATAATTTGCTTGAAGCAAGGTCATGCACATTCACTTACTTACCGTAGAAGTAGAGGAAACTTCAAAAATCTGAGCAAACTCACGTGCGATCACTGAAATTCCAAGAACTACCAAAACTATATGGATCAATGTTGCTGCAATGCAAGCCAAAATATCTTGATTGATGTGATACTCGATGCAGTTTGAGTCAATACAATCAGGATTCCGAAAACTGGATCTAAATTTAGCATTGTAATATTAAAAAAATATTGGCGCTCCAGAAGTGTGTGTACCAATATGGGGGTAACTAATTTTGTTTGCCTATTTTACATCAAGTTGTGTAAAGGGACTGAAAACTATGGCCAAGGGGCATAATCATTTGTCTAACACAGACAGTCCTTAAACTTGTAATAGAACTAAAATGAGGAAAATCGGAATAAAATTATGTCCTAACCCTAAACTGGTACACATGCTACGGGAGTACCAAAATATTTGATTTAATTTTACCAATGAGTAAACTGACTTACGTGAATTCATAGAAACTCTTTTTTGAATGATCAACGATAGCGAGTTCATGCTTGTTTCTACAACTTGTGTTTCTGAAGGTAAAAATGACCAAATCATTTTGGATTCAGATCTAAAAAATTTAAAGAATCTGAACATTTGCATGAAAAAATGGGATATCATTCAATGCCCGATGGTCGTTTAGAAAGACAGCTTTGTGGAGTATTTACTATGAGTTTCGAAGATTTCAAGGAATACTTCATGGATGTGACAATTTTGGCGACTGGAAAGAATTTCCAGAAAGAGGCTGAAAGTAATTTTTATGGTGGACAAGATGAGTGAGTAGATTTGATTTTCAATTATATAGTTTGATGTTTAGTTTGTTGAATAGTTTTGTCAACTTTTTACAATTACTGTAACTAAATATTAATTCATTTGAGAAAATCTGTATTACAGCAAAATTGTGAGTAAGGCCAAGTAAAATTACAGTATGTTTTAAATGATTGCTGGCTTGCCTCACTTCTCATGGTTCTATACATTGCTATTTATGATAGGATAGGATTTAGATATTTATTCAAGGGGAGAGGAAAGGCGATAAGAAAGCTCAATCACATGGCAAACCACGGCCTCTCGTCTAGTTACTTCGTGTATGAGATTAGTTGGACATTTATCAATTTGAACAAGTTGAGCCAGTTACCATCTGAACATTTGCTATGAGATTAGGCTGACTTGTCATAACTTTCTCTCCCCTGTAGGAAAATCCTCTCCTATGGTTCTTTCCATTGTTTGCTGTTTACAATTACCTATGACAACCAGTCTAAGTATGGAAACAGTCAACTTGCTATTTGATTAAGCCGCCTCATCGCCATAGACGATTATGGGTTATGTGAACCACCCTACCATAGTGAGGAGTCCAGCAATCCGCTAGCATATTATAACTCAAACAGGCTAATCACTCTAATCAGAGGTAACACTGCAAGCTGTTGTCGCTTACGATATCTCCTCTCTCCGTGTTAATATAATGTGAAACAGAATTATTTTGAAGAAGCTCTTCTTTTTTCACTTTTTTAAATCTCTCCGTATTTATAGCTGGTTACATTGTGATGTGAAAAGTACTTGGAAACCTGGTTCTATACCAGATCTTGATTATGATAATATTGAGGATGATGACGTGTGTCAGTATAATCCACATTATTATATGGAACTTAAAGAACCTGGTAAGATTGGTATAGTGACAGTCTTAAAATGTTGGGTATTTTGATTTGGAAAATCAAAAGTCATGACCAGGCATGTCCAAAACGAATCGAATATTTAAATACATTCAAAATTGGTTATATTCGATATCATAAATTTTTGATTTTAGCAAGGATATTTTCATATTTCATAATGATGTTTCGAGCTTATGATAGCCAAAAAATTAATTAAATTCCGACAAAATAAAATAGAGAAAATTTATTGGAAACAATGTTCATTTTAAATATTCTGCATGGATGAATTTGATTTCTAGAAATTTTTGATTGGTCTGAAGTATTTCTCTTGTGGAACAGAGTCAGACCCATTTCAGAGTATAATAGATATTTTATATTCGAAAAGATTATTCGGAATACTAATTTATTTGGTTTTGGCCATCCCTGATCATGATATATGCAAAGTTTCACTGCAGTGGGACATAAATCCTAAATTTATCAAAAAATAGCAGGTTCCGTGGAATAAGCGATTTCAAAATTAATTTCTTATTCATATTATTTGCGCTTTGTTCTGAATAGGACTCTAGACAAGCCGCCACTGACACATAGGGACTACTATAACTGGATGAACCTGAATTTATTTCATTGCAAACATTGGGTAAAGTGGTGGAATAATTTGCTTGACCTGAAAATTTAACCAACAGTAGTAAATGTCCTTTCCATTTGAAATTTTCGAAGCCTACATTGGGATATTTATAGTTTGAATTGCTAATACTTTGAATTTGTAATATTAAGATTAAAAGACAACCTTCTTAAACAAATATGCCAATATGCAGATTTTATTTAAATATATATAAATAAGAAAAATTCTGACTGGTTAATAAAATCTTTTAAATGTTGTAGATGATTTCAATCCATATTATGATGCTCCCACTCTCAAATCTAAATGCTTTTTGTTAATGGAACTTATGCAAAAGGATATTTGGAGAACAGCTGCTGCTCAAAATGAGATTGATGATGAACCTTACTTGTTGTTTATATGTCTACACGTTTTCAAGGTAAAAGTGTACACTGTTTTTTTGGGTATGAATCAAGATGTCATATCGCTTCCTATGTGGAATTCAAGTCCATGCATCTTGAATGATTAACAGTCTAATTTTTCCTATACCCAGCCTGGATAGATGCCATATATTGAAGGCTTCTTTTCATCCCAGAATGATCATGAAAATAAATGTTATATGTATTAGCTTCTATTTATTATCTTCAGACGCTTAATACTACACCTTTTCATTTTTATTTTATACGCCTACCTTTCTTCACTTGAAAACATTTAGGATATGATATCATTTTATATTAATTCTAAATTGGATATGATAGGATTTACTTTTTTAAGATGGAAACACAGCTTAATCATATAGTGTAACACAGCTTCTTGACCGGTTACCAGTCTGTATCGAGATGGGGATAGTTTACCAGTTATTTGTATCCGATGCATGGACTGGTCGGAGACAACATCGGAGGCAATGTGAACTGTCTTACCACAGCTAGCAATTTTTTTATACATCATTTTTCTATGGAAGTCGACTTCCATCCCCTCTCTGATTTTATATCTTGCAGGTGAACGAAAAGCCTACATCACGACTTCCTGCTGATTTCTTTCGGGAGAATAAAGCTGTTATAAACACTAGAGCACATTGTGATTCAAGACAAGTTAGTTTTGCCACTGCTTTGGATCCAGGACATTATGTTGTGGTGCCTTCCGTGTACTATGATACAAAGGAAGAAAGTCCTTATTTATTGAGAGTTTATGCAGAAAGACAGTTACAACTTGAATTATTGTAGCTTGAATATTTTTGTTACGTATACCAGTAAAGTATGTACTCAAAAAGAAAACTAATATTCAACTAAATTCGTTACTACTATGAAAATGCCACTCTCCCTCTTCAGTTCAATTTTATCTCCTATTGTTCTGAATAGTCATTTTGTAAGCAAATTTAGGCAACCAAAGTGTTTGTTACTTATAAGTATGTTACTCGATAAGTATGTTGATAGGTATTTGTTTGTTTGTCTGTTAGACACTTTCGTATGTTACACGATATCTCACGAAAGTGAGGTTGAATCTGCTCCAAATTTTGCATGTGCGTTCAACATATCTCGCACCAGAAGCCTATAGATTTCGGATGAATTATTTCGTATAATTAGCGAGTTATTAATTAATTAGTAGCGGTGTCGCTATAGCGTCAGGAATCAAAACCGCTGATCGATAAGTCGGCGGTCTCTGATCGCTATCTAGTTTTCTTTCTTATTAGTAAGCGCAATGTCCTAGTGGTCAGTGGTCATACATACTTGGTATCTCAAGTGTCTTTTGTAGAAATGCATTTAGTTTAAATCACTTCGGTTTTTGAAGTATCATCGACTTAGCTCCTACCACTGTATTTTTTAGATGAGTATATTTTTAGCAAAAATACCCTTTTACTGCACTAGTTACTTACTGCACTATTTTGTTATCTATGTGTACTTATACTGTTTGTATCATGTGATTATGTACGGCTTTTACTAGTCCAAAAATACATGTATATATGCATCAACACAGTACCCTTGTTATAATAATGATATTGGTTTTGTCACGAGGGGTAAATTTTATAACCATCAAGATTTTTAGTTTCAGTACGGTATGTCGCAAGTCTCAAAATTTGTGAAATTTAAAATCAATTGGGCCACAAACCTTTCAAAAATTGATAGAGTTTTTTATATTTTATTTGGCAATTTGATTGTAGCAGCGATGGATGGTGATGCTATTTTTTGCTACCGATCGGTAATTCTCATTTTATTTATTGAAGTGGAAGTGTTTATTTTTGTTTGTTTTGTAGATGTAGTTAATGGGCCACAAAATTTTCTTGCAATGAATGATTAGCTGTTCCCAGTATTGTCTTGCCGGTGTCCGTTCGGTATTGGTGACCCTGACGAGCTCAAGGACAGCACCTCGCTATAGGATTAATCCGTATTGTCAGTTTCGCTTTCATGATTACACATGCAAATCATTACTTTGCTTAATGCACTGCGATATCAATTGCTATATATATTATATACGTATCTATTCTTCACATATACCAGACTTCATTTTCTCATTTCTACTTTATTACACTACATCAGTTTACCTCAAACAGGTTTCAAGACTACGCTCAAGTATGCTTTCATATCATTTCTGCGATATCATGTAACATTGTATAATCGTTACAATTACTGTATTATATTAGTCATTTTACATATAAAAAGCAATGTATTTTGTGCTCTAGTTGATGTCAAAATGTATCTACATCATCTGTCAATGCACAATATAAACATATTCATCATGATCAAAATGCAAGCCAAAATAATGTATCTCACTTATTCAAATATATAGTCACGAAAGTATTACAAGTTCATAAAACCCAAGGATAAGATTTGTGTCGATGACCAATGCCATACATTTGAGGCGTAAGCACATAATGTATCGGTACTGGATGCGATGTCGTATTTTGTGATGTAGACGTCATTATTTTAGACGAATTGTTATCTTGGCTGGATGAACACTCGCTCTTAATTTGCTCATAGCAATAGCGTGAATTATGCAATAAATTAGCACAGCAATTGTGTATATTTTTAACGAGCCATTTTGGTCTAAAACATTTATATAGATTCCATGTTGCTGCCTTGTCCATCAAATCCAGATTTTCAATGGTAAGTAAAAAGAAAAGCAATCAAAATCGTACATTTTCAATGTAAGCAGATTTAACTAATATGTCCATGTAAAGTACAATAAAGCAACGGATTAAATGTATAATTTACTTGTAGGGATTTAGATTATCTGCATTTAAAATGCCTTTAAAAATATAGCTTGAAGAAAACATAGCAACGCGATTTGAAATGTGGAGTTTTCGAAGCATTTGCTTCCAGAAGTCGTCGTCAGCACTGTAAAAAAGGACAGTATAAAACGTTATTAAAAATTGTTCCGAAAACGTTGGGATACGAAAATTTCAGAGCTAAAAACTGGAAACATTAAAAATCCGGTTTTAAAGCCTTCCAAGTAGCAAACACTCCATGCGAAAGGATAAAAGCTTTCAGAAATTATATTTCCTTTCTTTTTCTTGTGTTTAGTTATCAAGTCATATTGATTATTGGCAATTCAAGACGAAATAAGTATATATATACTGTATATAATTTATTGGTAAAGAGTTCGTTTAAAATGAGATAGTGATCTCCTACTTACCAGTGGTTGAGATTGTATTATTCCCACCTATGAAAATGATAAAGAAATATAAGTATGGAGATATCCAGAATTGTATATCCAAATTAAAAGAATATATTATTTGGTAGCCATAATTTTGTTTTACAAGAACGTCGGAACGTCAATGCAATAAAATTATTTATTTGTGTCAACCAAGTTTTACTCTATTAAAATACAAAATGTCCAAAAAATTTTCTTAACAAACACAAGCAAGTGGGTTACTGACTATAACCCAATAATAAAATTCAATATTGAGGGTGTCCGGTATTTTAAAAACGAGATGGGGTTTAGAAAGATAGGGTGGGAGTGTAATATTTCATATTATGTGTACTAACTTGGCAAATATTAAAGCTATGTGTTTTTCTACAAAAATGATTTAAAAAACGCATAAAATCACGATGAAAGTAACAAACATGTTTCTGTGTTTTTCAGGGCATTGATAAATAACGGTATTCCTCTTTGTCAGTACCAAGAAAATTATTTTATCAATCAGAATGTTTTTTTAGTTTAATTATGCATTCGTCAAATGGATTTTGATTATTCATATGTACATTAAAGAAAGTATTATTATTGAAATAGCTTATCCGACTAAAATCAAACTGCACATATATATATACTTGGTTTAAATAATGTATTGTTCAATAGCGTAGCCATCCCCAAAATTTATGGGTGGGGCATATTTGTTTTTGTATAATGACGTCATACGACGCTCACTCGTGCCTTTTTCTCCTAAGAAAGCCAGTTAAAAGTTGTCACTGATATCTAGCAATATCTTAAAGAATGGCTCTGCAGAGGCCCCTCGGGTCCCACCACCTGGCTACGCTTATAATATAGTTATCAATACGTCTTTTCTAGCAACTCCTAACTCGAAATTTATTGATAAAAATAATTTCTTTCATTTAAAATGCTGCAGTGTTCTCCTACTCACCCAAGGTTGAATTATTTTCACCTATTAAAATAATGAAAAAATATAGGTATTGAAAAATATGCAGTAAATCCAAAATGAAAGAATCTTGTTTAGTCGCCATGGAGATTGCAATAAAAAAAAATGTCGAGACGTCATTACAATGGATAGACGGGAATTTGAATATTCGATATTATGTATACTGATTTAATAAATATTAAAACTGAGCGTTTTAAAACAGGAAAGATTTAGAAAGATGCTGATAAATAAGTATATATATGAATTTTTAAAGCGTTCGTTAATAAAGAATATTGTTCGTTTCTGTTAAACCCTACGAAAATTGTTCCAAGAATTAAAATATTCCCTAGTTTAATTATGGATTCGAGTTTTTCATATATATATATATTGTATTATTATTATATATGGATTATTATACAGCTTATTCGACAAAATTTAAACACAATTACCTGCACATACTTGGCGTAATTTGTGAAAACGACACTCCCAAAAGTTGAAAATCGAAAAGTATTTTTTTTTTATGAAATCTAATTATGTTTCTTACCTTCGCCAGGCACTGTTGGGTTGGTATTACCTCCGCCAGGCACTGTTGGGTTGTTATTCTCAGTACTGGTCGTTTTTGTAGTGTCTAATATTATAGTATATAAAATGTTAATGCTGAACAGTGGTTTGAAATATATTTTTCTATCATACACACGTTTCATAAAATTTATTGGCTTTTCTGTGCATACCACTCTAATGTATTGGCTCTCCGCCTAATATGCTGTACTTGTAGCAACTCGGACCTTTTATTTGACAACAGATAAATACATCTAAAACAACCGTCTGTAACTAACGTGTTTCATCCAACAATCCAAGTATTCATTGGCTTAGTGCCTTCAAAATCAGAAAAAATAAAATTGCATTCTCTGTTATAGGAGACACACACAATTGTATTTATAAAAAATGGTTTTACCTGGTGCATTTGTTTGCTGACCGCCTTGTGTCTGCCCTGGGCCTACAATAAAAAGAAAACTCAAGCTTATCCTATATTGGAAAATATGACAATTGGATATTTGAAAATATTTTAATCATCTTGAATATACTGAATTAAAAAGCGCTTGGAATGAACACCCAACAGGAAAGGTTGTATCACGATTTTATAGCGACCTCTGTCTAGTTTCTACGCCATAAAAACTAGATATCTGATTTGAATCGTACTAAGTCTGTTATATAATATATCTTTATTATAATACAACTATTTTATAGCTTTCTGTTTACCTTGAGTAGATGTCGTTGTGCTAGAAGGGACCGCTGAATGGAAAATAAAAAATGAATGACATGATAATCTATACATATAGTTATATTAAGTAATTGATTTCTGATATGATGACCTAAATTATCACTTGCAAATGACCTGCTCACAAATCCGACTCAAAATCAACAGTTATAACAATCGAATACTATCAAAACTATAATGCACGTCCGGATAAATAGAAGCGTAATAAAGTCGTAATTGACAGATCAAAAAGCATAATATTATATTTCTAAAAAAACAGCTCGTCTATTCCAGGCAACAATTTGTACATACGCATATCTTGTATTGAAATATTACCTGCTGGCTCAGTTACTTCGACTGTGGTAGATGAGGTGCCTGGAATGAATTGTAAAAATACACATTAGATGATGATGTGAATATATTTTATTGGCGGCGTATTGGTTAATCATGCTGAAAGTTTTGGACCTATCCATCACAAAAGATTGAGTATGTGCGAGAGATTTGATTTTCTCCTAAGTGTGTGAGATGTCTGGTAGAGTGTTCTTTTTCCGCAATAAATTTAATTTCTATCTAAATATATAGTTCTCTGTAGACTCAGACTGTGTAGAATTGAACATATTAACACCTATAAAATTGACAAATTGTACCTCCCAAGGCCAGCAGTGCTGCGGTTCAAGAGTCGTGGTCGATTGAAAGTGTACATTACCACAGTTTTACATCCTTAGAATTGGATAAAAAGCCTTCAATGAAGTATTATAATACGAAGCTTACCGTTTTGTCCCTGTGCCACGTCAACCCACGTTATCATTACGACAAGGCATACGAACTGAAAAAGAAAAAGAATGTTTTTTATATCATATAATATGGATACTAAATATGTTCTAATTTGCCCATAGTTCGTTTAAACAACAAATTATTCTGTTGACCTCGGTCAACTAATTTTTCAAACGTTAGAATGAGTTTTTTCAGATAGGAAATCTCGCTTCGAATTTGACGAGTTCTGTACCTCGACTAAAATGTAAAGTAGGGCCTACTTAGCAGGCTATGCCATACCAGATAAGTCACATTGCTTCTAAAGCTATTGACTCTCTATATAAGGAAATGGTTGTTTAGATCCTTGTTTGAGTACAGATGTGAATCCTTCTTTGAAACTGTATTCGATTTTATGTTTCTAGTTATTATTATTATAATTTATCCAGTAATACAATCTCAATAATATTGCGGAAACAAGAAGTTTACTGGCTGCCTTATTCCACATAATTTGAGATTCACATATCTTTATATGCCGCCATATATGTGTTATTCTTCCTACCCATCACACTTTAAATGTCGTTGCTAGGGTGTGACTCATGCTCAAAATTCAACAACATGATCAACCAATAAAAAACTCAATTTCGTGTGCGTTGGCACGTTTCAATTAATTTATGATCACAAAATATTTGAATCGATGACGCATTTCTACTTGAATGTATGACTCACGTAATATCATATGGGTACGCCCTAAATTGTCGTAATTGTGTGGAGCCGTGGGTCGTTTTGAAATATTGTGATTTGTGTTGTGATTATTGGGAAAATCACAATTACCCCTTTTCACTGGACCAATCTTTTGAAATCTTCAATAGTTAGAGCTGGGACACCCTCCCGAAAGAATTTGATACTTTTCTATCCTATAGTTTCTCTAAGCATTCTTCGCGTTTATTACACTATTTCATGCTGAGTTAAAAAAAGTCCACCACTACCTAAATTTTCTGCTGATTGGGACGCGTTTGCCTGTTTGCGAGGCGATAGTCAAAAGTTTTGTTTCTATACCTTCGAATTTCATTCTTATTACAATTAATCGGTACCTCTCACAGTTTTAATCGAGGACTAGGTGTCATGCCTCGAACAAATTTCTATAAAAATATCTACAAGAAAATCTTTTTTGTACCGTCTGCCCGAATATCATTGATCGGATGCTGAATGTATTTTTAAAACTTTACACTTGTATTCGATATATTATTTTATGAATGAAGATATAAATTGTAATGAATTGTAAAAATAAATAACTTGATTCCGAAAATAATAGACTTTCCTTGTAGGAGCAAAATTTTTATTTTGAAACTTTATCAAATAGTAATATCCGTTGAATAAATAAAAACTTAAACTTTAAAAAAAAATTTTTTACTTCACAAATGAAGGGATTTTCCCCCCTCATATTTTTGTTTGAAATCGGTATTTCATACTGATTATATATTTAAATTTCTCTTTAGCTTAATAGTAAATATTCTTCATTTTATTCTAATTTTATCACTTTTTTCCATTGTCACAAACAACTTGACTTCTTAATAACAGAGCTAGTAATGTGCTCTAAAATGTAAATATATACATATAAATATAACTTACCACGATGCAAGTTTTTGTCGACATCTTTTCTGGATATATTTTCACGATAAAGGAAATTTATTTTCAAAGAACTATAATGTGAACCTAAACTCTATTCTTACAATAAGATATGTTTTAATCAACTGAAAGTATATATAATATAGGTATTTTTTCTCGTCTCCCTTTTTAAATAAACTTCTTAAACGTAAAAGTTTCTGGCATCTTTCGGTAACTTTATTTCATGAAATTTAAGAAAAAGGATCTTTAATTTTTGTGCTACATTTATTTTTTTTTAATTTGAAACTTTGAGAGCATGTCGTACTTTGTCATCTCGCCCATTTTTAATTCCTAAACTCCATTAAAATATATTTTTGTGTTACATGAAACTTTATACTAATTCTGCATCTTTTTATGTAGCCAACAACAAGTTTGTTCTTGCCTAGTTTGCTTTCATGTATATCTTATCTGTCTGTCTGTCTGAGAGGGCGAACCCCAAATTTAAAATAAATAACATGTATGTACTTGCCATGGGATTGGCAAACAAATGGAGTGACGTGTTCGGTGGTTTTGAATTTATCTCAAGTACAATTGGTAACTTATTAATTCAATTATAAGAATGATACATACCGTATTTCAGGCGATTAAGTCTACCCGGTGAATAATGCGAGGCCCGTTTTTTAACCTGAAAAAATGGGTTTTTGTCTACAACCGACCAATAAGACGGGTAGTAAAATCGCATCAACATGGGAATCTCAAATGACCATGCAAAGGCTTTTGAGCAGTCGCCGCGTTTGTGCATTGGTTGAAATAGCCTATAATGACTTTTTCTTGAGAGTATTATTCAATTCATAACAACTAAGGAAATTCAAACTGTCTTTCAAATCTAATTGTGTTCAACGTAACTCGCGATTGCGTCCACCATATAAGAACATTACCGATCCAAAATAACACGACAATCTGCGGACATAATAATGTGAGATAAACTACCTGATTATATTTATTTTTTATAGATAAATATAAATATACACGTAAAGTGTATATATGATAATCACAGCATTGAAATTCCAGATTCACAGCGCGAGAATGCCGAATTATTAAAACTAACCTGATGAGGACGTGGGGGATGCTATCGCCTTGGGTATTTTATGGTCCGAATTAAATAATAGGGCGACACCCAAAAAACGAAAATTATCATACTCAGCTAATAAGACGACTCCCCCAAAATCAGGCCACAAATTTGGGTCTAGAAAAGCGACTTATTCGCCACGTTCAACATTTGTGAAAATATATGTTGATTTTTGCTCAAAGCCCCGAACGGATGTCATATAATTTTCAATGCGTAAGATATCTCCTACAGTCTTATTTTTGTCTTAGCAACCGTTTCTTGCTGTCTTGTGATGTAGTCTACACACATTGAGTAATCTTAATATTGAAACCATAAATTTTAATTCGAGCGCTTTTTCCATTGTCTTTTAAGGTTTTTAATATCTTTTGAATCAACAAAACCAAAATTAAAGCTGTCCAATATCAACTTACAATTTCGAGAAGACAATCATAAAGTTATATAGTATTTTCATGAATCACACGTTTGAAGAAACAATATAATAAACCTTCATAAACCTAAAACTTCATGGTACATAAATGTATGTGTAAAGGCGTCAACTATTTGAAATTTGAATTTTATTACCTGCAACCATGGAGACCTTCAGTTTAACAAAGAATGTTTGAAAATCAAATATATGTGTATTTCTTGATTATTTGTCTTTCCAAAAAATATTATAGACAAAATTAGTAACATTCAACTTGTATTTGTTAGTAATAACCCCGGAAATGAAAAATCTTGGTGAGCATTCAAAAGAATGAAAAGGAGACACGACCTGTGAAGATCACCTCGTAGATGATGGGGAAATTTTGACCGCTCGGTGATTATATTCGGTTGTTAACTATAACGGTATATTCCTAATCGATCGGAAACAATTCAACATGGTAACACTCAGTTGTACGGTTAGGCTGAAATCTACGAACAAGAAAAAAATGACAAAACCCCTCTTTTCTATACTTTTACACACATATATATATACATACTTCCACCCGGATCATATTTATTTTTGCTCATTTATTTAACACCAAAACACACGAAAACAAAGTAAAATAAGAGCTACAACGGATATGGTACATCTCATGACCTTTAAAATTGTGAAAAGGGCAAATAAAATATTGATTCCGATGAAAAAACTCAAACAATAGAGACGACGCGCAATTAAAGTTTTTATTGAAACTTTACAACTTTCATTTGTGCCTTTGGACGATCGTATTAAAATTCAAACTCAGTTAAATGGTTATTAGAAAAGAAAAGCGACGGGTTACTGATATAAAAGTTCTTAAATGGCTTCAAGTATTTTGATCAAAGCAAATTCACGAGACATAAATTAACAATAAGAGAATCTTCTTGTAAGACTCTTAAATCCTACATTTCGTTGCCAAGGTTGTACGTGCTTAGAAACAAAATATGGCGTAGCTGATGGTTTCGATTGCAACAATCCTGTTAAAGTTCAAGTGCGTGGTTTTGACTAGAATTTCGATTCTATGGTTGTTCAAATAACATTTTGATTGTTTTATGGATATGGATGATGGGCGTACACTCAACAATATTTATATTTCTATATTTTGTTTGAATCTGTAATCGAATGGTTGCCAATACTGCTTGTATCTATGTAACTTATTCTTGCGCCTAGTCAATCTATATTTGTCCAACACATCTAAAGTACATTTTTATCTGCCATGACGCTATTGAGAAGTAGACATACATGCCACAAGTTAACTTTTTATCATCTTTGATTGGTATTCAATACCGTTTGGTTGAACATCGCTTTTTGTATAGGCTATCATTATGTTACTTTACCTGATTCCTCCGTTTCATATACGCCAATATCGACGACCCTATCGTGGGAAATTTCAAAGCTCAATTTATGAGATATTTGGTGTGCTTATACCGTGGTATTCATTATTGGCGTTGCACAAACTGACTAAAACTCGTTTTATAGCAATAATTCGTATAAGAAAATGTTCAAGACTCTATGTTGACTCTATTGTATATGACTCACTCATAGGAATCGAACTGAATATTTAGTTAAGTAAGTTTTCTCCCAAATGAAGGTCAACAAGAAACAATATTGCCAAAAGGAAACCTTATCGGGGTGACAAATTTCCTGCTTGTGTCTTTTCAAGTTCGCAAATATACATGATTTATGAAGTTTACACAATATATACTTGTAATGTTTGGCTTGTGTGACGTACCACAGAACTAACTATTACACCCTAGATATCGACGTGATTGTTACAGACTGTGGGGAATGATACTGTTTTCCGATAAATCCTTTCTAGTCAACATTTATTACAATCAATCCATTCTGTTGGAGCGGCTTACTAGCGCCACATGACCCGAGGATTTGTAAAAGCAACGACGCGAAAAGAAACGTATACATGCTATATTCGCACCAAGAACTGTCTTTTATGTTATTAGCTGTCTTCGAAATGGCCTTTATTTTTTGTTATTCTTCTGCTTGGTTGTTGTAAATTACAAATTAAATTACGTGAGCAAGCAAATAGCATAAACTTCATCACTATGTCAAAATTTCTCCCGTGTGAATCAGAAATATTTGGTTTTATAAGAGGGTAATGTTAATTTGTTCGCCAAATTGAGTTGCCGAGTTCATCGACTAAGTTTTGTAATGTTATTATAATATTTGGTCACAATATTCCGATTATAAATATCTGACAGAGCAAGCCTTACAATTTGAAATTTCATATCTAGATACATATTTTGGGACATTTCTTGGTGTTCCTCACTCTTTGTCACGTTGTGAATATTGGCCGAGTTGAAATTGAACTCACGCATTCGGAAGTACTTGCAACTCAATTACCAGATTTGCAAAGGTTATTCTCGTGGTTTCAAACCAATACGTGCGTGATGTGTGACGCAACAGGATGGGGGTGAAATGTCAATCGTACATTGGAACTTGTAATTTTAATTTGGCGGCATTGTGATAGTCATCAAAGCAGATTCCTTTTGGGAAAGTATGCGCCTTGATGCGCATTCTTTGTAGCTGCTGTTGTGATGTGCAACCTATTATTCTAGGTATTCTGAAGCTTATTTATTCTTCAAACCTTTTTTGATGATGTTAATTGAGCGAGAACTTGGCGTTCAGTGAGCGTTCAAATCTTATAAAAACCTCTTTCATATGGTGGTACGGCGTGCACTGTATATTTGAATTCAGATATTTTCAAATTCCTGAAATATCAAGTTAGTGAAAAAGAATGATTAGGTTACAATTATTCAGTCTAATACCAAACAGCAATAAAAAATAATATATTAGTTAGAGATATTCGTCAATTGCAATTATGTCATATTGCATTTAAACTTTCATTTTTATTATGTAGGTATTACTTTGATAAAAATAAATGAAGTGTATTTCTATTGCTTACTTTTTTTCTACTTCTTTTTTTATCTGCATAATTTTGCTTATTAAAAATAGTTGGTATAACATAAAGTTGATAAAATTGATTAGAATTGAATTAATTATCATGAATGAAGAAGGATATTACGAGGAACCTATGAAATGGACAACAAATTGTAGAGATTCTGATGCTGTTTATGAAAACGAAAGTAGAAGTATGATATTCAATCCATATATATACGGCTAAAAGTAATTTTAATTACAGAAGCGTTGTTAATCACTGTTTAGCCTCCCCCTCTCAGGCATATTAACACTGAAGTCAAATCGGATAACATTACATCGTTTGAATTAGATAAAAAATAAATACTCAGATTTACTTTTCTGGTAATAATTTTCTTTAAAAACTTAAAGAAAACGTGCCCGATCACACGATTACAGTTAAAGACATTTTCTCAATAACAATAAGTCAAGTAAACTGAATTGTAGAGTTAGTATGCCTGACTCAAAATTTGTCTAGAACAAACTAATGAGATCACCCCCCAATCTATTGGAATACTTCTCATAATACTTCTCATTGTATTTGATCCATATCATAGAATTCGTTTGAAATAACAAAAACTTTCACTACTGCGATTGTTATCATACAGTGGTGCTAGTCGTACCTGTATAAAATTTTGGATTCGAGTTTCGAGAGTTTTGCCCCAGTAACTCACGTTCATAATATTACTCAGAACTCAAGTTAATATTAAATGTCGAATCAACAAGATCGTTTTTGGCGAAAACAGTTCCCACTTTGCTTCTTATCCATCCGTCTAAATGTACAATATGAAAGGTTACTTGCAAATATTATGGAATATCTCTACGTTACAGGCCGCGAAGATATTGATCGTTTAGAACCTGATATTCACTTGGAAAATTCATGGTCCTATTGTGGATACCCCGAAGTAAAAAGTAAAAAACTGATTTTTGCATTCACCGTTTTCGTCTTTCTATCGATTGCGTCACTGATTCTCATGGTTCAAGTAAGTATTAGTACAAGAAAATATTTTCCTATGAAGGAAGTTATAGAAACAATTATCAATATTTTGTCTATGCAATGTTGGTTTAGATTCAAGATAAAATTTACCTTAAATCACCAATTGAAAGTACTAGTTGAAATATTGCATAAAAGACGTGAATCACGCATTAGAGTACATGCAAGAACAAAATTTTCTCAACATGCTATAAGCAATAATATAGCTTTTCTAAAAATATCTATATTCGGAGAAATCGATTATAATTTATTGAACTTTGTACAAACTGATTTTTTGTTGAACGATTACAACCTTACGTCTATATCTAAAGCCTACAATCCTATCCAACAGGTTTTTCACAATACTTTATTATATACCAAGTGGAATATATTGTTCGGACTGTTGTCATAACACTAAATGGCAATATTTAATTTTATCTAAATTATTTTATTTGTCTTTCTTTGAGTTTTATATATTCTATTTGGTTGTTATATATAGTACATTTTTACATAGAAATATTAGTTACAAATGTTTTTATTTTTTCCAGAATAGAGCTGCAACTGAAAATGGTGAGCGATTACATTTGGTGTTAACGTACATTAGTGTACACTGTACATCCTAACTTTCTGTGAGATTGCCATATCAGATGTACTCATCAATAAGCCCGAATTTGGATGACGTATATCTTGTCAACGTATTGACTACTAGATTGAGTTAAATACTAGGTTATTCAGACTTAAGGCCATCTATAAGTTGTGTGAAACTCTACAGATGCACAACAACTTTCAATTCATTTAGAAAATTCAATTTACAGAATCAGAAAAAATTAGCAAGATTTTGATAAGTTTCCAGAAAAACTTAACGCTACTGAAACCCACAATGGAGATACAACTCACTACACCCATTACTGAAGCTACCTTAAATGGTTGGTAAATATTTTTGCTATGCAAGACATCGTTTGTGCTTTAGTTTGCTCAAATTTTAAGTGAGCAACTTTTAAAAGTAGTCACTCAGGATTATATTATTTTACATGAGCTTTTATAGCAGCTTATTTAAACGTTATTCCGGTAACTAAAAATCTAACATTTTACTCTGTCGTGTGTCTCTGTACTAATTGAAATACATCTGGAATTACAGTCAATTTTTGGGACTCCCGAAGTATGCGAACCAAGATGGCGGACATCGGAATGTACTATGTGTACTAGGTTAGGGTTAGGCCATAATTTTAGGTATAAATACTACGGGAGGCTCTTGGCTAGTCTTCGAACTGATAATAGGACTAAAATAAGGAAAATTGGAAAAAAATTATCGCCTAACCCTAACCTGTTACCCATGTTACGTTCCGATGTCCGCCATCTTGGTTCGCATACCTCGGGAGCACCCAATTTTTTATAACATTTACTTCGGTATATATAAGGTATTTGAACGCATCATCTCTTTAATCAATACAGCTTAATATGCCAGTAGATGGCACTAGTGAGGTTTAATATATTTAGATTTTCATTGCCTTCATTTTTTAAGTTTTTTTATTCAATGAAATGATAAATCAAATTGCAGAGAATCGTTTAAACTTTGAAATGTAAAAGAATATACAATAAACGTGGTCCTATTCTTCTCGTGTCATCTTCGTGATACTTACCTCGGTATATATCTTCCATATTTAGAAACTTGCAATACTCCATTTCGTGATAAGTGCTTTAGATTGCTACGTCATTTATCAAACATAACATTATCTGAAGCAAGAGAAGGCTGTCGGAATATTAATGGAAGATTAGCGAACATTTATAACATCGACCACTTCATACAAATTTCATCTTTATTGAAAGATTTCATACTGCCGGGATCTCAAACTATTACGGCATGGACTGGGATGACGGTGAATTTGAAGGTGAACTATCCTCACATATTTGATTGTAAATTAAATTAGCTAATGCACAAAGTCAAATATAAGATATATTTACGATTATGCCTTTTTTGTATTTTGCTGTTTCCGCCTACATAGTGCCGGGTGTATATGCGCATGTGCGTACAGTGCGCGTATGTTTGTATTTATAATTGTATTAAAATGTAGCAAAATCTTTCTGGCATCTGTGTGCCAAAGGATAATAAATTTGTATTTTGATTGTAAGTGATTTAGGTATTTCATCTTATCTGTTTTATCTACAAAACTTTCATCTCACTACCAGACATACGACTTTCTAAGTCGATTTTTTTCAGTAAATACATAAGGCTTTAATCTTCCACAACACCGTCCTATTTCTTACAAAACTACTGTTTGATATATAAAAATTAAACATTTGTTTTACATGTTTCATACTTGTTTTCAACATTTCTTTTCTTGTAATTGCAGACTAAAAGAATGATTCTTTCTGATTTCAAGTTGGCACCGATTAATATACCTTGGTATCCAGGAAGACAATTCGCAAAAAAGTTTCCGTATCTAGGAATGTATATACGTAGTTCAACAAACCTATACGCCAGAGGAATGTACGATTCGAAAGCAAGCGAACGATTTCAAACAGCTGTTTGTGAAATAGAGATGAAACCATGCAGCAAGCACTGAAAGGTTCTTGATATTTCAATATCTTTCAATATCAAAATTTGTAATTTTTTCAAGTATTACTTTTTCTTATTATCCCGTTTAGTGGTTATGATTTTGTAATATATATACGGTATTATAAAAATGAATTGCTTTTTGCCTTTTGTCAAAAACGAAAAAGAGACGTGGTTTCGGTACTTTAGCCGGGAGCAAGAAAAGGAGCAATTTGAGGTAAATATACAACCCCCTCCAATGAACAAGTATAGTCGTTAGCTACATCCGTACACGTCCCAACATTTTAACACGGATGCTGCAAACAGTCATTAATGTCTAAAGGATTGTATTTTGAATGGTAAAGGATGGCATTTACTCAAAAAAACGCAACAACTTTTATGCATTGGAGCGCATGTACAACTAGTTTCACAGTTCATATTGGAATCTCATGTCTCTTTTTTCTGTTTCATTGACAGATCGTTTAGTTTTGATATTATAGGTCGCTGCGAAAAAAAGAATATTAAATTCGTAGATAATTTTCATTGTTTTACTCGGTTGCATAGTCTTGACCGGGTTCAAACTTCTTGTCGAATAATACAAACGTAAGGGTTGATACAGGACGTGCTATGACGGCGACAGCAGGGAAAAAACAGATAATATTTACAAAAACATGTGAGGGAAATACAATTAATCATCACCCCACATGTAAACGTCATACATCGCATTGTTCAACAATATGGAAATATAAGAGTGTTTCCATGAAATAAAATGAAACAAAAATTCCGAATGGAATATAGCGTCCCTTTAGACGAAAGAAAATAAAGAAAATAGGAGTAACAACCTTTTTGATGTTTCAATCATCTTTAAGTAATAAGTTTTGAAATCTATTGATTCATTAGTTGTTGAGTAGCAAAACTATTTGTTTTACAACAACGACATCATCATCAAAATTTAGCAAAAGAATACTGTATATATGTATATATTTCGTTTCTGAAATACGTATTTAAATTCCACAATATGGTCTCGATGCTTTTGGAGATATATAAAAGGAATTTTGACAAACTTGCTTTGAAAATTCTGAGCGTCATGTAATCTAGCTAACGTCATTGTTGGACACGTAGTGGACATAACGATCGTTTCAATATTATGTTGTTGTTGTTGTTGTTCTTGTTCTTGTTCTTGTTCTTGTTCTTTGACACGTTTTTAAAAAGTCGCTTTTCTCTTCGAATACTGGACCAATTGCTTCGAAATTTTCAGTGGTTAAAGATTAATTTTTTCGCTAGAAGGCTATTACTTTTATTTATTTCAAAATTTTGCGTGGATTCTATGAAATTTGATATTTCGTTTAAAATTTTGCTGTATTATTTTTTATCCATGGGAACACGGATTTTAGTCAGTGTCGTGACTGGCTGTACGTTTTGATTCTGCAAAATTCTTGCTACTGGAAATTCAGAACTTTTTTTAGGGGACCGGTAGCGTCAAAGGTACCGGTAAGGACTGATTCGCTCTGGTCTAACGTGTCCATATATTTGTGCGTAGCTCTCTTGTTTTTGTATATGATTGCGCTAGATCGCAATTATTATAAAAAAAAATTTGCAAACAATTCTAACTTTCTTCAACTTATGTTTACCACTAAAGAATCTTCATACTTTTATAATCAGATCGCATTACCAAACAAAAATCTCAGTCTTCAAATGGTAAACATGTCTAATCGTCGCTTGTATGCTTAGCCTCAATGAGTCATGTGTTGCGATGTCGAGTTTCATTTTCGTTATCTTAATGATGTAATAGAGAAAACTAACACCTCACAGACTACTGCGCATGAACGTTTACGCAACCTTTTGGACGCAAAAATGTTTTTCGTATTTTTTACCACTGAGGAGTTTTTATTGCATATTTTGCCTTTATAACTTTTCAGAAAATTTCGTTCAGTAAATTACAAAATTTGTGAATAGGATCGTGGATAATGGCTAATTTATGAAAAATTTTGGCTTTTGCTGGTCATTTTATCTAATTGTATAGAAACAATTTAAATTACAGTAAGCTTAGGATAAGCTTTTTCAAAAGCAAATAACAATTATTCTATATTTTATTTTATGCATAAAATAAGTTTACATTTCTTCAAGGATCCATAGCAGCTGCATACATGTACATAAGACTTGAAAATAGATAAAAAGGCCACGCACTTCAATGATTGTGTACAACAACGGCACATTTCCTATACTAACAAAAAAAATTTCGACGCATCAAACTTTATTAGAAAATAATAATGATAATAATAATCACCCTCGAGCGTTTGTACTTACCACGAAGCAAAGTGACGAGGCCTGATTTATATTGTAAAGTTATAAGTTAAAAGCAGGACTGAAAAATTACTTGATTGGAACCGAAGATCGTCTAATCTAATGCGTATCGTTCAAGATTTCGGGGAAAAATAAAAGTAGGCAATTTGACTCAATCTTCAATAAAACTGAAGAATTTATGAAGCGAATTGGTGTTGCTAGTTTCTCAACTGAGAAAAAAGTGCAAACAAGATGACAAAAAATGTCAAACTCAAGTATATATAAGAAATAAATTGAAAAGCAGAGACTAAAAATTAGCATGATAAACCCTTACATAAAAAATATTCCATTGAAATATGTGCATGGATGTAAATTAAAAGCAAAGGCATGAATGACTGGACGTTCAGGTCTGGAACCCACAACGAAAGAATTTATAATTGCTGCTCAGGACCAAAGTATCCCGACCAACGCTCGCAGGCATAAAATTATGAAACTACACATTGATCCAAAATGCAGAATATGCCAATCGTTTGATGAAACCGTTGACCACATTGTATCCGGGTGTAAAGTTTTGGCACCGACAGAACATACAGAAAGGCATAACAAAACCGCATTTTTCTTGCATTGGAAAATTTGCAAACACTACCAAATACCTACAAACAACAGGTGATACAAGCAAAAGCCTGTATCAGTAACAAAAAATAAAAGTGTGACAATTTTGAGAGATTTCACTATCCACACTGATAAAACTATTCGACAAACTAGCAAATCGACCTGATAATATAGTAAAAGATTTCACAAAAAATCATGTCTGTTAATTGATGTGACTATACCATTTCGGTCTTTCGATTTTAATCCCTGACCGATAGCGTAAGTTGGTGTAACAGGCAAAGTTTACAGTCAGTTGTGTACATGAACATAAACATGTTTTGCTCCCAGCAAATCGTCAAATTTTAAAAGAAAATCAGTTTTAGTTTTACTCTTCAGTAAACTCGTTTTGCAGAAACGACAATACCGTGTTGTGTGAATGCACCTAGAATAATTTGAATCAGAAATTTCGATTAAAAATATGGCTAGCAGTTTAATCAGTAAAACTTTGTTCAGTACAATTCAAGTATTTTTAAAATATATTAGAATATATTATTTATTTAAATATTTTAGAATATCCATTTAAAGTTTTGTAAAGAAAAAAAATGAAGTGGAGTGCGTTATTTCTATCTTCAACTCCGCCCGTTAAATAGCGTTATATTTTATTTATGAATAAGGTGTCGTTCAAGCAAATATTTTGTTTAAAAACCCAAAGTTTGTCATAACAACCTAAGATATTTCGTGCCCACAAGCAGAAAGCATCTGAAAGCGCTATCGCAGAGATGTACACCCAAGCGTGTGAAATTTGTGACGATAAGTGTACTCGAATCTAAGGTGTTACAGTCATTGACAGGTCCAATAAAACTTATATCTGCGTCAATCTACACACAACTAAGCTATTTTAAGAATTGTTTAAACGCGTAGGGGTGCTCCAGAAGGATGCGCACCAAGATGTCGCACAACCTGAATCATAACCGGTACGCACATACTATGTTCAGGTTGTTCGCCATCTTGGTGCGCATACTTCAGGAGGTTCGTGTATTTGCGATGGACTATAGTTATTTTTACATAAACATGAGGCTGGGTAATAGAAAGAAATCATGATACACAATTGTTTCAGAGGACTTCCGTCGAACCCCTGGAACAGCTCCACCGAACCCCGCGGGTTCGATCAAACCCAGGTTAAGAAGCACTGGTTTGGAGTCCCCGGGTAAATACCCCGAATTTATCAGGAAAGAGCCTGCTATTATGCAAATTGGTCCCCAGTTCTCAATATGATGTTTGTGAATCCACTACTCCACTTACCAAAACCACGTTACAGTGAAATTGGTTGTACAGGCTTAAAAATAGTAAGATAGCTTTTTCTATTCTATACATTAAGGCTATTTAAACATATATTCCATAAAATATCGAAAGATTTTAAGATATTGACTGGGTGACGTTATTCAAATCAACCTAGCGATGCAACTCGGGGCATTGCTCTATTGGGAATTAAAATGATAAAAGCTACGAAAAGGGTAACTAACTATGAGGTTCTGAAAAACCCAATTTGGAAATATAAACTACTTACTGTAGCAGCATCGTAGTACACTCACAGTATACTTTACAAAGTATTTTTTACAGGGTACAAACGATATGGAATGCCGAACATTGTACCGTATACCAGGCCCATACGAAAGTTAAAAGCTGCAGAGGAATTATAGAATTTATAAGTGTTATAAAGATCATTTCAAGTTCTCTCGAGGAATACTAAATTTGTGTTAATATCAGATAGCAATGGCGAATGAATGGAAAGTGGGAAAGACATGCTATCCTTTTTTTGTAACGACAGAACAAATTAGTAAGTCTTCCTCTTATCGGTTTTTTGACAAATTCTACGTCTCAATTTTTCCGGATGACGTTTAACCGGAAGTATGTGTAATAAACTATGTAATTGAAAGCCGTAATGATTAATTAATTTAATTTTGATTTTAATTTGACAGTATTTGTTACAATTTATATAATTTAGGATTTTTAGTATAATTTGTTGAACTAATGTGAAAGTTATATTTAAAATCGCGTGCAGTAAATGGATACGTTCATTCATAATTAGGGATATTTGCATACGTATTGTTTCAAGTAATTTTATTAAAAATTAGGTCGCGAACCTTAACATAAAAAATGATCGATTACTTGTTAGCCATATAACTCAATGTAGAAATCTCGTATTTGTCATTATATATGATTTTACCATAAAGTAGATTGCGCAATAGTGATTGATTACGTTTGTATTTTCATACATATGTATTATGCACATACGGTATATGCATGCGGAATGATTGGGTGATGGATCGTATTTCACTTTTATCATGGAGTGACAACGTATTAAGCTACTGTATTTGGAAAAATATCTTTCCGTTTTAATGAGGAAGCAGACCTGGGCTAAACTATACGCCTATCAACCACTGTCCTTTTTTTTCCATAAGCTCTAACTTGTAAACCGGTAATATTTAATCCACTGTTGAAATAAATTGAATATCGTTATTTTAGTTGCGAGAGTGAATTTTAAGGTTTGACGTTAAATAGAATATGTATTAGAGTATTATTTAATTTCGTGTAAATTTGGGCTGATATGTGTGTAATGCGCATCAATATGGATTATTCTATGCTATGAGTATTTCAATCGCATCTTTGATACACCTTGGTATGGTTTTAGGCGTGTAGTGCCCACGCAATCATGGGAGTAAAAACACGTTTTTACATCGTGGTGAAAGCTTCAGACACCTTTATCGTTTGCAACTCACCAAAACTTTTCATTCGTTGAAAGAAGTTGTCTCTGACATATCGCGCCTGTTATTCATGAATCATGAACGCCCTCTTGTATAAAGTTTGACCAAATGTGATTTTATAACGAATCGTCGAATCGAAATTCATCGTCTTAGTTTCTGACTATAAATCTTTTATTTTGCGTCGATTAGATGAGTGGTTTATTTTAAATTTTAAAGACAGCTAATATTTTCGTTCGTATTGTCTATTTTGAATAATGGCAGAAAGGCGATTGAATAGGTAATTGGATTCGTACAGATGCGATCTTGCAATGACTGCTTTGCAATGTCTCAGCGATGTATCGGGATTGAGTAAAATGAAATGGTAGTTTGGAAAGAATAGAACATCAGAATGCCGGGGCACTCAAATTGGGAACGTATGTGTTAGACCTGAAATGATGGGCAAACTACGACTCGCGGGACAAATCCGGCCCGCTGGGTGATTCAATCTGGCCCCGCAAAAGGCTTGTTAGATTATGATCGTAGTCTGTGTAAGTTGTATTTTAGGTTCCCACAGACTTTCATGATATGGAACTTTCATGATATGGGAACGTTTTCACGCTCACTCGATTCGACGGCGTGCTTTTCACACCCATTTCTTTCGCCTCGTGCCTTTGTTGTGTGCGGTCACGTGTAACATTTCACGTCACACTTATATGGCCCGCCGGTTTAGGTGGGCAACATTTTTGGCCCTGTTCCAGCAACCTTGCCCACCCCTGTGTTATGCGGTTGAAGAAAACCAGTTTGGCCTGCGTATATGAACCTTAACGCTCATGCCCCTAAAATCGAGCTCTGTTCTAGGATTTGTTTTGTGCATGTATGTTGTATCATACTATTATGTATAATATCAGTAACCATGAACAATTCCAAAATATTAGAAGGTCCATCATTAAACCGTAACGTCCTAACGTTCAGGTCTTTGTTCGCCGGGGCAATGTGTACACATTACTATTAAGATAAACGTTTAAACGATCTAACAGACCAATAAATGATGAAATCTTTTATTTGCAGGGCTGTTTAGTTACTGTAATGCAGTTTAGACTGTTTAGTTACTGCAATGCAGCTCAACGCACGCGTACCATAATGCAATTTTATCTTTAGCCATATGTAGGTTCACAGCTATCTATTGGATGTTTAGAAGAAACCGAAATGTAATGATATTTACGTCATTTATGCAGCAGAGATAACGTTGAAGTAAAGTCATTGTTATTTGTTTTATCCCAACTATATAAATAAAAATACCTATATATATATAGAAATTCTGTATTGCAGCAACCTTTCGGTTTTGCCAGTCAAACTTTAGGCAGTTTGTCATATAGAAGACGAAATTGATTTAATACAGTTTCGAGCTGAAAATATTTATAATGAAGCTTTTTGAAGGAATATTACTGCTATTTCTGGTGAGTCATATTTTCAAAACATAGTTATTCAATATTAAATCGCGTTGTTCTGCATTGCTACAACGACCAAGTATACAATATCCTTCAATAATAATGATGATGAAACCAATAACCATCTATTTGTTTCTAAACATTATATAGTATGTTAGTATAGAGTTTTATTCCGAATTGGTTGATGGCGCAAATAGCCTCCAGTTTTATAAGCACCTTGAAATATTTCATTTAGCTTGAAAGTAGGAACATGCGCGGATGTGAAAATTCTGAAATTGTTTATGTCGATTTAATTTAGTAATAAAAAATCAATTGGTATATTATATATATATCTGTATTCATCCAGTGTGGGATTGCTTTGGATAACTTGAAGGGTTATAATTTATTCGCGCCCAACAATGCTTATGATACCCAACAAAACAGAAATCTCCAGTCTAGAGATAGATCAGTCAATCCCAGTTTCTTCAAGTTATAGTCCTTTAATTTTTTGCATTTCCAGGATTATTTTTATGGCGCTCCAGAAGTGTGTGTGCCAATATAGAGATGTGTGAAGAGACTGAAACCCATGGGCAGGGTCTATATTCACTTGACTAACACAGACCGTCCCCAAACTCGTAATAGAACGAAAATAGGGAAATCGGAATAAAATTATGGCTTAGTCCTAACCTGGTACACACACTACGGGAGTACCATTCTTATTATCAGTACTAATATTCAATGACAGTGGGCTTAATAATAACGTACAGGATTCATTCTAGAATGATGATCAAACTTAATGTATTTGAATTGAAACCCGTGTGACACCTAGAATATCATAAAACACAAATTATTTTTCAGACGATTGGATTTGGATCGGCAATTTTGGTTGACGCATCTGCAAACACTGCTACTTCAGGTGCGCAATATGTTTGCAAATACAACTCACAAAAGCACAGTTGAGACTTGAAACTAAGTCACCAATAAAAATATTGTCTAACACGGTACAATTGAAGTACAGCCCAGTGAACTTAATTTTATTGTCAGTACAAATTTCATATATGAATCAAATCAAATACAACTTCAATTAATTTCAAATCGTTCAACTTCACGAGGTCAAATTGTAGGAAAATGCCAGATAGACGACAGACGTAGGCGATTCGATGCGAATCTAAACAAATGCACACCCCTTTCCATAAATAAATTGGGTCATGCGCAAATCACGTCAAATCTTCAGAACAAGGTCAATCAACCCTGTTACTTTGCCCAATTTCACAATAAAAAGATAATCACGCTATCTCTTCATTTCTTTCGAGATTCATGACAAATATTATTCAATATGCATGATTCATATTCTCTATACCCCAAATTACCTTTTAATTATACAAAATAATATTTAATTAATAAAAACTCTTCATTCTCGACTCGACCTTGTACCTACTTGAATTCTATTAAATATTTATTTGACGTAATGATATATTATTGCAAATAAATATTACAATAATATAATGTTCTCTCGAGAGTAATTGACGTGTTGACCGGTTTTGAATGATTAATAATTGAATAGAATTCACATTTGAAGAACTTTTCTTTGAAAGTTGTTCTTAATTACCTCATCGAATTCACTTACTGAAAATGTAAAAATAGATTTCGATTGTGGAAGATTGTAAAAGGCATTGAGAAATGGAAGTATATTTTACATATGATTGTAGAATAGCTATCCAAAGAAATTTTTATTATTCTATGAGTTTTTTTGTTTTTGTTTCAGAAGAATCCTGTGTAGGAAGATGTATGGGAGTGTGGAATGCATCAGAATCATGTCATTGCAATGAAAATTGTGCGAAGTATCCCGACTGCTGCGACGATTACATCGATGTGTGCCTGAACGAAAGCACAAGTACAATCTATCAATTTCTAATTTAATTATCGCTTGTTTGGCGATTTAATTACCCGTTTTTATTTGACCATTATATTGTTTTATATTATCTAAAATATTCTCTATAATAAATTATCAAACTTAACCCACTTGTTTTTCAAAATAGGTAATCCTAAGGTTTTCAATTTTCAATCGTTTACTTCGTGGCAAATTTTAAAAATTACATGTATCTCATCAGTTGCATATGCCGTCTATTCCAGTGCTTTGTAAGTGACTTATAATTAAAAAACGCTGGACGCTAGACTAAGTCTCTCTGCAGTGGGAGCAAAATAAGTATCAGCAACAGAGCGGGTTGCAATCTACTATGCGGTCAACGGTCGCATTTGGTCACGTACCTTTTTTCACACAAAATTTACCCGGATGCAGCTTAAAATTACCCCCAAGTGGTTACTTCGCCCCCGGGTGACAACCCAGATTTAGACTATTTGGTTAACACAAAGCAGCCGCTAGAATGAAATTAGAGCTACTATACAAAATAAGCACAAGCAATTTATCAATGAAAATAATATACAACTAAATTTAGAGAGTATTTTTTGTGAATATAAAATAGATAACAACAGCGAGGAAACAGCCTTTTTCGACATTACAGGTAGTTGTTATGGAAGATGCTTTGAAGTATTTGGTTTTATTTCAAACGCTAGCTGCTATTGTGACGACGAATGTTCAAAGTACGGCAACTGTTGCAACGACTATGTACCTATGTGCGCAAATGAAAGTGAGTAAATAAAACCCTTCGGTAAGTTATGAAAGGCTATTCAGCAATTAAGAACCAAAGTAAATAGAAATTGTCCCTTGACGCAAATGGACGTACTGCTGTTGTTTGCACTCAATTATAATTTCACTTGTTTACGGCATATGACAAACGAAGATAGTAGAGCCAGTAAAGGCTTCAGGAATTCCAGGCATTTCACAACTATAAATCCTGAAATATTTTATTAGTTTGTAACGTTCGTAATGCTTGTTTGCAATATTGCTATATACCAAGAATCTCACGACCCCATGAAACCTTATTTTCGTAAAATCACAATATAATATTTTAATGTCTAGTACTTTCGAAAGATAATATTGCAGTAACAGAACCCGGGATTGCCATTTAAATTTTTGATTCGTAATTTTTACACTATAGGATGATATATTTACATACATATCATCAATTTACAAAGAAATTGCAAATTATACATGATATATATCAAGTCTCTATTATCCTAAGTTTTCCTCAAACCCACGATAGAAGAATATCAACACTTCTGTTGAAACTTAATTACTTATCGATCTTGATCGGTAAGTATGTTGATAGGTATTTGTCTGTTTGTTTGTCTGTCTGTTAGACATTTTCGTATGGTACGCGATATCTCACGAAAGCGAGGTTGAATCTGCTCCAAATTGCATGTGCATTCATCATATCTCGAACCATTAGCCTATTGATTTTGAAAGAATTATGTCTTATAATCAGCGAGTTATTAATTAATTAGGGATGGGACTCGCGGTGTCGCTATTGAGTCAGAGCGAAGGATACACGCTGCTAGATCGATAATTATCGGTCTCTGATCGCTATCTCGTTTTTTTCAGTTGTGAGTTTCTTTCAACGTCGTACATGTTTGCTCAAAGCGATTCAGCATCTGTGAAATGGTTTATATTGTATTTTATTTTTCTAGGTCTATGTGAAAACAGATGCTTCGTTTGGTATGACTCAAGCCTACCTTGTCAGTGTAATGATTTATGTCCAAAGTATGGAAACTGCTGTCCTGATTACCACGAAAGTTGTCTTCCAGGTGTGAACCATAACTCGGCAAATTCACACCTTTAAATTTAGTTCGCGTCGACATTCATTTTTATTCGCCTTATAGAGGGGAATTGGACTGATTTAAACTTCTTTGGTTTTATCATACTTTTTTTATCAGTTAAAAACAAGGCACTAAGTAATTCAGAAAAAAATGTATTTATATTAAACTTTGCTTTATTTTGTGCATTTTGTTTTATGCAACTTTAGTTTTCAGTGATTTGCTTCAATTTGATTTTTTTTTACGCGAATGATACCTCTGTAACCCAATGCACGATTAAATTAGTCTTGAAAGTAGTTAAAACGACTGTTGCTTTTATAGGATCATGTATGGACAGATGTGGAGACCGGAACAACACTTTAGGATGCCATTGTGATAGTCAGTGTTCAACTGAATATGATTGTTGTGAGGATTTCGCTGATTCTTGCACAACTGAAGGTAAAGTAAATACTTGTGTGGTCAGTGATGCGCACCGCTTTGTTCCGCTTACAAAAAACACCTGAAAGGCAAGTCATCAAAATGATCGACTTGTTGCCGTTGGTAAATGAAGTGTATCAAATCTTTCACAGTACTGGTTGTCTTTCTTACCAAAACATCGACTTCGCTGACTACCAGACCGCAGAAGTGCGATGAGGAACTGCCACACGAGCGAAATTTTCAAATTTGATGACACCATCACAAAAAACGTTGAAGTGTAGAACAAATGCATTAGAGCCCATAGAAATTTTGTAATGTATAAATAAATAAAGTTAATAGTCTTCTAGCCACAACAACAATCTTTAACTTAAAATTTCAAAGCAATTGGTTAGTTGAAGAGAAAAACGAATGCGTATCAAACATTACTTTATTTATGTTCGCCTGAATCTGATAAGATCAACACCACGTTTTTAGATATATAGTAAACGCTAGGGGTGTGAATACTCTTCAGTTTAAGCCCTAAAGCAGGGGTGTCCAATTTGCGGCCCGCGGGCCAAATGCGACCCACAGGAAGAAATTGTGCGGCCCGCGAAACAAGTTTTCAATTTGGTTTAATCTGGTACGTGGGAGTAATTCCAAGCCTATACCTGAGTCTAATTTTTTTGGTATCTATGCCCATGGCGTTACAATGCTCTAACAGTTATATTGTGCGGAGCGAACAACATATGTCATAAAATCAATAACCAAATGGCGCTCCATAAGTATGTACACCAAGATGGCGGACACCGGAACGTCGTATGTGTACCAGGTTAGGGTTAGGCCATAATTTAATTTCAATTTTCCTTATTTTAGTTCTATTACGAGTTCGATGACTAACCAAGTGACTCCCGTAGTATTTGTACCTAAAATTATGGTCTAACCCTAACCTGTTACACATACGAGGTTCCGGTGTCCGCCATCTTGGTGCACCTAATTATGGAGTACCAATTTTTGTGCTTGCAACTACCAGAGAGTGAGTCTATCTTAAATGAGGGTGCGCCCGCGGTTTCATCCAGTTATTTGTATTTGGCCCTGCTGTATTAAAGGTTGCACACCCTTGCCTTAAAGCATCATTTTTATATATTTAGGATCTTGCGAAAAAATGTGTGGTAGTGAATACGATCCATCCAGATCATGCCAATGTAATGACGATTGTGCCAAATACGGCAACTGTTGTGATGATTACGAAGTTTTGTGCCAAGGTAAACGTCATTTATGATTAACAGTATCCATTCGTTTTTTATGTTTTTCGTTGAAATATTTTGCTGTGTGATACAAATGGAATTATGAATGAGAGTTGATATTTAGTTAATACTTTTGTTAATTTTGCGTTTTTTTATTATAGATTTTTACCTTTGCAACGGTGTGTGCAACATCACAAAGGAGGCTTGCGACTGCACAGAATCTTGTTTACAAGATAAGACCTGTTGTACAGATTATGAACAATCTTGCAATGGTAATTATGCATTTTTACCAAGGTTAAATACTGTTTGATTTGTTAAATTCTGTTGGATTCATACTATCTGAGTGTAATGTATTTATCCAGACTCATACACCATTAAATTGTTTATTTACGATCATAAACATAAAGTTTTTATTAGACGGAACTTCTTGGTTAGAAGATGAATGCACCAAAGACGAAGAGATGATTTGTCCGAATGGGTGAGCAGATGTGTTTTATTACTATTATATCATTAAATTTACTTATAATAGTTAACCAGGGTCGTGGTAATAATGACTTAGCAAATTTGACTGATTTATCATGAGTATTGCCAACTAAATTGGCGAATATGATCGGTTTGATTGCAAGCAACAATTCGGCAAAGTGGTGCTAGAGTTAAGACTAACCTTAACCTTAACATGTAAATCGGAGTAATGCATCAATCACTTTATTCATTCAGATTCGACATTGCACCCGTGATATTGTTTTCCTTGGATGGATTTCGCGACAGCTACCTTTTTCGACACGAAACCCCTAATTTATGGAAACTAGGTGGGTGCATAATTTATGTGATGATATTGATTAAATCAACGATATCTAAATAAAAATGACTAGTATCTCACTTATTTCTGAACTATTTGACATCCAGCATAGAGTATGATTTAGATGCGTGTTGGTAACCTAGAGACAAATTCTTTTTTCTACGTTACTGCTACTGAAACAGCGCTTAATGTCGCAGTCCGAACACGGTAAACAGTCAATTGTACAATGCGAGTTGATCAGTTAAAAAACTTGTACTTGACCGAATGCCCTCATAACTAATGCCTCGTAATTGACCATAATGAACCGTCTTATTTTAATATACCCACAATACTGAGTCGCAAAATATAGATTGGTAAAATTTATTGCACCGATCACTTTGATGTTTCAAATACCTGTATAATTTTACAATTATAATCAATGATGATATTTTCAGCCTCTTGTGGGGTCCATGCGCCTTACGTCAGATCAGTATATCCGACACTAACTTTTCCGAATCATTACTCCATAGCTACGGTAAGAGAAATTTCTTTTCACTATTAAAAATGGTTTTCTAAAGAATAGGTTTTCAATTTAACCTCTATATCCGGACCTCTATGCAACCTCTATATCCGGAATATGTCAATTACGTTCTATTCACAACTTTAATGAGTTAAAAAAAAACATTACTAGAGCTTCAAATACGAAATATTTACACCTTGGCCTTGGAAACTTTCCAAGTCAGGTTGGTTAATCCAGACTTGCTAACCTACCGGGGAGTTCTAATCTACATACGTACCTCAGATTAGCTTATATTTAATTCTTAACAACAACACAGCAACGCCACGGCGCCAGGAACAACCTGGTAAACATGTCTTTTTTATCATTTTAGGGATTATATCCAGAGTTTCATGGAATAGTTGGAAATAGATTCTATGACCACGATTTGGATGAGGAATTCAGACTCGGAGCACCTGAAACAAGCGACCCACGTTGGTGGGGTGGAGAGCCGGTGTGTAATATATAATTTGTAATTATCACAAACCTATTGATGAACCTATTGACTGAGAAAAAGAAAGCAGTCTAATAACTATTAATAAGTACACTTTGAGTACCTGATGGTGTGCTAGTATGGAGCGTTTTTAACGCGGATAAGAGAAATTGCCGTGTAGCGATAAACATAAAAGTTAGATTATTTTTGAAAGAAAATTAAAGTATTTAAACTTTTTTTTTTTGTCTTTTTAGATCTGGGTAACAGCTAGTAATCAAGGTCTAAAAAGTGCTTCTTACTACTGGGTTGGATCAGACGTCAATATCACAAGATATCCAGATTATTATTATCCATACGGGTCGGATCCATACGAAGCTCGAATTTACCAGGTTTTGAAATGGCTGGATATGCCTGCAAAAGACCGGTAAATTTTTAGTAAAAAGATCTACGAAATGTTTCATCTGTACCCAAATTTTTATATATACTTTATATTCAGTGATGTTTGTTACAATTTATAAACTGCATTTTCTACAAATGTGAACTAACTAAAATGCGCCAGCTTTATCAAGGTATTCGTGCTATATCCAAGCCAAATGGCCTTTTAGCTATCTATTTCGTTGGAAATTTCAGCTTTTCGCCTACAGTTCAGAGGTTCCTACAGTTTAAAGTTATCTATTGTATCTTCTGATTAATAATTTTATTTGAGTAGAAATCAAATCCACAATGGTGTTAATCATTTTTCATGCTTTCTTCAAACCACAACGCGCGTCTGTCTTACTAATTTCAAAACCATTTCAGACCATCTATAATAACGATGTATATGGATATGGTTGATCATGCTGGACACGATTCTGGACCAGCTGGTCATGAAGTTGACGTAGCAATCAGTCAAGCAGATGACATGGTTGGAATGTTGATGGACGGATTAAAAGCTAGAAATTTGGACAAATGTGTCAATATTATGATATTAGCTGATCACGGTAAATACAGTCAATTTAATCTCTCACAATATTCGATGTCTATTCGTTATTTCAAATATCTCATCTCCGGAACCCAGAACAGCTAAAACAGTTGATAAAGATGTTTAATTTGATAACATAAATACACTTTATTTTTTGTATTATTAGGCATGGCAAATATTTCCTGTGATCAACTGACGTATATTGACAAATATGGTGTTAATATGGATAACGTATACTTCCGTGGTGGAGCTCATGGTCGAGTGGGAAAAAGTAAAAACAAAGCCTTGTGGGATCAATTTGACGCAGAAGATATAAAAAACAAATTACAATGTAAACGTGACGAGACACATTTTCAGGTATTGTCCTATTTTCTATTATCATTTTCACTATTTTTAAACGTTCGACAGTGGGTATTACGGATCTACACTGTTGGGGTTCAACTTCTTACTGCTTTTTGTTGTGTTATAACTTGCATAATATATTGAGCTCAAAATTTCAAAATTGTTTGAGTAGCATAGCCCACTTATCTTTAAAAGCATCATTTATATACGTGATAATCAGCGTAGAGAATATTTTAGTCGTTCAACGTACTATTTTAAATACGTGAATGAGTTTTATCTAATATTTACTCTGATAGTATATATACAAAAATTCATTACAGATTTGTTAATTGATATAAACTGCAGTGCATTGTTACAATCATCTTCGTCATTTTGTGATATTTTACAGACATTTTTGAAGTATGAATATTTTCCAAAACGACTTCACCATTCTTATAGTCCAAGGATCGATGACGTCAGCTTGCTTATGGACGATGAATGGATAATAGGAGGGTGAGAAAATCTTTTGCGCGTGTGCATATGAATTATGTCACCTAAATTTACTGTTCTCTTTTGATTAATTAATAATTAATTAGAATTGATTTACATAAATTACATGTACATGATACCATTATAATATTTCGACAGGCGGACTGGATCCTATACTTCGTGCAATGGTGGAACTCATGGTTGGGATAATGAGAATAAACAAATGAGAGTAAGAAATATTTTTAACTATAATTGTCAATAGTGGCGTTTTGAAGGTCAACAGTAATGTAATTTTCAAAAAGATCAATTCGAGAAGTGTTGAATTTTGTTAGTTTTGATCCCGTTGTCATCAATTATCTTGTCGATGACATGGATGAGTTATCGACTGATGATTAATATTTTTGCCTTGATTTATTTTCAGGCTTTGTTTGTTGCGCACGGTTCATCTTTGAAGAGGGGATACAACTTGACGGAATCATTTGAAAACATTCAACTTTACAACTTCATTATAGAAGGTACTCTAGTTATTGAATCTCATTTTGACCGCGTCTAATATGATTATCACTGACATATAACTAATGGTAATTTATTTTGTCATGACTATGTGTGAGTTGTGAATATTTTAGCTTACATTCAGATCTACTCAATCTACAAGCGCCACTTAACAATGGAACATCTGAAAGCCTCGTACATTTACTTAGAACCCGACCCGTTCTGCAACCTAGACCAGATGGAGAATTACCTTTTAACTGTCCCTATCCAAACTCGAACATAGCTTCGGCTACATTGGGATGTCCAATATGCCAGGTATGTAAATATTTGAGACGTATATATATATATATTAATTTCCTGTAAAGTATACAGCTACGATGAAAAATTTCAAGATTGGATTTATTTTACTGAAAAATGACAGAATTTTTTATGTACAAATTTTTCAAGCCAGTAACCTTCGGACCGATGTATATGTTTATCCGACATGCAAAAGAGATGTCAGCAGAATCCAAAAAGCAGAGATTCTTGAGGAAAAGTGTTCAACCTATATTGTGTATAATATACAGAATACTGCAGCAAATAATGCATAAAGTAGACCGTTCTGACGACTGAGATGTTAGCGATTTACCCTAATACATCAATCAAAGTACATATTATCCGAATAGCATCCAAGTGGGAAAATTACACCAACGGTCATTCCTGCGAAACCCTTTATTATCACATTTAAGAAAACAAACTGCTTGCGATATCATTTATGTCTATGTCTTACACAGGGCGAAGAAGAGGCTAACGAATTGTTGAATTTGTCCAACGATGAAAGTAAGTATTTTATACTGATTTTATATTAAACTAAATTATTTTTTGCATGTGTTTTTTAACATAATCATCGCTGAGTCGTTGAAATGTATTTATTTAAATAACTAATCAAAGCAAGGTCACTGGCACCACGCAGCAGTACAGTACACTCATCTATGCGCAGCAAAGTTAGGAGGACCATTGAAAACTAAGAGCTGCTTGAATTAATACCGGTGAATTATGAGCCATTCACCATACAGTTCATACTACCCATTTAATTGCAACGAACAAATACTTAATTCAAATAGGTAGAACGAGAATACAAAATGCTTACTTTCAATAAAATTATTTCGTTCAGAACTTGAAGCAGAAAATAGAAATATGCTAGTGGGAAAACCCGGTATTTATCCGGTTTTCGAAGGAGAAATGGTCAAATATTGTAATCTATTTCAATCTGAATATGTCACTGTGTACAATTGGGAAAGAAAACTTCCTTTTTTTACACAATTTGTTTTGGATAGAAAGGTAATGAACTAATTTATAAGTAACTGAAGTTCGATGTAATAAAACTATTATTTGATCAGTATAATATATACCTACTACACTTTGCTTGAAAAATGTATTCCAGCATGGTAGCGAACATACATTTTGAAAGATTTGTTGATTGTTTAGGAGTTTACCAAATGACGTAAAAACGTTAAACTTCCATGCATGCAAAACCACTTAAACAATGAAATAAATCATTACATAACATCGTCGTTGTGATGCACAATTATTCTTTGTTATAGATAAGAGAAATGAGTTCAACTTCACAATGTCTTCGACCAGATATCAGATTGAATTCCCAATATTCTTTCAGTTGCAGCGATATTGAAAACAATCCGAATATATCCAGAGTATTTTTGTATCAACCAGGTAAAATAAGTTTTAAACTTAGAAGTGGTACAAAATTACAGAGTTCTGTCGTTTACACATTTTAACATAAAAATTATATTTAGCTTTCTCCACGGAACGAAAAAGTGATGCTGAAATTTTGTCGAACACCATTCCTGTCTACAAACCGTTTGTAGCAGGTAATATTTTTTTTCTCTTTTTTGAAACACTCGTTTTTTTTCAGTTTTAGTCCCCAAATATTTTTACATTTCAGTATGGGAACAGTTTGCTAAAGTTCTGAACACTTGGGCTGGTTTATACAATGGTATTTCTGTAGTTGCTGGGCCAATTTTTGACTACGATTTTGATGGAAATTCTGATACAGAAGAAATTATTCAACAGTTTGTATTTAATATGTTACATAGCCAGTTTAAGCTATTTTATAAGATTTCTAAGTTTTTAAGAATAACGAAAACTTATATAATGTGATGACTATTGCGACTGAGCCTATTTTGACTATAACTTATCTGGAAAAATTTTTTACGTCAGAAAAAATCCAGATTGTATCAAACATTTTTTTGAGATTTTGTGTCAAGATATATTGTAGCATTTGTCCGTCGGAAATCCTTGCAAGTTGTTCTTTTTTTTTCTGAAAGTCAAGTTTCAATTTCTTACAATGATAATTCTTAGAACTAGTTAGTGAAATAAACATATACTACTATCAGCTTCTACGACATTTAAAAAGTTGTTTTTATCTTTTTTAGAAAAGCGAATTTTATAGTACCTGGTGACAAATCGTCTACTCCAATCCCTACTCATATATTTGTTTTTGCCATGAGATGTAGAAACTATACTTCCTCTGAGAATGTCCGACAGTGTTCACAGAATCCACAAAAAATGGACGTCATTAGTTTTATTATTCCAAACTACGCCGAGGATCCGTGTTACAAGGTGTGAAATATTGTCGACTAAAGTATTGAATTTATATACGGTTCAACATTATTGTTTTTTTCATAGAGTAGCAAACAGTAATCAGTACGTAAAAAATTCTCGCTGCGATCTAATGTAAAAATGCTCTGAAATACGTTCTTTTGAAGACACGAAATGATCATGAATCGTGAGTGACGTACCAGTAGTCAGTCTACTGTGATTGCTTACCCGTATTTGAGCATATTTGTCTTACCAAGTGCCAAATTCTGTAGGGAATTAAAGTAGTTAACAGGCTTAATGATAGCCGGATCAATCTGTATTTCAAACCCCACTCATATTTCACATGTACTATTTGTGAAACTAAAAAAATCACAAAATAAACTTGCCAAATGATGTTAATAGTGAAATTCAATCCTATCTTTTATTTATATCTTGATATATTTATCATAGGATACCATGGATACAAACGAATGGGTTTCACAAACTGTTTTTGAACATGTTGCCAGACTCCGTGACGTGGAACTTCTTACAGCTGTTTCTTTCTTGTCTAATTGGAGAAATGCAGATTCCACTCAAGATGAGAGAATGGAGGCAATCAGATTAAAAGTCCATTTGCCTGAGTTTGAAAAAGATTGGATGCAAGATTTTAAAGAAAATATTACACCCAGTCCAGACTTGTACAGTACAACGAGTAAAGCTGGAAATTCGTCAGTTTATTCGCGTTATCTTTTGCTTCTCTGTCTATCCGCCGCTGCATTCTCGAAAAAATTATAACACGTTTATATTCATGTTTATTTCCCTACATAATAAGATAGCCTAATCATTAAGAGTCATTGTTGATAAAAACTAGTTTAGTATTAAGTATCAATAGTTCATTTAGTAACTATTACCTGTTGCAAATAAATTAAAAAAAATTATGCGCACACGTTGCAAGAATAATTCAAGAAAAATATTAGAAAAAAGGTTTGTAGATAATGGCGTGAATGAGGGAAAATCAACTTTACCAAATTTTCCAATTCTACCGAATAGCTCAAATTTTTTTTATGTGAATTTATTGCAAATAATAAATTTATATTGAAATAGTTCTCAGATATTGGAATATCGTTTTTTATTAGGCTTCTGTTAGTAATGACAGTCATTCAATTATAAAAATTAAAATAATAATATTAGCATTTTGTAAATCTGTACAGCAAATAATTCTAGATCCCTTTTCGTGATTTATAGACACGTGTTTCAAATAGGGAAAGTCTAAAACGAGGACCGGTTTATACACCCGTTACATAAACTGATAAATGATACCCCCGGTGTCAAACCAGAACTGAAAAGGGCACAAAATTAACCCGTAAATGATTGTTTAGCTTACTTGTTGTTGCTGAGGGTCATCGAAAAACCCGTTGATCATCTGCGGCCTTATGGTACTGACGATAATTGTTACGCTTAATTAGGATTTGAGGCATTTGATTACCTGCTGGTTAACGTGTTTATCACATAGTTGACTGAGGTGCTTACCTTCGTATCACTGAATTTAAGCAATGTTTTTTCTTTTATATTCATGAGTTGATAATTATTTTGTAAAACTGTAATATTTGTCGTGTATTTCATATTACCAAAATTTCAGACTACCTATACAAGTTAATTTCGCTCAATAAAAATTGAAACAAAATATTCATTTCAAAATACATTCCAAAAGTTTGACAACATATAAAATTATTTCAGTGTTTAGCGTCGGACCTAACAAGCTTCATAAGTTTTTATGAACATTTTCGCTTGCTTATAAAATGAACTGTTTAAGATAGTCTGTTTGCTCATCTTCACCTACTATTCAGATATTTGCTGCCTCAACCTGTCACGTAACAAGAGAAAACAATTTACGTAATTCAAATCAGCAGTCATTCGTGGTTTAACAACAGCGTTGTTGAAACTTATATTCGATTTGAATAAAATGTGATTTCCCACTCATATAATCAGTTATTGAAAGTGATCATCACAGAGTACTGAACACAATAAGTGTTAGGTAAATGATAGATTCTGATTACTTCGGAAATTGAAGAGAATTAAACTGAATCATTGACACATTTGTAATTTGTAACTCTTCATCGCTGTACTAATTTTTTTTATCACAAAAATTGTTTTCATTTGTAGAAAATTTGCTTTTCAGGTGTGACAATTTCGTTTAAAATCGTTCATCACTTTTTTATTATGATAACATCACTATTTTGAACACATACAATGGGTAGGAACATGATTAGTTGGGTTCGGCTCATATGTAATTCGTTTCAACAGGGATTAAGTAAACTAGCTACAGAAAACATTCCTCAATAAAGCAAATTGAAACATGTAAACTCACTTTAGAAACTGCAATCGGAATTGAAAATTTCTTGAATATGATGCCGCCCGGATATTTAAATACCGCCAAAAATTGTCTCGAACCAGTTGTGTGTTTACAACAAGAAGATAACAGTACTTTACATGCGCAAAATACAATATACACATACAGTATTTAGGTCTGGGCAACCGCGATAAAGCATATTATTACGTATCAAGCGCAAGTTTTTCCGCTGCCAATGTTCAAAAATGAAGTGCCGAATATCGCGTGTCTAGACTGACAAACGATCCTACAATAAGTTATTGTCTCACTCCAAGAGTAGTGTGATAAATTTCATTCGCAATGGAAGCTGTGGCATCATAATGCCCAACTTGTTCTTATTCTAAGTAAGTGAAGAATCGCGTTTGGAGGAAATTGTAAATTAGATACTGAAGTTTGAGCAGTCGTGTAACATCTATGATTTGAGAATATTTATTTTTCGTTATTCAGATAATACATGAATACTTGGCAAGGTCTCTTTAAGGAATTTCAATACTTACGACTATCAATTAGGCAGGCCATATATTCTGAATGTATGATTTGAATAAATCTTAAATAAATGATGAAACATTCACTCCGGGTACAATTAAATAATCAAATTAACAACTTAAATGGAATACAAATTTTGTGTAGATTTCATTAAAAAATGCGCCCACAAAGCCGAGTCTATTGGTAGTGGTAAAATTTTTCGTATGTGTGTGTGCAGTTATCTGCATATTCAGTATCCATTCGTTTTCGTGTATAACCTTATTACCGATCAGTCGATCGCAAGCTATTTTGAAGATTTTAGTCGATCGCGGTCAAACGCTGGTTGGCCACCTCTGGGGTATACAGTACTTATTTTTGTGATTGATACGATTAACTTTAATGTGCTAATTTATAGGCAATGAGGTCAGCATAAACTAAGAATAATTGAACATTTTTGTTAGCAAAATGATATATCAGATGATAGTGATTTCCCTTATTAATCAATCTCAAGTCATTCATTCAAAGACAATGGATGCTTTGGTTTTACAAACCTAATTTTAATATTGCCTATATTCTACCGAAAATTGAACCTATCGCTTCGATATGTCTCAGTATATTTGTCGTTATAGACAAATGTCAACATCTGTTCAGTTTCAAGGACAAATGTTTTGCACTTTGCGCATAGTGTTGTTAGTTTACTATTCCAAGATCTAATGTCATGTATTGCAAACATTCGAGGTTAAAACACCAACAACGCATATCATTCAATCACCCAGTAATAAGCCAATGTGCTGTTTCAGTATATATCATTTACAGAGCATAGCATGAATTCGGTAAATTATCTACGTACTATGTAATATTTTGCTTTCAATAAATCAGATATTATAATATATATAAATAAAAACATATAAGACAGGTAAAATTGATTACATTTCAGTATGAGGTAAATATAAAAATCCAAAAACCTGAAGTCACTCTTGATTTGTGCCTTCAAAGCAAAGGAGGATTTATCTCAAAAATTTCATGTCTCACGTGTATCAAACTTGTCTCACTTGTTCCACCGTTCCCCCAATTGTATGTATGAATGTCACTCCATACGAATTGTCGAGTTGACGCTTATTTCACCCATTTGCGCCACGATGATTTTCTACCCTAATGTGAAGAGTGGGTCAACAGTGTGGGAAAAGTGTGACAGACAAATAACTAAAAATGGGACAGGTGATATCAGTCAAAGGTGTTATTATTTACCCCTGGTATAATTTTAGACGAGATTATACGGAGTTTAATTTAAACGCAAAATGCGCTATTTGTTACTTTTTCTCGCTCAACATAGTTCACCATATGCGTTTACTTAGTGGTAAATAAAACAAAATTAAAAGCCTATATATATAAATCATCGTTTGTCTAGTAGGCCTACTCACTCGTATTGAGTTTCGTGTCAGTTAAGACGAACCAGAGTGAAAATGAATATATCTAAGACGACAAATTTTTTGTTGCTGGTAAGTGTGAGAAGTTGGATTCTTGAGAATTTTTCTAATTTTTAAATGAATCCTAAACGAATCAAGTGAGGTGTTTTGTTGGCAATAAGCTTGTCAATGCAAAGTAAATTCTTTCGTAGTTGGCAAAAGGTGCCTACTGTTACGCATTAGAGAATTGATTGTCCAAAATGGGGGCCAGTAGTTAATTTTTGATATGTAAAATTATTCATTATGTCTTGCTACTTTATTTTAGGTGTTTATATTTGCATCTTTCGAAGAAGGATATACAGGTAACAATGTTTTTTGATAAAGATAATATTCTTATAAATACTTGTTCCTTCCATGTATTATCAACAACCCTATTATCATTATTTTTCAATTCGATCAAAAAGAGTTCTGATACAAATCCTTTTGATTCATTTGGCTCTGATAACATATTGTATTTCTTCAATATAATTTACTACACAAACCATATTGAGATTATACATTAACATGGATGTCGACTAATTTCTTAATTTAGAATCTTGTACTGGAAGATGTATGGAAACGTGGAATGGAGCAAACACGTGTCATTGTGATGAAAATTGTTCACAAAATAATAATTGCTGTGCTGACTACGTTGACTTATGTATAACAGACAGCGCGAGTATGTTTGCACTGAAGTTACTTTCGATTTTAAACTAAAATGACAAGACTTTTTTATAAGGATGAAATAAAATGAACATGCCTATCTACTCATTTCAGAAAAGTAAAACATTCATTATTATTGTTTTATTTTTGAGTAAAACTATCATTACTATATTATATTCTTTTATTAATTTTCCAAATAGGACTAATATTGTAGAATTCTCTTGAACATCACAAGGTATGTAACGATGAAACAAAACAGCAATGCTCAAATATATGAACAATAAGATCAAATGAATTATATAGCCAAAGCATTGTCGGTAAATTGAAAAAAAATATATAACAAAAAAAGAAACAATAATCTGGTGATTTTTCTATCTTTGGGTACTAAAATTTTCAAATATACAGGCCCTTAGCAGAGAGAAGCGATTTTTTGTATTCACAGCAGGAACAACAATAAGAACAGCAATTTAAGAAATCAATTCATATGCCCACTTAGCGTCCACATTTTTTTGTTTTGTTTTTTTACAGATAGCTGTTATGGACGATGCTTCAACAGCTATGGTTTCCTGCCGAATGCAAATTGTTATTGTGACAGTCAATGTTCGAAATATGGAAACTGTTGCAGCGACTTTGTAGCTGAGTGCGCAGACGAAAGTAAGTAAAGTAAATAAGCACTTATGTGAGTTTACGAAATGACGATTTTTATATATAGGAAAGCGCAAATACACCTGACTTTCCAATGACGCAAATAAGTTATTTTTGTAAACTTCTTATGCTCATTGCGGTTTCGTATCACGCAATCGACATTTCGTGCACGATAACAATTACCAGAATATGAAGTAATTTTTTTTATTTATTCATTTCTATTTTCTAGATCTTTGTGAAAACAGATGCTTTTTCTGGTATAACTCGCAATTACCTTGCCAATGTAATGACTTGTGCTTAAAGTACGGAAATTGCTGTCCCGACTATTATGGAAGTTGCATTCCAGGTGAGAATACGTTTAAAGTATTTTCATATTTCGTATCAAGGTCAATATGATTCCATAATAAAATGTTGTATATAAAGCGTTTCATGAGTGAACGACCGCTGGGAACAATACTATACGTAAACCGTCAATGACTTTTTCCGTCGCTGAATTATTCTGAAACACTACCATCTTGTCAATAAATACGGATATTCGTGAATCAGTCACCGGATGATTTGTGAAAGTAATGATCATTCAGTTTTGGAATAGCCTACTCTATCTTCTTCTTCTTTCCTACTCACTGGAAATGTAATCACTATATATTTTGTAGGGTGACCGTACATTTGAACCCATGTACATTTGAACCCATGCGTATATCCACGGCTTCAATCTATATGCGGGTGCTAAAACCCATGGGTTAGGGTTAGTATGGGTTTAACTATCCGTGAAACAAAAAAAATTTCATAGGTGCAATAGCATACAGGTGCAATTGTCATGGGTTCAAATGTACGTGGGTTCAAATGTAATGGAACCATTTTGTAGAGCGATCAAACAATGTTCTTGGTGGTGACTGTCTATAACTACTTTTATAGGATCGTGTGTAAATCGATGCGGTGATCGTAATACCAACTCTGCATGCCATTGTGACAGTCAATGTTCAACCGACTACGATTGTTGTGAAGACTTTGCTGATACTTGCACAAGTTCAGGTATTTCATATCAAGAATTATCTATTATAGTCAACGTTTCTTTATGTCAACAATGACTAATTTTCGTCACTTATAGGATAAAAACATCGCCTGATGACACCGATATGCAAATTGTTGGTTTTTTGCACCAGTATATATTGCAGTGGCTCACGCGCTTGCTTGTGAAGCAATGTCTAGTAACGTGCAATGAACTTTTTGCACGTTGTTAAACAAGCTTACACTGTACTTTTGTTTATGAAAAGCCGTGTGTATAAAAAGACCCAGTAAAAATTCACACAATAAATATTCAATTCAATGTTTAGACTCATGTGAACATCTATGTGAAAGTGCATACGACTCATCCAGATCGTGTCAATGCAATGATGCTTGTGCACAATATGGAAATTGTTGCAGTGATTATGAGGTTTTGTGTAGAGGTGATGAATTTAACATTTTCACTTAATTTGAATTACCTCAAATGCTATGACGGGTGACTTTCAAGTAGGTATTTTGCCACTAAAATTCGGCATGTTATACTCACCATGTTTTCTATGGCAAGCACAAAATGGATTGTGGCAACAGTAGCAAACATTAAACTTTTAGTTGCATGGATTTTACTCAATCAATGTTGATTTTGTTTTGCGCATTTGAAAGCTTTCGGTGGAATAAAAATATGAATAAAAAAATATATATAAATAACAATAAAAAAATAAATATTATAATGTAATGTAATTAACATATTTTTTTATTTAAAAACGAAAGAGTGTTTTACTTATGCTAAAAGTGAAATACCTTCACTGATATTTGTTTTGTTTAGTCACCCAAGGTGCAATGTAAAGGCGAATTGTCAATATTAATCCAAACATTTTAGATTTTTATCTCTGCAATGGAGTTTGCAATATTACAAAGAACACATGCAGCTGTACAGAATCATGCTTACAAGATAACACATGCTGTACAGATTATGAACAATCGTGCAACGGTAAAATCTGATTACCTTGAATTGTTGATAAAACATTGCAATAAAACATTTAAATAATAACTATAAATGATATGAAGTAAATATATATTTTAACCAGCGTATTTGCATTGACCACTCAAATTGTTTTCTGCGAATAATTAATTTTTTTGATATACTCCATAAATTACAAAGTAGTTAAAAGTATTTTGGTTTAACTAATTGAAAATATCGAGATCGAGACTCGTCGAGCAAGTTTAAAACTCTGTTCAAACCCTAATTAAGATGGAAAATATTGTCTTGGACTACTAGACTTCAGTCTTTTCAACACTTCAAATTGCTGCATATGTCTCGCTTTTTCAAATCAACTGTTAATAGTCGTAATAAGAATAATACTATGGTATAAAATAACATGGTATAAAATTATATTTTCGTTTAATATTTCGTACATTTTAACAACAGCTGGAACCGCGTGGTTGGAAGATGAATGCACGTCAAGTCAAGACATGGTCTGTCCGAACGGGTAAATAATCATGTCAATATTTTATGACATACTAGTAGGAAAATAGTGGTTTTCTTAAGTATTGAACCGCGACAATCTTTTTGAAAATGGCGATATATAAACTTTCTTGTACATTATGATGCATTTTTTGTTATCGATTAAGTTTCTATGAGGCCAACTACTTGTCCTTAAATGCTTTTGCGCCATTGGATGACAGATGAGGAGTGAAGTTCAATATTATGGGTCTTGTTGCACACCAACACAAATATAATTCTGTTACATTTTGTCTGACCTTGGTCAGACTTCGTAGTTGAATTTTCTATGTCTGATAAAGTTCAGCATTAGTCAGGCAAAACGTTACAGAAATATATTTGGTTAGTGTGCCCTTATTTAGAAAATTCGGGATTGAGAATGCCTCAAGTTTTGAAGCATTCCTAAATCTTTTATCTATGTTTCAATCAGATTTGACACACCACCGGTGATATTGCTTTCGATAGACGGCTTCAGAAACAGCTACTTCAATCGACACGAAACACCAAATATGGCGAAACTTGGTGAGAATGTATTGAGATAGTCATAAGATTTCAGATTGATGTAGAGATTAAAGTTTAGCCAATTGAATGATCGAATGTCTATTTTACTACTTTTTTTTTTTTATCCCAGACAAATAGCATCCCACATATAAACAAATATATCTTCAGCCCTCATAGCATACAAGTCGATCAGCTTATGACTAGATATGAGAAAGGTTGATTCCAAAACTAAATACTATTGCCCGCTAGAGCAAAAGTAATAATCAAGAATAAACAATCAATCAGTAGTTTTATATACGTACAAAATCATTATAATATTAACACTATAAATATTGTTGAGAACTATTTTACTGACAAAGAAATCAACTACACTTACGAATTTATGCTAAACATATTAGAAAATTTTTCTTTTGTTTCAGCTTCCTGCGGAGTTCATGCACCTTATGTTAGACCGGCCTATCCAACACTCACTTTCCCGAATCATTATTCAATTGTTACGGTATATATTTTCCAACAAATTTATTTTCACTGCGATAGTTCATGTACTTTTTATAATATATTCTTAATCCAATCATAATTGTTTATGTTTACGAGATATTATTATTTTGTCAATAAACATTGAATTTATTCAAACAATATATATATATATTTATTTTTTTATACGTTATAAACGCCATCAATATACAAATATTTATGAAAATACAATAATAGACAGACCAAATTTTCCAATTTTTTACTCAGATTTTCTATAGTAGCACAATCTATTTATATGTTACTTTGTTCGTTGACCACTAAAATAATTTTGAGAGTATGTTAATAAAATTTAACAACCAGACCTTTACCATTGGATTTGATTCAGCGTACTTTGTGCATTAGAAAGTATAGTACTAGTAATAGTTGGCGTTTTGGCACTGTATCTGATCTTATCGTTTTTCAGGGATTATATCCAGAGTTTCACGGGATAGTTGCAAACAGATTTTATGATCACGAGTTTGATGCTGAATTTCAACTAGGAAAAACAGAAGCTTCAAATCCACGCTGGTGGGGAGGAGAACCGGTGAAAAATATTGTTTTTGTAATTTGAATTGAGGGAAATTTAAGACCAAACATGAAGCGAATAGAGAAGTTGGAAAATTCATTAACGTTGTTTCTGTTGCTCAGTAAATGGAATCATCCTCATTTAATATTTGTATAAATTTTTTTTTTCGATTTTGAGAGTACAACATACAACTTAATGGCAAAACTTTTTTCAATTTTAATAAATTTAACTTGCGGTGTAGTTGTTGTTAATTTGTTATAAAAAAACTACGTCCAGTTAAAATCCTTCTGCACTGCGAACCGATTCTTCTTTTTATCACAATAACGGAAAATTTATATTACATCAAGTATAAATACGTTAAATTGTGATGTATTCACGTCATTAGCCTAGCCATGTCTTTTCAGATCTGGGTAACAGCAAGTAATCAAGGTTTGAAAAGTGCTTCTTACTTTTGGGTTGGATCTGATGTAAACATTACAAGATATCCAGATTATTATTATCCATATGATGGTTCAGTTCCTTACGAAGATCGAATTTATCAAGTTTTGCAATGGCTTGATATGCCTGTTGAAGATAGGTAAGTCGAAAGATTCAGTTCGGGGATTGAATGCAGCATCTGCATTTATAAAATGAAAATGAAATTGCCGACGCAATTATATTGTCCTTGTAAATAAAATTGCATTTCTCTTCAATTACTGGATCCATTGCTTTGGGATTCTCAGTGGTTAAATAATGTTGTCGTCGCCAGAAGGCTATCACTTTTATATAATTCAAAAATATCTGTGGACTCTATTGCATTTGTATTCTTATTGGTTTTGAGAAATGTCGTCATCAAAATTGAAAATTGAGAACATTTTTCGATACAGTAATTTCAAGCGATTCAAACATTCTCTCTATCCAGACCTTCAATCATACTGCTTTACATGGATATGGTTGATCATGCGGGGCACGATGTTGGACCAGATGGTCACGAAGTTGATGTAGCAATCAGCCAAGCAGATGACATGGTTGGAATGTTAATGGACGGGTTGAAAGCTAGAAATTTGGACAAATGCGTCAATCTCATGATATTAGCTGATCACGGTAGATACTTTTGATTTGAACTGGTAATATCGCTAGTAAAAATGATTTAATACTTTATCGCTCCGAATCATGATATTTTTTTATTTCCATATCGGTGACTAAACAAGTATACTATCTATATTGATTTGTGCTACATCAATTTATTGTGATTGGCTATTTAATACATAAAAAATATTAACTTTAGAATCGTAGATAGAGTAATAAATACATGGCTTACCTAAATAACCATCGAAAGTGATTGTGCATGATTTCTTCAACTTTTAAGCTTTCAGCAAAATATGTGTGATCAGTTAGCATTTTTTAAACATATTCCAACCTTTTGCCATCGTTTTCTTCAAGATACGCCCCTATCATGTTGTGTCGGATTGTCGATCAGCTGGCATCTTCGAAACAAATAATAATTCTATTAGTGTTTTTTTTTCGACTCTCTTACCATTTTTGATACTTTTAGTTGAAAGTAACTGATTTTGCACAAAACGTTTTGTAATTAAAATTGCAAGTAGTAGAACACTTTTGACATAGTTCCCCTTTTCACTAACATACACGAACAAAAGTATCGTCGGAAAATTGAAATCGAACAATATATTATTCTACTATTATGCTATTCCCAGGTATGGCAAATACGTCATGCGATAGAATGACGTACATCGATCAGTATGGAGTTGACTTGAACAGCGTATATTTTCGAGGAGGGGCTCATGGCAGAGTGGGAAAAAGTACAGACAAAACATTATGGAATCTATACGATGGAGAAGACATAAAAAATAAATTACAATGCAAACGTTCTGAGACACATTTTCAAGTACGTTTCAAATAGCTTAGTATGGCATGTGTTTCGTGTCTCCGTTAATGAAAAAAAAATAATTTTGACTATTTCTACTGGTTAAATAGGCATACTTGAAGTATGAATATTTTCCAAAACGAATGCATAACGCATACAGTGCCAGAATAGACGACGTCAGTTTGGTCATGGACGACGAATGGCTTGTTGGAGGGTAATATCATTTGATAACTACGAACGTAAATAGCATAAAGATTGTCATGCATCTGTATATTTTATTTTTATGAAAAAAGACACAATCCATATTTGCCACTGTTTTCTGTTTCTCAATTCTAAATGGATTATAATGGATTATGACATTTTTAATTAATCATTTTTAATCAAGTTTTTTCAAAATCGAACATTTCGAACCTTGATTGAATGTGTTTTAAAACTAGATTATGCTTATACCTAACAACAGATATCTTTTGAAACAAATGCTTGATATTAATTATTTTTGAATATATTTTTGTATATTCACATATTTTGTATATTGTTTGTATATTCATTTTCGGGCATTTTTTTTTTATCAATTTCAATGTACTGTTAACAGGCAAACTGGTTCTTACTCATCTTGCGATGGTGGAACTCATGGGTGGGATAATGAGAACAAACAGATGAGGGTTAGTACTTAAAACTTGGAATGATTCACAAAAATAAAAATTATCTCAACTTAAATTATGATATTCATGGTGATTTAAATTTTTAACCTTTGAATTGGTTTGGTACAGGCTTTATTTCTAGCGCATGGTGCATCTTTCAAGAGAAGTTACAACTTTTCTGAACCATTCGACAACGTTGAAATCTACAATTTTATAGCAAAAGGTATCATTATATTCAAAACATACAACTTTTTTACTTTTGTATTATTCCATCATTGTTGTATTGATATTTCCAGTACGTATTTATTACAAATAATATTCATTTTTTTTACCCTAAGATGTTTATAACAGCATAAAAACAGAACGTGTTTCACATAATACAAGTTTTATTGATCTTCACACTAGGACATCGTATTACTTTGAACATTATTCTGTTCTCTGTTTTATGATCTCCTTTTACACCCTTGTGCTCCACAAATAAAATTCTAACTGACATTAGAGAATTTAAATGTGAGGGTCATACTTTTCTAGACCTCCTCAATCTAACACCCCGACAAAACAACGGAACATTGGGAAGTCTGGGACATTTGTTAAAGAATCAACCACACGTAGAACCACAGTCCAACGGAGATCTTCCAAATACCTGTCCTTATCCTTCCACCACTAGCTCTCCGGATACTCGAGGATGTTCAGCATGTCAAGTGAGATTATTAAGATTTCCTTTTCACAGTGCAATGACATTTATCTTCCGCTTATCTAAAGAATGTAAAAAAAAAACTTTGATTTATATACCAGACTGAATAAGTGAACGGATAATGAAGGCATTTATTGCTTGTAAAACACAGCGCTGGGTAAATTTTATAGAAATATTTGGAATGCAATAATATTGAGATTTTTATATACAGGGAGAACAACAGGCAAATGATTTATTAAATTTGACTCCAGAGGAAAGTAAGTGGTATTAAAATGCTTTATAATAAGTAATTATGAATCAAAAATAACATATTTCAAGCTGAATATTTTGAGAATTTTTCATTTGGTTTGAACAAAATAAATGATCAATCGAACGGGAGGAAGTGAACGTTGTTATTATACTTGTTATTACTATTGTTCTCGTTAGAGGAATGTTTGAAGTTGTTTTGGTTGTTGTGATGATGATAAAAAAAACTCGCTTTTCTGATGGAACAATTGATTTTAGATGGAAAAGTTGGTACCTGTTATTTTTTTTTTTATTATTGAACAATGATGGATGATTCTTTTTTGTGCAGCAACGGAAGCGCAAAATAAAAACATGCTAGTTGGATTACCTGAAATTTATCCAGAAAGTGACGGAGACGTTGTGAATTATTGTGTTTTATCTCAACCTGAGTATATAACGGTGTACAACTGGGAAAAGAAACAACCTTATTTTGCACATTTTGTTCTGGACAATAAGGTACTTAAGCCAGCCATAAAAAGAGAAAGAAACTACATACTTTTTCATTTTTGTGATTCAGAGCATAATTTTTTTTATGCTATTTGGTTGAACCAGTAACTCAAGTATACGACAAGATGTGGAAAAGCTACAGGATTAGGTACCAGATATGTTTTTGCAACAAGGAAGTTACATTGTCTAATCTTACAGAAGTAATTTCTGTGCAATGTTTTTTTGCAGTGAACTCAAACCCATCTACTAAAATATTTTAAACCGATATAGCAATTTTTAATTTGACAGATGCGAGATATGAGTCCAACTTCACTTTGTGTTCGACCAGATATTAGAATAGATTCTCAATATTCTTCAACTTGCTCGGATTTTGAAAATAATAAAGACGTCACAGGAACTTTTCTATATCACCCATGTAGGATCAAAATTGAATTGAATTTTTTATGAACATTTTTAGGTGCTCCAGAAGTATGCGTACCAAGATGTCGCACGACCTGAATCCTAACCGGTACACACACACACATACTATGTTCAGGTTGTGCGCTATCTTGGTGCGCATACTTCTGGAGGTCCCATTTTTATTTATTTATTTAATATTGAGAGATATGCACATTACTTGCTATTGTTTTTCTCTACTTCATTGGTGTACCTGGCGTCACAAATATTATATTCAATAATGCAATACCTTCCATAAATAGTATTTATGAGGAACGAGATCTATAGTCATCTATTACTATTTAGTTTATGTGTATGATAGGTGTTGATAGTATTTTAATTTCATTTATATATGTTTGTGAATTGTGAATTATTATGCTGTGCTTGATTGAACTTACTCGATTTTCAGACTTATCTATGAATCGGAAGAGTGATGCTGAAATTTTATCAAATATCATTCCAGTTTACAGACCATTTGTAGCAAGTAAAATTTGTTGTTTGTTTGTTTTTAATAAAGAGGACACAATTTATCAACATTTTTTCACATCTTTGATCAGGTATCATTTCTTGGAATTACCCATATTTCAAATGCAAAAAACAGTTGCAATATCAAATTTATTACGCAAATTCATAAACACACGACTATCATCTCTCGCGTCGAAATTACTCAAAACAAGAAAATGTCAAAAATATTTGAAATCTTTTTTTTTCTCGTTTTTCTTTCCCCTTCTTCATTCCGTCTTATTTTAGTTTGGGAGCAGTTTTCTAAAGTCTTGAACGATTGGGCTGGTTTATACAACGGAATATCTGTAGCCACTGGTCCAATTTTTGACTATGATTTTGATGGCAATTCGGATACAAAGGAAATAATTCAAAAGTTAGTACTGAATTCTTTCATGCATTCTATGAATTTTTATGAAGGAGTTAGAGGGACTTTTTGTTTGAAAGTCAATACAAATGAGAGCGTGCCAAACTGAGTGAAGTGTAAAATTTTCATCTGAATTCCAACAATTGAATTAGTGATATAATAAGTTGATATACTAACTTTTTTTTCATTTCATACTCTTATCTTGTAGGTATGGCCAATTCCTGGTTCCTGGAGACAAAACATCAACTCCAATTCCAACCCACGTTTTTGTTGTTGCCATGAGATGCCGAAACTATACATCCTCGGAAAGTGTCAGAGATTGCGCTAACAATCCAAAGATGATTGATATCATAAGCTTCATTATACCTAACTATGCTACAGATCCGTGTTACAAGGTATGATTCTTTCTATAAACTTCCTCATTTTGACATCTAACATAGCTTCCATTCCAGGTATACTTTCATTCATTTGTGAAAAAGTGCATGTTGGGCGATTTTTTTTCCCTTTTTTTCATGTACATTTTAAAGACATCAATCATAAATTATATATATATATAAAATAAATTCTACAGTTGTGTGCGACGCGTACGTTATATATACAGAATACTGTATAGACATATTATGCTCCAGATTAGGACATCATATCAAACTAAATCAATATTAATTATCTTGATTTTGCTGTTATTTTATTATAGTAAAGTAGTTTTTGTGTTCCGATCGAATTTTTGATTCTGTTGCAAAGTGGTGAATGAATCATTCAAGATTTTCTATTGAGGTGGCTATCCACAATATTTTATCCTTTCCCTATTTTGATTGTTCTTTTTTGCATTAGGGGCAAACATTATTGCTAGTGTTAGGCCATTCCATGAGAGAGATTATAGTTGACCTCATTCACTTACCTTACGGCATACTCGTACATTGTTTTTTCAAGAGAAAGACCCTTGTGTAAATGGGCAACTTATTAATTGATATAATAGTGAAATTACGCATACTTCAAATGTTTGTCATAGGATACTATGAATATTGATGAATGGGTATCGCAAACTGTCTTCGAACATGTAGCAAGACTTCATGATGTGGAGCTTCTTACATCAATCTCATTTCTGTCTGACTGGAGAAATGCAGACTCCACCCAGGAAGAGCGTATGGAAGCAATCCGGTTGACAGTTCATCTACCAGAATTTGAAAAGGATTGGATGCAAGATCTGCTACAAAATATCACACCCAGTCCAGATGTGTATGCTACTACAACAAAGTCAGCATCAACTACTAAGCCACCAAAATAATTCTTTATTCGGAAGATAAAGATTACTAGATCTATAATTTTGTTGGTGTTAATTAAATTGGGGCCGTAAGTTAATTCTGGATTTCAAATTTTAGATATAAATCAGTGGTGTAGAAAACAGTGAACGGATGAAGTTGTCATTTCATTTCAATAATTTCATTGAAACACAGAAATATAATGAAATGCTTAGTAATGAATCTTTTTTGCGGTACAACAGAGAACTAAGTTGCAGTAATAATTAAAATAGTTTGACTATCTCAATGAACAGCGTAGAAAAATCATGACCTAACATTGTTAATCCGTGTTATTCGAGTACGCCATTTAAAGTACGTTCATCTCATTTAATAACGGTTGTGAATGATACAGAAAGCTTGAGATTTACATCGTAGATTTTCTGGCCGTAAATTTGTGCATGGCAAATAAATGAAGAACATGTAGTAGACAGAAATGTTAGGATAACACCTACGATGAATCTGAACCACCATGTTATGATGCGCCCAGTGGTGCTGCTGGTGTTTAATTTGGTGGACAAAAAGGTATTGTTATTTTCAAGATCTGCGTGAACTAAAACTCTTAATATTGATCGTATTATTCTTTGTTTGTTTACCCAAAGTAAAGGGATGAGAAGCAATCTCAATCAGAATCCGATACAGATATTTTTGTGACCATAAACCCCTCCCAATCAAGGTGTTTCATACTTCAAGAATAACATTTGAAGATGGTTGAATAAGTTTGAACTTTCGTAGAACATGCAATTCAAAACTTTTATCATTAAACTTTTGCTTTGTACAATGTTTATTTAACGAACGTTTTTTGATAAAAGAAACATCCAAAACAACAATAAAATGCTCATGATCTTTTTGCTAGGCATAAGTTTGGCAGCTCGTATCACTACAATTCGATGACCAAATATCAAAATTAAATCTAATGTGGTATTTATTTTAAAATCTTGTGACGAACAATCTTTCCTGGCGTTTTGTCACGGCAATATATATGCTGATATTCGCCTCAGTATACGCATTTAACTTTACTATCAATTTTTTATTCCAAAGCGTGATATAAGTTTTAACAAGCTCACACATAAAACGGAAAATTTTAACCTTGTTATGCTTGCTTTGGAGTCGCCTTCGTTGTCTGCAAGAGCATAACATCGCTAAGAAAGTTCGATCAGATTTGAATGATTTATGTATTCACATATTGATACAGGATACTAAAATAGTTATATAAGCGTAATTATTGAATTGTTCAAAAATCTGAGTAAATATGTACCAATACTGGAATTTATGGACTAATAAATAGAAAAAGGAGCATATTTGCGGTATTGTATTCATAAAATTACTGTTCGGGATCTGGGTTGTTTACAACTGACTTAGTTACAGTTTGCAGACTCCCCACCATTAATTCGTCCGAATTGTCTTCGTTATTCTGTCCACAGTTTGTGGTCCATGGAAGCAACATCTGGCGCCATTCTTTAAAACTTATTACAATTAAAGTAATATTTACCAACACGTTCAAGTTGTAGATAAAATGCCTTAATTCACTGTCATTTTGTCCATTGATTACATACTCCGTAAAAAGCATGACGAATACGTCTGTCAAGACACATAATATGGAAACGATCAAACAACGACGTACTAGCGCCAACAAGCGTTTGCGACTACTCGACGTGACTTTTCCCTTTTTTGATGGCTTCACTTCAGCGCTGTTGCTTTGCAATCTTATCAGAGGGAAAACAAACATAGCTACTAGAGTACAATGAAGAGATATGCTTCCTGCTGTCCAGAGATATCCAAAGGCATTGTCTATTGGATCCGCCGTTACTTTTTCACAATGATTAATATCCGGATTGTATTCGTAGCGTCGACAGCAAGCTAGTAAGGCTGAAAAAGAAATATTAACTTTAAGGGGGCTATGTAAAAAACATTATCTTAATACATATATATCCGTGTATTACCAGTGAATAATTGTAACTAGCTAATGTAAAAGTTCCATGGGCAATTTGCAGCAGCGCCTTATTACTGCCTATATAGCATTATCACCGAATGCATTCTGGTGATTAAATCTTCAAGCGGCAACAACGATCTTCCAACCAATGAAAGGTTCAAAGTTATTGATCGAGTAGTTGGAGAGAAAATAATTATTTTCAGACCAACAATAACAAAAATAATATGAAAAAATCAAGAACACCAACACCAATATAATAACACAACGACCATAGGTTCACTTCGTGGAATCTAAAATTTCAAAACAATATGCGTCATTTTTACGTTACTTGGCAACTGACATGAATATGGGATTTCCATTAACTTGATTTCCTGATAACAGATCAAAATTTTTCAGTATAAATGTAGATTTTATAATAGATACTATAAAAGTCGATGTCTGAAAGCGGTATATTGTGGACTGTCGTAAGGTTTTGTTTGGTTTTCTTGAGACAATAAGATGAACACACGAACATCTGTTTAGTTTCAAGGACGACTGCAAATGTTTGATGTATAAATAGGGTGGACGTATTATCAATGTAATGTAAGTTATAAAAGTCACATTTATGTACTTTGTCTATTTGCTTTCTGAATTATATCGATTACGTCAATGGGCGTATGACGTGAATATCTGTGTACAACATCCTATAACATTCGAAAGAATGTATTGTAAACCCAAAGTGGTATTTTTATAAAGCGCGGTGTTACATTAGATTTTATTGCGCGGATTCAAACGAAAACATATCAAGTAATTTAATTACCGGGCGGATAAAAAATGAGCATATGTTACACTATCCAAAATTAATGTTGAGAAGCAGATGTGAACATATGGACATGTGGAAACGATTGGAACTAAATTTTCATGAGATATGTTTACAATTTTCCGCGAAGTTATTTATGGACTATTGCTAAAAGATGCGACACAATATTATTAAATTTCCTAATATCAACCCGATTCAAAAATAGAAATCAACTAGTGGTGTATTTTTAAATTAAAGCAGAGATTAATATTTCAGACATTATATACCATTGCATGAAAATCAAAAGTCGAAAATAATTTTCATTATTGTTTTTACAGGAGGTCACATCATTAGATTGTTTGGATACTTACCATTTGTGACGAGACATAGGCCAATAATAAAGAACAGAGTTGTCCATTTGAGTATGAGAACTGAGTATCGGGTGATTTTTCTTTCAAATCTTAAGTTTTCAAACACAATATATTGACGAAGCCAGAGAAACATGTAGATTGTTGCATCCAAGAGTGAGAGAAGACAAACTGAAACACAATTCAAATAAAAGACTCAATAAATCCAATGTTTATATATACACCAAACGACCATATTTTAACGATTTTACAACGTTTGATGTCGATTTTTATTCAATTATTTGTTCTATAATTCTATCATGGGGAGAGAAAATTGGCGCAACTTGTAAATAGGTATCAAGTATGGACCATGGACAAACTTTAAATGCACTTACTGTAGTTGGTTGGATTTTCCCAACTAATCTAGTAAAAACACTTATCCTTTCACCAAGAATAATTTTTAGTGGTTTAATCATGAACAATATATGATCGGTGTTTTTTTCCACACGCTCAATGTTTGGTCCATGTTCAATTACACACAGGAAGGCATATAATATTTATCTCTACACGTTAAAACGACTCGTTTGATGGTAATTAAGAATGACTTATCGACTCTCAGTGTACACTGAATAAATCATACAGTATCCTCCTAGAACAAAAATACTTATTTTCCATATAATCATTCATGAAATCGACAAAATGACAAAACTGAACAGTGAAGATTATAAGCATTAGTTTAGGTTTGAAAATCTACGTTAGCAGCGACGGTATTCCAATTTTAGAATTCTCACTAATTTATCATTGTTGTAGATCAGATGGCTTTATATCATTACAGATGGTCAATTTCTTTTACGTCATCGATTTGGATTAACTCGGCTCTTATCAAAGTTCAGAGGAATCAAATCTTTTAATTCGGCCGATTACAACTTTGCAAAAAAATGCAAAAAGTGTCAATATGAACAGTTTTTGTGTAACGTAATTACCTCCGATGTTTCTTTCAGCTGTACAGCCTGCATCCGATCTCATTTGTACGTTATAATAAATCAAGTCGTTTATGCATGTACACACACATAGGGCCGCACTGATGACACAGAGTATTCTCAGCCACCTCCCAATTTTTCGAGACTTCTTAGCAGCAGGAGAGTGTATGCTGCCTCTAATGGTTCTTCCCAACATTGGCGCAATTCCCACTCTAAGAGATCTTTCGTATATAAGTAATACGACAAGAATGTATAAAGCAAAACCCATAACAACTCCAAGCAAAACATCCAAACCAATATTTTCAACGTGATCACCATCGAAAATACCAGTAGTCGTCTGATCGACAGCAGTAGAATTTTGACAACAGTCGTCTTGATTTTGAACGATAATACTCATGATTTTAGCTTAGTTATACTAATAAGAATGAAAGATAGTGAAATTTAAAATCTTGAAATCAAAAAATTTAGAATTGAAATTTTGAGACTTTGACACATAAACAACTGGATCTTCTTCGATTCGTTGCACAAAACTTGATATCAAAGTTGCTCTAAATTATCAAATGCCAGTTTATTGATATTTGGGAATCGGAGTTAAAATTTAAACTTAACCTTCCTACTTCGAGAATTTGCTCAAATTCTAAGTTGAAGCAGGATTCACCATGAGATTTATCGCATATTCTAGATTAACAGATACATACCTGAAGCTATTTCATACGTTTTCAGTTCTGTTACAAAATCTAGCCTCTAGCCTTGCAGTTTTTCTGAAAACTAATTAAATACTTATCGTCAAATCGTTTCGGCATTGCCTTTTTCAAATTTAGTAGAAATAATGGGCTAACCGATATTACCTTTTTTCCTAACTGTTAAAAGTATGGTCTAATTGACTAATATCCCTACAGCCTATCTTTGCATGCATCTCCTTTAACTGCTCCGGTAGAATTTAACTCAGCAAAGCCCTTTTCATGTTAAAATTTTGTCTGGCAGTAACTAACGAGTAGAAAAAAATCTTATTTTTTACATTTCATTAACAATGGATGTCGTATGAATAATACATCTGATATCTTATTGAAATATGCATTTTCGTAGATTTGTTTTTAGTCTTTCCTTCACATCATTCTCAATACGGGATAAATAAAAAAAAAACATTTTAAATTACAATAATGTGCGTCGTACTGATGGCAACTAATAATTTTCAAGCATATTGTGTAATTGCTACATATTGTATTAGATTAACAAACAAGGCCTAACCTTCGAGTGCCCGCCTATTTTACAATTTGTTACACGAATTGCAATTGTTTGCCATGATGACATCTGATCAGAAAATGATAAATTTTTCTTTGGAATGAAAATGACCATGGAAAAGCCAGGGGTTATGACCAGTTCAGTAGGTTATTCAACCGACGTGGTTTTGTCGTCGTAGTAACAATGTGTGAACTATTTCCCTCGCAAAGTCACTTCCTCCAATCTATAAATCGATGAATTGTGTTGTGAATATGCCAATGATAGCTACCGGTGTTTTAAATCTTTCGTAAAGCACTGATGTCATTTATCTCTATTGAGCGCTTCCTAAAATCTACCTATAGCATATTCCACCTGAATAACTTTTATTGTCAAACTTCAAAATTGAAATCCAGTATGTTGAAATGACATAAAGTATACTGAAAATAATTTGCCATACCCAACATGTATTATACAACTTCCTTGCTTTGTTGCCAATCAAAGGCACTAATACTATTGAAAATTTCAAAATAACTTGCAGTAATTTCGTACTAAAAGCATGTATAAACCATATTCATAAACCCTGTCCAAATTTATTCTCAATGGGAAGCCTAATGCACCGTATATTACATAACTCGTTAAGACGCTTCCTTCCCTATTCTAATAAAATATATTCCGAATTTTGAAAAAGGGATTTTATTCGCATTGATTTATTAGGATGCAAACCTTTATATGACGTGTTACCCTCCATTAATATTTTAATGAGCTTCGTATTTTATTACGTATTTGTTTAACACAGCAAAGTATTATAGCATCAGGTTTATTTTAAACTAATATGTTTTTAGGGCACCAATGACGAATAACACGAAGCCCGTATGTGTAACCTGTAATATATTTATTATAAATAACAGTACCTATTGAAGACTGTGTCGATTAAAATATAGTTAAGGCTGACGCATTTCCCCTTTGGGGACATATTAAACTAAACGTTTCAGATTCCACGAGACATAATGAAATTTACTTTAAAAACACTCTTTTGAAGCCTAAACATATAAATTGATATAAAAAAAATTTTATCGATTGAGGAAAACATACAACTTATCTTGCAGCAACTCTTCGTTTGCTGACAATTCTTTACAAAATTCCAGACAATACTAGTTTAAGAAAATTAGACATATATATTTATGGGACTCTACCAAATGCACATGACAGAATGAATCATGAAATCAAGAGAGATTCACGAAAGATGATGAGATAAAGGCTCGAAATATTATGATGATTTTTGGAATTTTTCAATATTTCAATCAATCATTTCAAAATGTATGTTAATTGTCAATATAAATCATAATCCGATTTTTCAATTACAGTTACGTTTTGTCGTGTTTGCGAAACGTGATTTTTTTAAGGAAATTTGAAACTCGGATCAGGAATCGCAGACTTACTTCGGAAATCTACGTGTAAAATTATTGAGGCAACAATTGTGAACTGTGTATATCATCAGTTGGTGCCCTGATGTAGTCGTAAGCTGTAGGAATTATCATAGTTCTATACAAAGTGTTTACTAAACATTTTTTAGAATAAAAAAATATTTTTTTTGGTCTATTCGGCGAAAAGATTTATTTGCTTATTTTGACGTCGCTTATATAACCTCGTAAATCAAGCCTCATAGTTTATGAATCTGTTTGGAAAAAAAAACGGGAAAAAGGGTGTTATTCCTCAGTGAAGTTCAAGCAGTATTTGTGTGCTTTGGTTTTTATTCTGAAATCTCGTGATTTATACGTGAAAACTATTTATTTCTGTGATTGATAAAAACACATTCTGCTGTTGGCATTGTTGTAAAAGTAAGCAGTACGAGCTCCTTAAGTGTCGACAAACTACAGCCCACAATAGAGTTCACCCCGATGTCAATTTTATCGCTTGACTTGCAAGGATTTTGTTTCATTTTAAAATTCCTCCGGTGATTTTTGAAGTGAGTTTTGGAGTTTTACAAATACACATTGAATCTTATTTGTTAAAACTTTTGAACATGAGAAGTATTGAAGTCGGCCTTGGGAAATACAAATGATAATTCTAGTTTTCGACTATAAATAAAATTTATTAATTAAAAATAACACAAAAATGCCAGACGTAGCATTTCAAATATGGCATCGACAGAATGTGTTGAATATGACAGTTTCTACAAAGAAATATTTAAATGATGAATTTCTATAGTAACGTATATTTGAAATCGTCACTATATAGTCAAAAACAGATTTTAGCAAATAACCTTGACAAATGTCATATAAGATTCATCGACCCGTTTTCGATCTGTTCAATAGGACGTTAGGAATTGAAATCCGCTTATCTGGTCTCGCATATTCAATTCTATATCAATTGGTTATATACAAACAAACATAAATAGAATATCATATAAGGCGCGGTATAAATCTATGCTAGATTCTCAAGAAAATATTTTACAAAAAAAAAAAAACTGGAAAAGTTATCGTTGCCTGAAAAATCACTGTATATACTATATACTAAAAATTAATTTCTTCGCGTAATATCTTCATGTTTCTAATAAATTTGCGTAACTAGATTTAACGCACAGAGAAGCGGCGGGTACACTGTGCTAAACGGATAATTGATAAATATATATATCATTTTATTACATAACAATCAAGTTAATCACCTCTTATACATTTCCAAACAATTCTTACTTACTTACAAGCTCTGTTGAAAGAAAGATTATGATTTCACAAGTTAAAAACATACGTCAATACTTTTTTGTTAAGATGACACCTTAAAAACTGTTCCTATTTTACCACAAAATTTGGTATAAAATGTTCTTTCAACTAAAAATCGAAACTGTCCGGTGGTTTTTACAACCACAATTGAACAAGCGGTATCAATATTTAATGATTGTTGTAAGTTTTGCGATACTAAACAGCAAGATAAAGTGTCACGTAGAATTATATCGATTTTATAACCTTCTACAAACGCATAAAGTATAATATATCAGCCCCTATACTAGCACGACATCCCTATATATCTGTATATAAATACATTAGGTGATAAATGACGCTGAATGTGCAAGTGTAGATAAAATATCAGAAAATTTTCAAAGTTTTTGTCTGTGATTTTCAACTTAGTTATTACGCATCATAAAAGCATATCATGCGACATAGATAAGGTATTCTATCATTTCCACCCTTATGAGTAAATTGTTCTCCGGCGGAGAAACTAGTCAGTAACAAAGTAATTTCTATCTATTCTTTGTCTGCTTTTCTAGTCCAGTTGAGATATTGTGTACAATGTATATATTTATATGCATTTCATCAACGACACAAGTACTCACTATCATGTTCTGTTGATTAAAAAATGATTCATCAGCCCAGCACATAAAAAATCGTTGTATCTCCAAACAAAATTAATCAAGAATATAACATGTGTGTCGTAGTCCAGAAAATTAAATCTGTTATTGCTGAAAACAAAATCTCTGGCATGTATTTCAGATTTCCAGAGTGTGTTTCTATTACCCATTTACTTAGCGCGTGTACTGTATAGTAAATGATTTCTATATACGCTTTGTCATTACTAGTTAATTCATATTTTAATAGTAGTTCTTCCGATATTCTACATCAAATCAACTGATAATATCTACCGGTAATACATCACAATATCCTTTATCATCACTCAGATAAATATAATCCAATATCTCTCAAGTAGTATTTTATTATACGAGCTTTTCTATACAGCGCGTAGCTTACATACAATTTGAAATGAAGATGAGCAAAGAGAAACGTTTGCCTCAAACATTAAACGACCGGCCCCTGCCGCCTTTTCACTTATCCAAGTAATACCAATTCTTCAGCCACGACGATACCACCATATTACACGTTAGCGGGCATATGAAGATTCATGTTTTTAATATTGCCAGATGAAAACTATATATCATTATAAATGTATAACTTTAATTTAACTTCGACTTTCTACATATTCCATATTATTGAGCGTTATCGAATTTATAGTCGAATTTAATTGATTTCAACCCAAATCAAAGCTTCTATGTTTCGTACCAAACTCTGAAGGTTAGAGTTTTAAGTGCCGCCTGACTGAAAGGTTGATTAAGTTACTTGTCCGTAAAAAGCACAATTGGTTGAAACCTCAGATTTCAAGGACCCCTGGAAGTCGATATTGCCGAAAAACCTCTTTCGTTTTTCACATTCAAAAACGAATT